CTCAAAGCAGTCATGACAACCACCGAGATGGTGATGGCGAAATCGGTGAAAATTTGACGGAGTCCAATGGCGAAGAAGGCAGTACCAAGACCCAAAATTAGACTGAGAAGAGCAACAGTCATGTAGTCGTATGTGGTATCTCCTTCGAGCATATCTTCATGATGAGGATGATCAGTTCCAAGGTAGTGGAAAAGACCGACCTTGGAGGAAGCCAACATCACCAACGTATCCAGCAAGGTTTGGTGGGTATTCAAGGAATGGAAGCGCGGTAGTGGCAACGTAAGTGAGCCCAGCTGGTTCCTCTTCAGCAGCCTCTTCAGCTTCAGCAGCAGCTTCATCCCGGATTACAGTAGCCGAGCGTCCTAATGATATAAGAGAAAGCGCGTAAAGTGAGAAAGCCGAATGCAAAGGGACTACTGAAACTGCAACTGCATCCCGCTCATCAAAATGATTCCAAGCTGATGATGATTATTGATTATATACGTGGAAACCAAAATAACACCTACCATTGAAGGAAGCTGGGGCGAAGGCGGAGGCACCAGCAAGGAGTGTAGCGAGAACAGCGATCTTCATGGCGAGTTTTGAATCTGCGAGTTGATGAAGCAACTTTTCAAAACATCGGGAAAACGTACGAAGTATGGACGGCTCGGAGATGTTTTTTGACGACAATAATGAGGCAGTGGGAATTCCCCCTTTTCATTTCATCCCCACGATATTTAACGCGATTTCCCACAACTACAGTAGTTGTGGGAACAGTTTTTTGCCGAAAATTCCCACAACTGTACTGCTAAAGTAGTTGTAGGAATCGGAAAAAATAGTTGTGGGAAATTCCCACAACTAGTTGTGGTAATCGAAGATTACCCGGCGCCGCCTCCACTCCTGGGCTTGAATCGCATGATGTAGTCTTTGTCTGGAGAGATCGCGCACGTATGCTACCACGGAGGACCTCGACGGAGGATTTTGTTAACCTCGACCACGGAGGACCTCGACGGAAGATTTGATATTTTTCCTCGACGGACCTCGACGGAGGATGTTGATAAAAGCGGTGGGATGTAGACGAAGCAAAAGCAAAAAGCTGACGGTCTTGACCGAGCAGCTAAAACTCCTTCTATCGCCTCCATCATCCCACAAGCTCCCATTGCGAACAATGTCTTCTCCAAATCTTCCGTCCTCTTCGTCGACACTCTTCGCTCCGTCCGCCAACCGTGTACTTCACTGAAGCGACGCGCCGTAATCGACACGACGGAAATTGAGACTAAGGAAGAGCTAGAAACGCCCATACGTCTCCCGTCTTGCCGATCTAGAATTTCCGTTGCTTAACTGTCCGTTATTTTTGCCATAAATGTATCATGAAATATCACGAAAACAATTAGAGTTTTTGGGAAACATCATATGTAGTTGCATAATTTTAGTCAGTCCATATCAAACGTTGTTTTGTGCGTAGAACGGACAGTTTTCCGGAGAACGGACAGTTTGCCCATAATTCCCGAAAAAATAATTAGAGTTGTGGGAAGTAAACTTCCCACAACTCCTGTACAATTAGAGTTGTGGGAAACTTCAAATTTGTCTCAGTACATATCCTACGTGGTTTTGTGTGTAGAAATGACATTTTCCCACAACTGTTGAGGGAATTCCCGTGGGAAGCAAAATTGAGTTGTGGGAAAAATTGGGTTGTGGGAAAAATTGAGCTGCCTGCCTGTGGGATAATCTCCCAACTAGGGGAGAAATCCGGGGATTCCCACTGCCTCAATAAGGGGAACTTCAAAATATTCAATCCAACTCTTTCCAACCCCAATAACGGATATTGAAGTTTTTTAAAAAATACCTGCTATTTTTAAAATAATTCGTAGTAAAAATACCCAAACTACACAGCGTGTTTGTATCTCCTACATATCTCAACCACCTGCTAGACATTCTTTAGACTTTTTCCAAGACAATGTATGCATGTACGTAATCCATTCCATGCTCAGTTGGATTCTTGGCTACGAGGCTGATATAATTATCCCAAAATTTTCCCATTATGGCTTCCTTGTCATTTCGTTCTTGGTTCAATGCCGATTGGAAAGTGGAATGTGACCATGTTCGTGTAGTAGGGACGAACCACTCGGCATATTCTCGTTCAGAGAAACTTGTCTTTCCAGAGGTATACAGTTCTCTGTAGGGACATGGGACAATCTTCTCCTCGGCCGATACGACCTTGAACCCCCCAACTTCTCCAATCCCTTGCAAAAATTCATCCATCGTTCTGTAGTAGCTTGGGAAGGAGATTGCGTCCTTCTCCTTGTCATCGATAAGACCCTCTTCGTGAAGTTGGTTCCAAGCAGTTTCGAACGAGTCCCACATACTCTTTCCTTTGCCAGTTTGTCCCAAAAAGTATCCTTCTTTGGATACGCAAAAATTGACACAGACAAATCGGCCACCCTTCACAAGTTCCTTCGACCGCGCCTTCAGAATTGCTTTCCAATCATCTGCGGCTTGCACCTTTTCCGACTGTGGGGCCTCAGGACATCTGGCAGCGTGCATGAAAGGAGTACCGCTCAGAGAACTGACGTCACAGGAACTCAACCAATGCATCGCAGTAAAAGAGATTGCGAAATCAATAGAGTTAGAAGCATAGCATTGATTATGAAACCCAACCCCAGAAGCCTCGGCATACACATTTCCCAGAGCAATAGGGGTCTCTATGTGATTTCCGTACGCGTCTTTCACATGTTTTAGTCCCAGTGCATGGCGAAAAACGCTCTTTTGAGAGGTGCAGTGAATAGTGAGATTCATGCGTATGATAGCAAAATATTGAAACAGCAATTATTTACCTGCCATTCGTTGGTAAGTTGATCTTCGTAGTGAACGACCACCTCTTGTTCATCGTTGTTGTTGTGCTTTCTTACAGACTCTACCATTCGAGAAAGCAGCCCCAAAGACGTCCCGGCATCAGCAGTTCCATAATCGGCAATATGATAAGCTCTTGGCGAGGAGATTGCGTCTTGTTTGAATATTTCTCCGAGGATTGCAGGTGTCGCGGTGTCAATGACATCGAAGCATCCCTTCGTAGCCGCTGTGTATTCTCCTTCTCCGTCTTTTCCAACAGGTTTGTGGACCCCGGTGCCAGCTTTACTTGCAAGAGATACGAGAGCGAAAGAAGTTCTTCGTGGTGTAAGCAGGACGAGCGATTTCGTTGATAGCTTCATTTTCAACGCGGTGTTGTATTATATATAAAATGGATTCAGCTGCTGAATCATCATCATTTTTTACAACCACGAAAAACGAAATATAAGAAGTTTGTTTTTGCCGGGGAACAATTGGTTCTACATATTTAGAAAAGCTATTTAATTAATTATCAAGGCCTTTTTGATGTGAAGAACTGGCATCCACATTTTCTGACTCACAGGAGGAAATCATCGAAACTGATGGCTCACAGCTCACAGAGTATGCTACCGGGTACTGAATATACCGTGTCTACAGGGTGTTCGCTCGAATCGACATTCCAGAACGAATCTTACTGAAATATGGACCTCAGAAGGCACCTCGCTCCTACAAGAACTGACGTGTAATCGATCCGATTTTTCTATCCTGCTGATGTTTCAGATTCGGTCATATTGCCGACTTTGAAATCGGTGTCGTCAATTGCAGCGATGTTCATCAGGATTTTGATTTCATCTCTTCTGCTTTCAGGTGCACTGTCATTGGTATCTTTCAGTGTTCCACAGCGGGGGAACGCAATAGGTACTCCGAGCTTTGGAGAGTTGTTCAATGTCGTCGAAACTCCAAACAAACGTGGAGCAACTGTGTTGGAAGCACCAGTCCGACAGGACGGCGTGAAGCTCTACATCGCCATCGATTCGGATTCTTTCAACTACAAAGAACGACCAGGAAACGGCGGCATTCGTCTTCTAAACTACAAATCAACCCAAGATGCCATCGACGATGCTGTCCGTCTTGCAATGGGAATGACAAGAAAGCACGACATGTTCCGGACTGGATTTTCTGGGGCCAAGGTTGTTGTCGACACTGACCATGCCAATCTAGAAACCATTGATCGAGAGGCTTTGATGAAGGACGCCGCTAGCGCTCTCAAGGCTCTGGAAGGACAAATGTACACGGGGTGTGACTTGAATACTTCCGACGAAGACATGGACTATCTTGTTGAAGCTACAGATGATAAATTCGTCTTGGCAGGGAGAAACTCTAGAGTCGACACTAATGTAGCCACAGCATCCTCCGTCATTGGATCAATATTGGGGGTGCTAGATTGCATGGACGATACTGACTTCAGCGAACTCACGTTCACTGTCCAAGGATGTGGCAAGGTCGGCAGCACAGTCGCGAAAGAGCTCGTGGCACGTGGTGCAAAGTGCGTGCAAACATGTGATTTATTGATGGAAGCTACAAAGATACCTGGATGTACTTCAATTGAAGACTGGACAAACACTCCCTGTGATTTCTTGGTACCATGTGCAAATTCTCTTGCAATTACCGAAAATGTCGCCATCAATTTCCCCGACGGTTTGAAATACTGCGTTGGTGCAGCCAACTCTCCATTTTCCAGCGTTGAGGCTCGTTTGATTTTCGATGCAAGAGGAGTAATGCACGTTCCCGAAAGCATTTCCAGTGCTGGTGCCATCCTCGCCGACAGTGTTGAGGTACGTATTCACAATCATTTTTCGCCGGTTCCAAAATTGCTTCTAAACCCTTGTCGACAAAGTGGTATGACATCAACCTGTACCAAAATGTTCAACCGGAACTAATGTACGGTTGGATTCGTGACCAGAGCAAAGCGAAGGCAAGCGATCTTGTGAACAAAGCTGACAAGACAGCAAAAAGTGTTCAAGCCGTTATTGGAGATGTTGTACCAAATAGATCAGGTGATCCAGTGGGAAAAGATTTCCCGGAATGGATCAAGGAGAACACTATGAAGACGGATACTTTGATTGTCGGCGGAGGTGTTGCAGGCACAGCTACTGCCTTTTCATTGGGGCAACGTGGTATCAAAACGGTTCTTGTTGAGAAGGGAAAATCTGTCGCACCTGCTGATGCCAGCAGCAACGGTGACAGTCGCATGTACCGAAAGATGTACTCGTCTGAATTCTTTAGCAGAATGCAGTCGCAGGCCCTTGAGCGATGGGATGATGTAGAAAAAGAAAGCGGGGAGAAGCTTCTTCAAGAAAACGGCCTTCTGTTCTACGGAGAAGATACTGGTGAAACAGTAGAAGGATCGGTCTTGGGAGCAAAGCAAGTGATGGAAAACCTGAATCTTCCACACCAGTTCTACGCCACTGGCGATGCGATCGCCGAGAAATACCCAGCGCTTTCTGGATGCAAAGGCAAGGATTATAGTGGAGTGTGCGAAGATACTGCAGGCCATATTCGAGCCTCCAAAGGTATGTGGTAGATTATTTCGTCCCAAATTGTTTCAGAATCGCCACTCACAACTTGATCTGGCTTTTTCATCTTTTCGTTTAGCTTGCCACGCCATGGTCAAGGCAGCTGGGGACACTTGTGACGTTCACATCAACTCAAAGATTGTATCTCTTGATGTGAGCGATTCTGCAGTTGATGGTGAGTACACAGTCAAGGCTGTCAAGCAAGACGGCACTACCATTCAGGCAAAGAATGCTGTTTTGGCTTGTGGACCATGGACTAATGATGTCCTGCAAATGGCAAGTCTGCCAAGAATTAAACTTGATATCTGGATGGTTCAATGGGCTCATTACGAGGTCGATACCGAGATCGGAGCGAGTATCCCTCAAGCTTTCCATTTCAAAAAAGAAAATGGTATTGACGGCGGCTTGTATTACATTTTCCCTTCCAGCGCAACTGAAAGCTTGGAGTCTAAGGATGGAAAGTCCTACGTTAAAGTCGGCGTTGATTTTCCAACATTTGAAGCTCTGAACAGTATGGACGATTTCAACTATGAGGGATCCGAAGATGTCTTGAGCTTGATGGTAAGTCTTGAAGCCTACAAATTCCAATAGCGTCGAAGCATTTGCTTTTCTAGAGTGAACAGCTAACATACATTGATCTCGTGACCTTTCAGGATGCCTGGGTCAATGAGCATCTTCCACAAGTTGGAAAAAGAATCAACGCGTACACTAGTCCTTACACCATGACTGAAGATTCCTACTTCATCATGGATAAGATTGCTCCCAATGTTGCCATTTTTGCTGGCGGCAGCGGTCGTGGGTTCAAATTTGGTCCCTTACTCGGGGATTGCATGTCATCATTGCTCCACAACGAAGACGGACCAGTGGATCTAAAGCCATTTTCGTTAGAGCGGGAAGCTCTCAAGTTGTAATACGTGGGTGATGGTAACTTCTTTTTCTAGTCCATTTGTGACCCGAAATCGAAGACGGGCAGTAGATTCCAATTTGCTTTATTGAACAGGAGTCGGTAAACTTAGGGTACTTGTAGAGCAACCTGATTTCATTTTTTCGTTGTAATTTTTGCCTTCAGATCTGCCACATAAGGTCGAACAAATCGAAACTCCTTTATTATTTCGAGATATTACTCCGCGAGAAGTATAGTCAAGACAAATTTAGCCGAGCGTTGACGCTTCGCAGAGAGCATGAAATAAGGATTTCCTTCCGCAATTTTGAAGGACACCAATGTCAAAAGATGAAGAGACAGGTACTAGCTACCGGTAGTACTACTTTTGTTGGAGGATCAACTATCGCATTTCCATGCTGTCCCAGCCGGATAGCCTAAGGAAACTAGCTTTAGAAACGATAAATGCAGTTATTTGGAGCTGTATCGCAACAAGTTCAACTCTAGAAGCAGAAGAAATCAGTTTGCAATTGGAAATCTTAAAAATAATATAACAACAATTTGAATTATGTTCTATAGTCCTATGGAGCATCGTCATCCCTCTCAAAGAAGGATTGCAGTGCTGTGCTTGTATCTGTTATGGTCCCACAATTCGTCTTGCCTGTGGTGGCCAAAAACACCATCACGGAAAAGAACCGAGATTTTGTCACTCTTTACGCGTTTGCGACTTCTTCATCGGGAAGCTTGAGCCCGTTTTGCGCAATGTGTTCGTCTTGTGCGCTCTTACTTGGCTTCTCGACAGCCTCTCCTTCGGGGTCGTTCTTGAGCAGCCAGTTTTCAATCTCTTCTGGAGATCCATCCATCAAAATCAATTCGTCCTCCGAAAACAATCTGGGGTGCAAGTACAAGCGTGCTGGAATACACAACAGAACCATCACTGGGAAAGCAATCGAGATGGACTTGATTTCTCGGACAACACAAACGATGCCGAAGAAAAGGAGCTGGAACATGGTGTACTTGTGAATGCGGTTCATGGGAACATGCGACGTGTAGTGGTTTTTGGTGATCTTGCTTGGTTGTTGGAAAAGAAGGATGAATCGTTGGTAGAACTGTTGGCCTGGCAAAGCGACCAATCCCATGAACAAGAAGACACCGTATAGAACGGGAAGAGGGATCAATTTGATGACCGAGAGAGCAAAGATGCAGGCCAACACCAATCCGTGGGTGAGAAGTCCAGTCAACCGAGATTCTTGGATGTACTTGACTTCGCCCTTGTCGTCCTTCTCTTGCATGGCAGTGATGTGCATGATACATGGGACAGTAGAAGCGACCAACCAGGGCAAGCCCATCAAGGAGTTTACCAAGACCATGATGGCAGAGATAACAGTATCGTAGTTGTAGGCATCTCCGTGGGCAAGTCTGTTACTTGGGTGGTTGACAATGTGCCAAGTGATACCGTTATCCAAGAAAGTCAAGATGAAAGCTGGAATACCAAGTGCGGCGGCGATGAAGATGACCTCGGTGTTTCCGTTGAGATCGAACAAATCAACGATCCATGGTCGGCGACCCCAGGGCTCAGCTTGATCAGGACAGTCAGTGGGCCAGTAGTCACGACAATCTTCAGTGCAGCATGTGAAGGAAGTGGCGAAAGTGTCTGGGACATTGAGCTCTTCGATTTGGACATCCTCAAAGACAGTGTGTCTCAAAGCAGTCATGACAACCACCGAGATGGTGATGGCGAAATCGGTGACCACGGTTCGGGCGTAGTCGCTGCAGCAGAATGCAGAGCTGCGAATTTGACGGAGTCCAATGGCGAAGAAGGCAGTACCAAGACCCAAAATTAGACTGAGAAGAGCAACAGTCATGTAGTCATATGTGGTATCTTCTTCGAGCATATCTTCATGATGAGGGTGATCAGTTCCAAAGTAGTGGAAAAGACCGACCTTGGAGGAAGGATTTCCAATGGCTCCCAACAAGAAAATAGAGACAATGAGCAACGCAAATGTCTCATCGGTGAATCGAGTGGCCTTTTTGATAAGTCTGTTAAAGTCAAAGAATGCTGCGATCACTTGGTACAGACAAACCCAGATACCAATCCATGCGTTGAATGTGAGGAACGGAACGTCAAGCTGCTTGGCAAGATCGTAACAGACGGCTTGGAAGGTCAAGACGGGTCCAGTACCACCATTGATCATCTATTGTAATGGTCAAACAGAATATATCTGTTAGCGTCACAATTTCGTAAACGGCAGAACTGCGAAAAAAAGAAACTTACCATGGGTTGTCCAGAGACCAAAGAGTAGAAGATTCCACACCATGCAGTGGCCAAAAGAAGCTCCACAGCTCCAATGTAATTGTTGGTAGCCTTGGCATACACGGCTCCGAATGTGATAGTGGGAGCAATCACAGCAATGAACAAGAAGAAAGAGACAGCGATAGTCTTGGTGTTGAAGTTGGTCATTTCCTTCACCCAGTGAGTTCCAATGGTGCGCTTGAAATCTTGGATGATTCCTCGGCCGAATGTTTTTGGCTTTGCATCATCTTCATGATTGCCTTCATCATGGCTTGGCTCATGGCGTGGAGGGTTCTTTCGAGCAAGTGGTTGCCTGTAACTGAATCCTGGCATTGTGAAAACTTACTGTAAGATATCGGGATGTATTGATATCTCGTCGGAGAGAATTTTATGAGGATGAGACGAAGCTGATTTTGACGAGAGAGATGTGGGAAACGCGAGAATTGAGAAAGAAAGGAACGTCCATTGATATTTGTCTTTTCGATCAGATGACAAACACTACTAAAGGCAGATTTGTTTGTGGACGCACCCCCAAACGTATGAGTAGAATATGTATGTCCAATCTCCATTTCTAACATCCCCAAGATGTCATCTTTTTTGTAGTAATGGATTTGTGACGTACTCGAAAGTGTGACGTCAAAGCGAGCTACTCGTACGCGAGAGCGCGAGAATTCGTTGATTCGCAAGATGTCAGAAACATGTGAACAATTTTATTGGCCTGATGCAACGGAACATCAAATTTTGACGCAGGCCGGATACACGAGCGTGTATTTGTATTTGTATTGGCATTATCGATAGTAGGATAATTGCAGGTTAATCAATTATACAAAAGTGCTGTAGTATAGCATTCGTTCTTCCGAGTACGCCGGGGTTTGAACTGGTGTAACTCGTGCTGGTTCTATTGGATCTGCATAAAACTTGCCCTCATTGCCGCTCGGGACGCAGAAGCTCAAGCGGCGACGTTTTGGACTTGGTTCTACTGTGCATGGTGCAAAGTGGCGTTTTTGCTTAGCTTCATCTCTCTTGATGCACTCTCGAAGACGTGCGACCAACGAGAAAACTCGACGAAGTTCCATTGCATGCATTTGCATCGCCATACTGTGGCGGCTATTGGGGCGAATGGAAAAATGTTTGATGTCAATGCCTGGTGCGCTGGAAATGGCACCAATGATTCGAGAGACTTCCGATCCAAAGTCTGAAAGCTCTGTTGTCTTCTTGTGTGGAAATCGCATTCGAAGGTATTCTGTCATGCGAGGCCCAAGTTGACTATAATGATCAAAATCTTCCAAGGCAATGGCAACAGCCGCAAACGCAATCTTGCCAGGAGCATATAAGAAGCTGACATCAGAGTAGACTAGTGCAGATTGAGCAACTGCAATGGCCCTGTCGCAGAGAGTTTCGAGCAGCTCCTCCTTGTAGAGTTCGCTAGAATTTGACCATGAGGATCTGTACCCATAGCGCTCAGTTTCTTGGGGACGTGTGTCACGGAGAATTTCTGCCATTTCTTCCGAGAGTCTCTTGATTGCACCATATGGGTGATGACACCTAAGTCTGTACTCCAACCCCTTCATCAGATCCATTTCAGCGTGCTCGATCTCCTGAACGCTGACCCACTTTAGCTCATCCCTACAAACTCTTGCGCTTCGAGCCTTAATGCTGATGACGGATGTTGCATGGGAAAGTACATCAATCTGTAAGAATAGAAATCAATAGTCAGACAACAAGAACACAAAATTGCATCCAACAATTTTCTTGAATCGTCAATGAAAGCCTTACCTCCAAAAATGGCTCGCAATCTACCTTGACGGCAAGCAGAGCACTTGCTGCTGCCATCGCTCTTGGGTGAAAGTCGACAATGGAATTCGATAGGTAGAATCTGCGGAAGAGCATGATGGCTGTGGACAGTACTGACGAACTTCTTTGAAGTTCTGGAAAGATCGCATTTGGGCCAATCAATCGTTGAATTTGATGAGCATGAAAATGAACCAGAGTTTCCTGGTCTAAAGGCATCATCCTTCTAGACTTTGCTTCCAATGAACAACCCATATTTTCGTTGATTCTGTCCCGGTATCCACATGCAAAGCTTCGGGCTCTCTTCTTCGTCGAAGGCTGAACCACTGCTGCTTTTGCTCGGCATTCAGACAGCGTAAGCTCATTGAGCATCCAGAATCGCGCTTGGGATGAAGACTCGAAATCCATATTTTTGCAGACGAAATCAAAAATTTGAAGATGTGGGATGATGGATGGATCCAGAATTTGTTGGAGTCGGTCGTTTTGTGAGAGGCGTTATGTGAACGGGAGGCCAAGTACTGGACTTACTGAGTCGTCTGGGGGGATTGCTTGGCGGTATTTTTCATTCCAACAATTTTGCCGCTTTGGAATCCGTTGTTGCAACCCAATCTCAGATGGTCGTTAAGTAATCATCCGATGAAAAATATGGCATCTAAAAAATTTCGCTCGTCCCTTGGCGTTTGACAAATTGTATTCTGGTAAGTAAACAATTTCGCACGCGAGATAGCCGAATCTGGCTAAAATATTGCGCAAGAGTATTCCATCATCCAATTTCAACGGTCAAAATGAAATGTCGCAATCTTATCGCGTGACTTGCTTGCGCTTTTGTACGCCAATCCAAGAGCCTAGATTGCACACAAAAAATCGATCAACGCGCCAAAAAGCTGTTGTGGAAAATTCATGCCGATGCCTCCCGATGTCTCAACGACACACTTTCCAATATTCCGAGAGTATTCCAATGCACGTACCGTTAGACTCTGAACGGAAGAGGTTTAGAACAAAAAGTACTTTATTAGACTATGCTTTGCGTCGGACTATTCCATTGTGATGATAGTGCGGACCAGATCGAAGACAGCGGAATACATTTTTCTCTACCTTTTCTATTGCTTCCATTCTTGACCCATGGATACTACGACCGACACGCAACGGCCAACAATGCCACTAGAGGAAGCCAGAAGACATCGCGGCGTCTGGCATGGCAGCATCAATTGCCCCATTATCTGACTCGACACCGAATAGCATATCAAACTCGGACGTTACAATCTTGTTCTTCGGCCGTTCTGTCGCGAGGTTGCCAACAGGGGCTGCAATCACCTCGGCTTCAATTTCCCCAGTCACGCCATTTCCGCTATTTTTCGCCTCCTTCTTGGAATCAGCGTCTGAAGCCGCGCCATACTTTGTCTCCAAAAACTTGCGAATGCGAGTCTCGATACTATCTTTCACAAACAAACGAATGATCTCGACATTGCGCTTCTGACCCAATCGATGGACTCGACCAATCGCCTGCTTTTCCAATGCTGGATTGAAGCCAGGTTCCATAAGAAACACCCGATTTGCTTGAGTCAGATTGATTCCACAGTTGCCAGCTCTGATGTCAAAGAAAACATTTTATTGGTTAGACCAAATGTCCATAGACGTGCAAAATACAACGGTGTGGCTGTCTGGCTGCTTACCTCATACTCAACAAAAAAATAGTAGTTGGGGGATCTGCTTGGAAATCATGCAAGGATTTTGTGCGTTGTTTCATTGACATACTGCCGGATAGAGTGCGGAACTCAAACCCATGTTTTGGAAGTTCTTCTTTCAACAATTTCAATGTCAAGTTGAAATGAGAAAACACCAGCGACTTGGACGTGGGGTCGTTCTCTCTTGCCTTTTTCAGTTCCGCAATCAATACTTTCATTTTGGCTGTGAAACAAAAAGCCGAGTACTTGATCTCGCTCTTCCTTTGAACTTTCACGTCTTCTTCATCGTCGTAGTCATCATTTTTGCTTCCTCCGTCCTCGGGATTTAGTGGCGGGTTGCCTCCGGAACAAGCCACACGTTGTGGTGTCAATTTTTGAGAGAGCAACAAGTAATGCTTCGACAATTCGTGAGCATGGCTAGCTTTGAAACGCACGTAAAAATCTTTCGCAGCCTTATCCAAAGCATCGTATTCCTTCCTTTCAGCTTTGGATAATGAAACTTCGATTGAAAGCTCTTTCTTTGGAGGGAGAGACATCAGTGTCGTGTTTGTGCCTCGGTAACATTGTTTTTGAGTATGTCTAATCATGACATTGCGAAGAAGGAAAAGCAGTTTCCCGGGTCGTCTGATGTACTGGTTTGTATTTCGGGAACTGGGTTTATCGCAACAATTACGAATCATCTCATCGACGGACTCGATGCCCAGTAGTTTGAGTTGATTGATCAAGTCGAACATCGATGTGCTCACAGGCGTCCCAGTGACTATCCACTTGTGGTCTGCTACTATTCCAGAAATGGATCTGTTTCGATTCGTATTTGCTTGTCTGAGTTGATGCCCTTCATCACAGATGACACGCCACCATCGTACTTGCTCCAAAGGTGGGCAGAATTTGTCTGGATCACTAGACTTTTTCCGGTGATACGTGTCATCGGATGCCAAAACTTGATATGTTGTTACGACAATCGCGTTCTTGGCAAGAATGCCAGCATCTCGAATTCTGTTTCCTCCATGATATGGGTAAAGGAGGCCAGGATCGGATAGCTTACTTTTCGCCTCTTTCACCAACGCCAAGGTTAGAATAGATCCAAAAATAAACCATAATCAAGAGGAAAACGTACCTTCAATCCACTGCCCAACCAAAGACACAGGGCATATCACCAATGTTCCCCGACTCAGGATGGAACCACGAAGAGGATTGTCGGTGGAGGTTTGGTCGTTTAGCCCCTTGTTCCAATTTGGGGTATTTGATCCCAAAATAGCTGGTATATTTGCTAAACACGACACATTACTACCACTCGCTGGAAGCTCAGGAGCGGGATGTTTCAGAATTAAAGCCAAAGAGATAATCGTCTAAAGGAGAATGAGGAATTAAGAAAATTCTCAAAATATTGAGAGTGCGCATTGTAGCAACGTACCTTCCCAAGACCCATTTCTTCTGCAATAATACCACCTCGCACTTCTCTTGGTTTGATGGAACTGATACTTTGTAAAATTGGATTGAAATACAGGGTAGACCCTTCGATTGGCACTTTGGCCCAGAAATATGATTGAATTCCACCAGGAGTGGTCTCTCGTTCCATTGCCCATTTCAAGGACTGTTTTTGGAATTCAAGCATTTCGACTGCTAGACCTTCGCAAGTGAGCTCTGGCGTGTGGCCCAAGTTTTCCAAGTTTAGAAGCACGCTTTCCGTGCTTCGGTCATTCTGATGTGTCATTCTCGCACTGCGGATCAGATAACTTTCTGCAAACGCACGATCACGATAGCTCAACACAAATGTTAAGTCCCTTGGATCCGAACCATTTTTGTGGTCAGAAATTTTGTCCCAATCAAGTGAGCGTCCTATATGCTGATCTATAAAAGTCTCGCGGTTGTATTTTTCAAGCATTCCCCGAAAAGAAAAGTCGGCGTCCGTGAAACCACCGACATCGGGATTGCCAGTGCTGGATGTCAACGCAAGTGAAGATCGAATCTTGTCTGCCTCGTCGTTATGCTTTGCGAATAAGGATTCGATGTCATCGGGGGTGGAGCTTGCTAGGGACCACCGCGACGCAGGAGGCTCCGCGGCCTTCAAGGTACCACTAATATGCGATACTTTAAGTGGGAACACCTTGGACCAACATCCTAAAACCATTTGGTTGTATTCACTTTTGCCACTAACATAATCCAATCGGATTTTGATAGTCTACGACGGACGGGGTTAGAAGGAGCGGTAAAATACGGATAGGAATGCAAACAAAAGAACTCACACCAGTCGAACTTCGAGCATCCCAAACGGCTGTGACATCACCAACATAGTCGTTGGTCTCATACGCGAAGCGCGAAGGCGAAATTTGAAATTGTGACACTGCACGAATCAAGGCAATGTCATTGGGATCCATGACGATGCTATCTTCGTTCTTTTGACGAGCTGTCTTCTCGTCCCATTCTGAAACCATGCCAAGGACAGTGCGCAAAAAAGGTCGCTTTCCAATTTTATAGTCAAAAACAGACTTTTTCATTGCTGCTTCATCGTACTTCCAATTAGGATCGTCCTTCTTGGCCTCTTGCCAACTGATTCGATATTTGTAATCTTGACGAACATCTTGAGCAACAATGCGGAAAGGGAGCTCTCGCACTCCAAGTTTGTGATGTGCCTTCTTGTACGAGTACTTGTGAGTGTATTGCTCTGGCCTCCTCCGCTCAACGGCCAGTCGTCCACACTTAAAACATCTCTGAGAGTTGTTGGTCTGCATGCAACCACTATTGTTATGCCACTTGCAATGAGGACAAGCAGGATGCTCATCGGCACGAAGATTCGATGGCAATTTACCCGGTGCATAGGTTTTGTTTTTGGGTATCGAACGGAAATTGCCATAGTACTCATCGGCCTCGTCGTCTAGATCGTAATCATCCCTTTCATAATCGTCCTCATCATCAGACATGAATGTAGACCTATATGCGCCCATTCCAGGTCCGAGAGCTCTCAAGAGAGCAAGATATGTATCTCTATTCCCTCCAGCCGGTGGGGTTCTTTGTTGAGCGGTAGCTGATGCCGTGGTTCCAGAGCTATTACCACCCTTCACTTGTTGTCTCATTCTCTTCCAGCAATCATGTTCGTTTGTTGCATTGCAGTGACTTTTCTGCCAGGCTCTATCCGTGTTAGTCCAAGACTGTAATTTGAAAAAGAAAGGAGGTTGCGATTAGTTGGCCAGTGGATCAAGATGAAACGGTCTTTGGAAACTAAACTTACTTTGCAGTCTTTGACAGGAGCGTCACACACTGAAACAGAGAAAAAGAAAAGAAAAACACAGATGAGATTACACAGCTGACGAGACCATAGCAATATAGACAAAACAACTTCTTACCATAGCAATAGCACAGATCGCAATGGTTGTCATTCTGCGCTCGTAGGTCATTTCGATTTGAAGGGTTTGGGGTGAATTTACAAGTGGTACAGTCATGCCTCGAATGTGGAAGTTTGTACTCATTTCTTGTTCCAACAATTGCTAATTCGGCGTCCCCGTCGTCATTGTTGGAGGGCGCGGCTTCTGCGGTGGGGCAAGCGACAGTGGAATCCACAAGTTCCACCCCATTTTCTGATGATTTGGGTGGCGATTTCAGAGACGGTTTCGCCGCAGGTTTCTTTTCAAACTCATCTTTATCGATGACTAGGATTTCATCGTCGTCATCCTCTTCAAAGCCATTCGATGCTGAAGTGACATCATCCGTCCTCGCGCGTTTGGAAGACGGCGTGGATTTGTTACTTGGGTTTCTGGTTGATCCCATGTCTTGTTCATCCTCTGAATCCAGAGTGAGATCAATGACAGCATCATCTGATGCACGCTTAGACGACATTATATGGAGTGGCAGTCGTTGTAATGTATTGCAGTCTCCGTCACCAGCCCGGGTTCATCAAAATCCGCGGGAACCGCTTTGCTGTTGCGCCAAATTTCGATGGCGCGGCAAACGGACTTTTCAAGTCCCTTTTAATTTGTTGAAGGAACGATTGCGATGTAATGCAGTAGCGAAGTGCTGTGACTGTGAGCAATACGAGAAGTTTACAGCGCATGTAAGCATGAATTACTATAGAATGGTAAAAAAGAGAAGTATCTTGAAGAGAAAATTGAAATTTTCCAACAAAACAAAAAGAATACAACACCTGGGATTCCAACGTGGTCCACCACCGTAGTACTAACCAGGCATAAACATGCTTAACTTCGCTGAGCGGACGGGAAGCGGTGCTGTCATGTTGGTATGGTCGTATCCGATATGCACGGTTTATTGCAGGTATAATATAGCTACTTATTGGAAGACGTTGTAGTGAGGATTGCTTTGTCTCATTCAATTTTTGTGGCAACTAGATTTACTTCGCATGCGTAATGTCTAAATCATCGACCACACTTCTGAAACAGAGGTTTCCATTGAAGTTCATAGGTATCAAGTCCCAGAAAATAGAACTACAAGTCCCCAGAAATACTGGTAGCATTAAAGTTCAACGAAATCGCACCATCAGGCATTGCAGCAGTATCTGGAATTGTACTATCTGGCATGAGAGCATCCGGTGCCTCGCTTTCTGATTTGACCCCGAACAACATATCAAACTCGGAAGTGACAATCTTATTCCTTGGCCGTTCACTCGCAAGATTTCCGACCAACACACCATGTTCAACTTCAGCAGAAATTTCTTCTTCAGGTCCCTTCTCCGATCCTGCCTTCGAAGCAGCGTTTGTAGAGATTCGATACTTCGTTTCCAAGAATTCGCAGATACGTGTTTCGATACTATCTTTCACAATCAAGCGAATGATTTCCACGTTCCGTTTTTGGCCAAGTCGGTGAACTCGACCGATGGCTTGCTTCTCCAATGCAGGATTGAAACCTGGTTCCATCAAGAAGACTCTATTGGCTTGAGTTAGATTGATCCCGCAGTTGCCAGCTCTACGTTGCAAGCATCCGTCAGATTATCCTTTAAAATGCAACAATGGTGGAGATCGAGAGAGAACTTACCTCATACTCAGCAGGAAGATGGTCGTCGGTGGGTCTGCTTGGAAGTCATGAAGGGCCTTCGCTCTTTGTTTCATCGTCATGCTCCCTGCTAGCGTTCGAAACTGAAAACCATGAGCTGGCAACTCTTGTTTTAGCCACTCCAAAGTTGAATTGAACTGCGAAAACACCAATGACTTCGACGTTGGATCAGTATCCCTCGCCTGCTTGAGCTGCTCTATCAAAGTCGTCAATTTGGAAGTGAAGCAGAAATCCGAGTACTTGACTTCTTTCTGCTTCCGCACTTTTGCCTCGCCACCACCGTCATCTTCTGCAACAACTCCCGCTTCTGGATTTGTTGGTAGGTGCCCGCCAGCACACGCAACGCGCAGAGGAGTCAGCTTTTGCGAGAGCAACAAGTAATGCTTCGACAGTTCGCGAGAATGTCCAGCTTTGAATTGGACATAGAACTGTTTAGCCGCTGATTCGAAGGCATCATATTCCTCTCTTTCTTCATCCGACAATGCAATCTCAATCGACATTTCTGTTTTTTGGAGGAAGCGACATTAAAGTAGTATTTGTTCCTCGGTAACGCTGCTTTTGCGAGTGCCGAATCATCAGATTCCGAAGCAAAAACCGCAGGGTGCCCGGAGATGCAAGCGAACTATCATTTCGTCGCATGGAACGCTTGTCGGATTGGAATATCTTATCAACATGCTCGACGCCAATCAGTTTCAGTTGGTTCTTCAGGTCCGACATTGATGTACTAACAGGTGTGCCCGTCACCATCCATTTGTTATCAGCAACAAGCTGAGACAGTGATTTGTTCCTTTGGTTGCCAGCGTTTCGAAGTGAATGACCCTCGTCGCAAATGATTCGCCACCAGCGTATTTGCTCCAACGGTGGACAATACTCATCAGGATTTGATGACTTTTTGCGATGATATGTGTCATCTGAAGCCAACACCTGATAGGTTGTCACCACGATAGCATTCTTGGCAAGCGTCTCAGCATCTCGAATTCTATTGCCACCATGATATGGGTAGAGCAAACCGGGATTCGATAGCTTACTTTTCGCTTCTGTAAATCCAAAAGCAGCATGAAGTCAGAATAAGGAGAAAGTGATGCCCACGATACACCGAAACGAAATACCTTCAATCCATTGTCCAACCAAAGATACTGGGCATATCACCAACGTTCCTTGACTCAACACTGAGCCTCGGAGCTTGTTGTCTGTCGACGTCTCGGTGTATAGATCTCTGTTCCAATGCAATCCATTCAGGGCGTTGTCCGCTGGTGGAGGAATTGGTGTGCTGGATAGGCACGATATGTGGCTGCCTTTGATCGGCAACGCTGGAGCAGGATGCTTCAAAATTAAAGCCAACGAGATGATAGTCTACGATATGATGAGGGATGCCGTAGACAAGCAAAGATGTTTCCACGTACCTTTCCTAACCCCATTTCCTCCGCAATGATGCCTCCTCGGACTATTTTTGGCTTCTCTTTGCGGAAACGACCCAATATAGGATTATTAAAATACAAAGTGAATTCTTCGATTGGAACTTTCACCCAAAAGTATGATTGTATTCCACCGGGTGTTGTCTCGCGTTCCATCGCCCATTTCAAAGTCTGCTTCGGTTCGAACCTGCTCGGTTGCTCCCGATGCCCACTTTGTTGAGAAGTCTCAATAGAGAAATATCATCTTTGTTGTCCAAGATTATGACATCTCTTCGTTTTTGCTTTGCTTTCTCCTCCTCCCATTCTGAAGTATAATGTACTATAGCTGCGAGTCGCGGCCATTTCCCTATCCTGAAATCGAATACAGAAGTCTTCATGGCAGCCTCGTCATACTTCCAGCGGGGATCAGTGGCGTCGGCTTTCCTCCAGCTTTCGCGGTACTTCTTGTCGCGTCTTACATCTTTGGAAACAATTCGGAACCCAATTTTCCGTCCTCCAAAGCAGTAATCTGATTCCTTCGGTAGATACCCTTTCTGCTGGTTGCTTAAAAGGGTAAAACGCCCGCATTTTATACACCGCCCGTGGTTCTTCTGCAGGTCTTTGATATTACTGTGCCAAGCGCAATGCCTGCAAGGGGGGTGTGCCTTTTGATTATTACTGTGCCAAGCGCAATGCCTGCAAGGGGGGTGTGCCTTTTGATTAATGCCTGTTGGTAGATTTCCTGGAGCATAGATACCACCAATAGTGTTATCAGATCCTGTTAGGTTCGAATGATTGGAACTCCCTCTAGCATTAGACGTATTTGGAGTCCTATTTATCGTTGTAGACCCCATCAATCCTGAAGCTAGATTCCCGACGCCAACTCCATCCGAAGCAGCGCCACTGCCACTCTTAACAGCCCCCCGTTCCTTCACCCACCAATTTTGCTTATCAGTGGCATTGCAGTGACTGTTTTGCCAAACACCGTCCACGTTCGACCACGACTGTAAAGTGAGAACCAAAAGGGAGTTAGTTGGTGTGAAATAGTCTAAATGTCGGCTTGGTAAGACCACTCACCTTGCAGTCCTTTACAGGAGCATCACATACTGGAAAAAGGAAAGTTGTAAAGAAAAGGTGTATGAGATCGCACAATCCAAATCCAATGCAGTGAAAGAGACCATGCTGAATACAAAGTCCTGCTTACCATAGCAGTAGCAAAGTTCACAATGCTTCTCATTCTGCGCCCTGAGTTGATCACTATTCGCAGCCTTCGTCAAAAATTGATGCATTGTGCAGTCATGTCGTAGATGAGGAAGCTTGAGTTCATTTCTGGTACCAACAACTTGGAATTCTGAATCTATTTCTGTTTCGCCTGCATTGGGATTCCCTATCGCTGTTGTGGGACAGGCAACACATGCTTCAACGACCTCAACATCCTCTCCAGGCTTCAACACATCTGTCTCAGTTTCAAAAGAAGGGAATGTATTTTAGATCGCAGCAGGTTTGATATCTTCTAGGACAATAATCTCGCTGTTGGCGTTCTCTTCAAAACCGGAACTGTTGAGAGTTCTGGCACGTTTGGTAGCTCGTCCTGAGGTGCTGTTCCCATGAAACCGCCAAGTAACATCTCCAAGTCTAGCCTCTTGTTCGTCGTCAGATTCCAAGGTGAGGTCAATGACAGCGCTGGGGGATATACGCTTTGCCATTCTGACTTTGATCTGAAACTATGAATGTTTTGAATATATACTCGTAGAAAGCTCTATCGAAGATAGCCAACTGGCGCCTACCGCCTGGTTTCTTCCGTGAGGGATTCTTTCTTGGTGTGACTCTGGTGGGTTGTGGTGTGAAGCTGGTCTTTTGGATTGCGCGCGAAGCGTGCGGTTCCAGAAGACCAGTCTTTGATATCCCGCAAAGCGGAATATCAGAGACTTGCTTGCCTACTAGGTCATGCATTGATGCAAATTGCAGCAATGCATGGCCTAACAGGGATGTGGAGGGAGGGAAAGAAAGAAATAAACGTATTTCTTGATGTATACTCGCACACAAGTTCGATAAATTGATCGGACTTGGTGTTGCGGAGCAATGATGTTGAGACGGTCGTTCGACCGTCGTCAGTATGATGAAAGGAATCCAATGATTCGTTCTCGAGCTTTCGTCTACGTTAGAGGATCGATTGCGCGACCGATCGATCGACTCAAACGACAAAATAAAAAAATCATTCCACATCTCATGCGTCCATAATTTCTCAAAGATTTTATTCCGTACATCATCATTGCTCAGTCTAAGTATCCATAACACCATGTCATCGTTTCTTGTGAGGCTTATCATTGTTTCTCTGCTTCTCATACAATGTACAGAATGCTTGAGCAGCGATAACAAGAGAAGGCTTGACATAGTATCCACAAATCGTAATGGTGGCCACACTAAAGTCTTCCATCTGGATGCTGATGGCAATCCTCGTGTAGATCCATCCTCGTCCTCTGCAACTGCAAAACGTCGAATCCAAGGCCTGCAACACATCAGTTCGGTGATTCGATCCACCTTTCTGCCGTCTGGGTATCCCACGCGGACGCCCTCAGGGTATCTTCAATACTCTGCTTGGAGTTGGATTCAGGATCTTTCCACCCAACTCAGATCTGTTCTGGCCACGCAACGAGTACTTGAGGGAGTAGGAGTTGGACGGGAGGGCGCTACAGCTATTTCGGCCCTCATGAACTACCTAGTTCGAGACGGTTGTGGAATGGCTGCAAATTTGCTCTTTACATCTGGCTGGTCCACTTGCTTTCGAACCGACATCAAACGATGGCGATTATTTGCAGACACCATCTTGGATGTTGGGATCACGTGTGAAGTAGCGGCAGTTTTAGTTCCACAAGCCTTTTTTCTGCCCATGATTTCGATTGGTAACATTTGCAAGTCCATATGTGGGGTGGCGGCGGGGGCTTGTGGGGGTGCAATCAATCTCCATTGGGCAAAGGGGTCTGATATCTCCGATATTAACGCCAAGTTTGGTGCCCAGCATACCTGCACGGGAGCATTGGGATTGGTCTTTGCAGCCCTCTTTGCTCGATCCGTGAATCAAACAAAACCAACGGTGCTTTGGTCGCTCTACTTTCTCTTGACTTTCATTCACATATTCGCCAATACGAGATGCATGAAACTGATTTCCTTTGACTATTGCAACAATACGAGGCTGGATATCCTTCTCGCAGAATTTTTTTCTAAGAGAAGAGATGGAGGAGATACCAATGAGTCACTGTTTCAAAAGTTGCCAACGCCGACGGAGGTATCACGAACTGAATCACTCTTCTTTGGTGTTGGAGATGGACACAGAGGACTTCTGACAAGTGTCCCGTTTCGGTTTGGTGTCGACTTTGAAGAATTCCACCAAGCCTCGAGAGGGAATCTGCCCATGCAATCGGATGGGACAGTAGAATTCGACTCCGAGAAGTACATCATTACAGCTGGTATGACCAAACGAAACAAGAAATGTATAGCTGTCTCCTTCTTGTCAGATGCGAGTCCAAGAGATGTGACAAAGGCGTACTTTCATGCCATGTGTCTGGCTATCCAAATCCAGAAAGGTGACACACTACACAGTCTTACAGATATCCAAGATCTATGGAATCCATTCGAAGCTTTGGCAACAAAGGCAGGATGGGATCTTGACAAGACAGAACTGCGGTCAGAAGGCTTCGAATTGACACTTCATTCAAATGAGTCATGATAAATAAACCAAAATAATGCGAAAAACTGTCACAAGTAGACAATGTGACAGCTGCTGTAGTGTATCGAATTCTATAGTACAAAGTTGTTGAATCTAAAGTTGTTGAATCTCTCTAAGCGTAGTAATGAGGTGAGCTGACAACATCTTCTAGTGCCTCAAGTTGCTCCTGTGTAAAAGCGCGTCGATGGACTTCCCAGTTGTCGGACATATGCGTTCTTTTGTATTCAGCACAGCACTTCTTTACTGTGTCTCGAACGTTGAGTGGAGCATTGCGTTCAAAAGAATGCTTCGAAATTGCAGCCAGAGCTTGTGGCACATATTCTGGAGTCTCGTAAGGTTGTGATAGTACTGCTGCGCACAAGAAGAAAACAGACGACTGCTGCATTTTGGCACGTGTGACCTCTTTTGCTTTCTTCTGCTCTTCTGTCAATATAGCTTGCGGTACAGAATTTCCCGCTGTGCCCTTTTTCGTTGTTTTGCGTTTCTTCATCGTCGATTTCTTAGCCTGCAATGCGTATTTTTTAACAAGATTTGCAACGCTGCTGTCTGGAAGAGCTGCAATGATTCCGGTCACGGCTGCCATCGCAGCAGAAGACACTTCACGACGTTCATCAGCAAGAAGGTCCGCTACAATGGTAGTAATCTTCTCAGCGTGCTCTTCCGTGAACAGAAATTTGTGGCTACCTTGAAAACACCGCAAGAAGTTGGCACATGCATGGCGCACTTGCCATTTCTCGTGCGTTGCCATTTGCTCTACAACTTCCAACACTCGTGTGATGTCAGCATTTCCTCCATATGACATCACAGATGCAACGCTGACCTCTGCTATCGTGTAACGATATCCTTTCACGACTTCAGCTCCAAGAGCGCGTTTTGCAACTGTGGCCTCTTCGGCGTCCCCGCCTTCATCCTCGACGCTTGAAGTAAGCGCTTCAAATGCAAGAGGTAGAAGTGGAATGATATATTCTGAGAATTCATGCTTCGCATCACCGAAGTGAATGCAGTAGGAGAAGAAGCGCCTTGCAGTGATGAGGGAATTGTATCGATTCTGGAAAGTAGGATCATTTGAATCTCTTAGTGCCAGCAGCTTCTGAACAATGACAGTTCCTGGATCTTCGGCGTCTGTTGCCGAGTTCTGGGCAACCCCCTTTGACATCTTGCGATGACAGAAGCATATTCTGAACAAGCATCCGGAAATATGGTCGCGACAACTCTCGTATGGATGGCCCAAGGCCTCAATCAAACGAGGCAATAGTCGATCGCTCACAAGTTTCCAAGTCTTCTTGAGATCCTCCGCAGTCTCTTGTTCGGTGTCCATTGTCACGATGTTTTCTGCCAAGCACTTGGTGTACCATGGCACTCTGGAAAGAGTTCCGTCTACCTCTGTCTCGTCAAGCTCTACAAGTAAGGCGCAGCAAAGATAGAGCCACTTCGATTGTGCAGTGAACCCGTCAGTTCCTTGAGTGCCATTTTCCGCTTCAAGTTGACTCTTGTTTTCATTCTTCGGTTCCCAAAGAGAGCCCTCGATTTTGGTCAGCAACCAATTGGTCAACGGATAGAATTTACTTGGAGGAGAGAACTGAATGCCATATCGAATGGCATCGAAGTATGCACCGGAGAGTGAAATTGGTATCTTTGCGATAACATCGTCAAGGAAAGGAAGCAAGTCTGAGTCCCAAAGTAACGACACTTTTGCTTCAGAATATATCTGTAGGAAAGCTCTGCTAACACCAGCATATATTTCAGCAGATGTGCACTGCTGATTACGTTGATCTTCACTCGGAGGGGAGTTAGCCATTTCTTTTGAGAAGGTTAGAAGGTGCCGAGCAACTGTAAGGGCATCTTCTTCACCCAAGCCGAGAAGAATTTGTTCAACGAGTTGCGCATGCGACACCTTGAAGGTTCCAGAGCTTTGGTTAGTGCGCTGAAATGGAAACAGTGACCTTGGTGCAACGTTGCGAGCAGAGTCGCGAATCATGTCCGCAACACCAGCTGCCCACTGTGCATCGTGTCCACCTCCAACACTGGAATCTTCCTTGTGGTCATAAGCAAGGGCATTGCCGAAGCTTCTGGCAAAAGACTCTGTCAAAAGGCGTTCACGCAGTAGTTCTCGATCTTTGTCGTTGCGAATCATTTGGACAAGACGTCCGAAAAGACCCAAGGCAACACGCTGTAATGGCTGCCCGTTCTCATCTTCAATTATCTGGAAGCATGTTTTCCATAGTTTGTTGTGAACATTGATGCTCGACAACTCCATGTCATCTCTGTCAACAAGGACAGTCAGAAACCAGCACGCATGCAGTAGCTTCCTCCAATGGACTGCCTTGGCTGCTCCAGCCTCTTCGTCGTCCATCTGTTCGCTTTCGGTTGATAGGATGTTCAGTAGAAAGTCTATTGTCTGTTGATGTTTCGCTACATCAGCCCCCGAAGCCCGTGGGAGACTGTAGAACTTCAGGCGGAATGGACTAAACAGGCTATGAAGATAGTGTACCATCTTTTGCATCTCCTCGGCTGGCATCATGGACACAAGATCTTCGGTACCACAAATAGTTTGCACAAATTCATATCTCGCCTTTTCATTCGCAAGCATTTGCTTGCCCGCGCGAGGGATTGAAAGAATAGAGCAAACCCCCTTCATGGCTTCAGCCAACCTCTTTCTCTTTCCTTGTCCATCGACCTGCGATTTCAAGATTGAGCATGCTGGGAGACCAAACTTGCCGTCCATATTCTCGTCTTTCAAGTTCACAGCTGCCATCAATCGTGGGACTCGTGGCGCGAGAAGGTATCCATAACGCGTAATGGCATAGTCCACAACTCCGATGGCGGAAGCTCGGACTTGGGTGTTGGAGTGGCAGCATAATGCAAAGAGTGCATCCATCATCCCTTCGTAACCATCCATACTTGAGGAAATCTCGTCTTCCATTATGCCGGTTGCGGCCGTCTTCACATCCTTGAATGAAACCTCCGTGGAGAATAGGATTGTTTTCTTTCCCTTTTGCATCTTCGATAGTCGTCGCAAACGACGGGGAACTTCAAAACTTGCCATCCGTTGTAGGGAGTCATGAAAGAGCTGTATTCGCTTCACGAGAAGGCGGCGTGGAAGAGTCTTGCCGGCATCTTCTCCATCTTTGAAGAGCACAGAGCTGCTGTCTCCATACATTTGAGCACGTTGCAAAGATTCGGCCATGTGATCTGCCTGTGCAAGCAATGCAAAATCTGTGGCCAGCTGCTTCTGTGCTTTCCAAATCGTCTTTCCTTCTTGAGACCGGAATGAAGCCCCTCTTCTTGTAAGGAGCAAGAGAGAAATGTCGCTGGTCTCTTTGCAGACTTTCGGGTCAGCACTTATGAACTCCATGTACTTATTCTCTGTCCCTTCCCCAACGGTGGCACCTTCAGCAATCCGCGATGTCTCAGATGCAATCAGCGATGACAATTTCACAATCAAAGAGCATAATCGGCCGCGCATTTTCAGCATCGATTGTAGAGTTTCTCCTCTGGCCGGTTGCAGCAAGTTTCGGACTGCCTTTTCATAAGGTACAAGGCTGAGATCACGTCGTTCATCACCAACTGTGACCCCTTCACCCGAGTCTTGGTCTCCCAAGCCTTCACCGGAATCAAAATCAAGCATAAAGCTAGATCCTCCTCGAAGTGCATATCGAACTGCTCGCAGGCATCGTCGCATATCTGGAATATTCACCTTGTAGGACCCCGAGCCGGACCCATCAACGTCCATGTCATCGTCAGACATTGATGATCCGAGCTCGCTGATTTTCTTGAAAACATGATTTTGAAAGATCTCCCATGCAAACTCCACACATTCTGCATTCGGCACGTGCCATTTCACTGGGTCGCCATTGAGTTGCGCGGATTGTCCGAGAATCAAACCGTCGCTTCCCGTCACATTTCTTGGGACACTGTTGGATGTGAGAGCATAAGACTCGCATAGCGTTGCCAAAGTATGACGCATGAGCTTGCAACCAGTTTTGAAAACATGCTTGTCGGTACTGGAAAGTGCAAAGTCCAAGGCCCGCATAATATCCGATTTGTGTTTGATGATTGCTGTTCCGCAAGCTCTGATTGCCCCGGCAACACATCGCAAGCGATACGTAACAGTCTTATTTGAGTGATGTTCCAAGTCGTCGAGAAGGACTGGAAGCAATGCGTCCAATCCCGGGCTGACAATTTGCCGGTTCTTCACACGAGCTGCCGAAACAGCGAGGCACAAAAAGGAAGAATCCTTTGCAGCCTCTGGCAGCGTCTCTTCTTGTAAGAATCGAACAACGGACGTCACCGCTTGTTTGTGCGTTTCGTCATCCATCGAAGCAAAAGTCTGTTCCAAGCATTCCTTCAACACCCGCGAGAAATTTCTTGCTTGCTGAACATCAGCTGAGGAGTGCCGAGATGCCACTCCGGAAGCAGTCTTACCAGCCTTCTCTCTTTCTCCAGTTGCTCGCAGGAGAGAATAGACGCGCTCCAGAAACTCGAGCACCCAATCGCTGAGAGCAGATGACGCTTCCTCTAGAACGAGATTGAAATCCAGGTCACTGATATCTGTGCCTTGTTTCAAAAGAGAAAATTCTGGGAGTTTGTCGATCGCTGATACATATCCTGGTGCATGTGCCTGTGAATACAGGTGTTTCAAAAGATTCCTTCCAATGCCCATTGTGCCATCATCGGCTGGTGCTGCGTCCCGAGCTACACCATCAAGTGTTTTCCAATTCTTGGTAGCACCGCCAACCGGAATCCACGATGTCAAGCTTCGATACAAGATCAAAGTTCGAATCGTTTTGTTTTGGTCGTTGCTGTCAATTCCAGCGAGAGATAATCTCAAAATATCGGGAAGTCGTACCAACAAAATTCCGGGATTACTTCTCAATGCTGGTTGAAGTAATCTTGTCAAGGCTGACAGAGCTGCAGGCGCTTGATGTGCCAAGTTCACAGCCGAGATATCCAAGGCTCGGGTGGCAAAATCGATAAAGGCAGGAGTCACTCGCATGGGGTCAATTTGCGTCAAGTACAACATTGCCGCTTCACCGGCCCGTCCGACATGTCCATTCTTACTGTACAGTGCTTGCTGACACAGGGGAAGAAGGGCATCCATCAAAGCAACTACTTCATGATGCGGAGTGGCAGCCACAGTCAAGCTGGGTTCGACGTCGCAGAGCGCTTTTGCCAAATCTGGTTTGGACGCCTTCAAGGCTCTCATACTACCAGCAGTTCCAACCCTACAACAAAGCTCGTAGCAAAAGTAGTGCAAAAAGGCTCCCAACGTAAAGGTCCAAGATCCAATGTTACTTGGATTGAAGTAGGGTGTTGCAAACGACAAGAATCTCAATACATCCTTGGAACCTTCCGAGAAATTATCAAACAAAAGGCCTTTCCCCAACCCGACCACCAAGAGCTTAGCCACTTTTGCAACAAAGTCAATCCCTTCTTCGTAGGAGGAAGACGAACCCACAAAGACTTTCAGTCTGGAAGGACAAGTTCGTGACCTCGGAGCCGATGCATTTGGAAAGCTCTTATCCAACGACGCTCCACCAATGGGAAGCTGCAGCCAGTACTGACTGTGCGTCAACAACCGTCTTCGAATCGGCCCCCAATCAAAACCAGCAGGAAGGTGTTTGCGTGCTCTGCAAAAGAGTGCAAGCCACAAATATTCCATTTCGGGACAGCGATCAATATTGGTCCAGCATTCAAACCAGGTGGGCATCATTTCCGTGTAAAAGGCACTGGAACATCGAGATGGTTGAAAGAGGTAGAGAATAATCAAGGACCGGTAACAAGCGTGTGTATGAGAATGAAACATGACATCTGTTTTGACTGCGTTCCAAATCTGACGGGCGGTCCGATCATCAATCGCGGTGGGATCGTTCGGCAAAAGTCCTTGATCAAAAAAGTGTCTCGCATCTCGAATCATTTGGACCGTTCGCTTTACAATGGTGTTTTGACGCGAGTTGGATGCCATCGGTGGATCCCCAACCTTGTGTTCGTCGAGATAAGGCGCTGTTCTGAGTAGTGTTCTCAGCAAGGCCTGCCATTGCAAGATCAACAAAAACCGCGAGGAATCGTCATTGTGGGCATAGACTGCAGCGTTCGAGACAGATCGCAGGGGTCCCTTATTGGATAGAATGTTGACCAGTACCGACAAGAGGACTTCTCTGGCAGGTGAAGGTAGAGCGAATCTTGTTGTAAGCTCCTCCTCGAGAATGTTGGAATCTGATGCCATTTTAAACTGAGACTCCTTGTTGCCAGCAGCATTCTCTAGATTGCAAATGTATCCGACGTTTTCGTAGTATATGGTGACCTTTCGTTCATTCTTTTCATTCAGTGCAACAGTGTAAGTAGCTGTTAGTAATTTAAGAATCTTCAAGACCATGCGACTGAGTTCCAAGCGAGAAAGACCACTGTGCTTCAAGTTTTCCAACGAGCTCAGTTGCGATTGAAGCCTTCCACAAGCACGGATCAGGGCTCCCAAAGAAGAAACTTCAGCTGTATCAGCTGCATCATCATCCTCATCAATGACAACATCGTCTGGAACATTGGCGTCTTCTATAACCACGTCGTTCGCCAGCATTTCTTCTTTCAATTGCATAGATTCCACAAGACGGATAATGTATCTCGATTTCTTGTAGGCAAGTTTGGTGATGAAAGGAATTCCATCTTTGTCTATGTGATGGGCGGGAAGGTTCTGGTGAAAGGCATGTGGGTGTTTCCAGCTTGGATCCTCAGTTGTGTCTTCGATTCCATCTTTGGTCATGACGAAAGTCTTGCCTGCTTTCCGAAAAGATTGTGTGTGTGTGTGTGTTTGTGTGTGTGTGTGCGTGTGCTAGTCAACTTGGATGTGGATGCTGGATCTTTTTCGGAATTAGATCTGGCTATCGCAACGGTAAGAAGCCAAACGAATAAAGGAAAGAAACTTAATTCTATCTATACACAACGATTGATTCAATGAATATGGTTGGTGGAGAGGATAGCAGCAAGAGGTACCAGTACTCGTAGTTTTCATCAAATATTATGAATGTCCACAGCTGCCCGAGACCTGAGATATATTCTTGATCCGAAAGGTTCGTCGGACGCCGAAAAAAATCAAAAAACAGGAGGCACAGAGCCCCAAGATCAAAAGTCGTGTAACGGCCAGTAGGTTTGGTACAGGTACTGCACTGCAACTGCCACTGATGGCAAGCTGCACCGAACGACTAGGGCGATTGAAAACGGTCGTCTTAGTCGGAAATAACGAATGAATGAATGACCAAGGCTATGCAATGCATGTAGTCGATCTACTATAATATCAAACCAAATGAGTGAGTACTTTTCATTATTGTGGTAGGCAGAAGTCGCTCATTTTCATGCTACTGGTAACCAGCTTGGGTATTGCCACAGGAGAGGAAATAATGAATAGCATAACTAGAAGCGACAGCAACAGCAGCAACGATGCTCTTTGCACGGAAGCTCGCTTTCATAGAATATGGAGTAAATGGAAGCGACGAATACCTGCCTTGAAAAAGGTAGAAGAAACCTATCTGAGAGTACCACCCCGACTGCGAATCGCCTTTATCACAGTCTGGCTTTTGTGGAAAGTATGCACATTGATTTTCTTTCTCTACTTGCTCTTCAATATGCACCTACACCTGACTGGTTCAGGTTCCGATTCCGTCTCATCAATTGGTGAATCAACGCTTTCCGTCGATTACGAGGATTCCATAACTACCACACGAGTCTTGTACATTATCACGACACTTTCCGAATTCAACAATGGCCTGAGAAGGACCATCAAGGGACAAGATCGATTGGTAGAAATATTGATTCCGGTGATGGTCAATGGAGTCGAATCCATGATTGTTCCGCCCTTCCATTACCAAGTGGACGTCTTTTTGATATGTGCCTACGAATTGCAACCAGAACGAGAACAACTGATACGGGACAGTCTTCCGCCAAATGTTGGATTCCAAGTTTGGGACGATGCGGTGCCACTGGGATACGACAATCGAAATTCCAAAGAGAAACTGATACCCAACACACGAGCTCTGGCCCGACAGCATCGATATGTCATCAAGGACAAGTTCTTTCATTATGACATGTTTTTGGCGTTTGAGGATGATATGGTCATCAAGGCCGACCATATCGACCATTTCATGGCCATGTCGGCGGAATTAGATCGACTCCGGGAATCCGCACCGATGGAACTACCAGATGTTCCAGAAACCTTGGACGAACCAACGAAAATGAAATTCTTTGGAGAAATGACCAAGGGTCAATTGGATCGAGCCGTACCTGGTTTCATTCGAGTGGAAGTTCTCTTGAATGATACGGTGCATAGTGGTCAACGTAAGCCTTTGCCCATACCGCCAGACTTTGAATTTGAAGACCATGCTGGCGGTGGCGGGGGCGAAAGGCATATAGAGCCAGAAATCTGTTGTCATGTCAACATGCCCACAAGTCCACGAACGCCTCCATCTCCTCCAGCTGACGATATCATTATATGGGAATCTAATGTCAAGGCATTTACACTGAGGGAACTTCCACCAGCTTCCAACTACGTCAATTGGACTGTCGTGATGCTTGGTCCTGGCAAGAAGGAGAAAGAGGAAGAAAAGATTGGTGGCTATTGGAGTGGAAGACAGGGGGCCTTTGGAGACGAAAAGAGACCTTCTGGAGGACCACCCGATCTGATTGCACAACAAGGTGGGTGGATGGCAACACAAACGCAAATTGCACGAATGAACGATGGACTTTGCATGGGGTCGTTTCTACCGCCCTTTGATCCGCCTTCCTACTACGGTGATGGTCAGGAGTCCATGAATGTGGAGTTTTGGTCCGGCAGCTATCAATTCTTTACGGGGGTAAAGTCAGGGTGCAATATGCAACGGCTAATGAGCATACACCCGGACCACTTTTCCAAACACCTCATATATCATGTTGCAAACAATAAGCAGAGGCAACTCGCGCAGGAACGCATGGTTCGGGCAGACAATCTGTTTGCACAACTCAATAGCGTTCAAAAGATGGCACAAGCAGAGAAAGAAAAGATACTACTGGAACATTCACAATAGAAATACAGTTTATGCATAGCATTATGCACAGTATCTTCTATTCTATCACATAATATCGTATCAAATTATCAAAGGCTCTCCAGAACAAGTAGCAAGTCCACGGGGTTTGACAGCCACTTGCAAGTCCCTATACAAGGAAGACCCATTGCCGCTGTGGCAGCCTTCCACATGATTCGCGTTGCAAAGACAACAACAGGTCCAATCAAGTCACAGGACACAACAGACACTGCCAGCCCTTGCCAGTATGCTATCATCAAGGATCCCAATAACCGAACTGTTGTCGTGTTTTCCCACATCATTACCAGTATGGTTACAATCGTAAACGACGATGGCAACATTAAAGCCAAGAACAACGTGTTGGATATTGAATCATCATTCTGTTCGTCGGAAGGCGAATTACGACTTTTGGATCCAAGCCGTCCATACATGCTGACAGCCAACCACTCCAAAATTCTACCTATAAGTGAAGTCATCATTAATGAAAAAATGAAGCCTTTGCTTTGAAGCTGCTGTGATGTTAATTCTTCCCCGGAAGAATCCATCTTGTGGCTTTCCCACTTTAGATAGGAATCTAAACAAGCCCATGCACAGAGCAACTTTACTCTCTGCCGCGTCGATATTTCCTGGAAAACATCTGAATTGTACAAGATGTGACGATACGATTCTCGTCGCACCAATATGCAATCTATAGCGATATGTAGCCACTCTCGTTCAATGTATGGATCGATGATTTCATGACACTTGGTACATGTCAAGACTTTGATAGAGGACAATGAAGCACCAAGCTGATGATACAATGATTCGCTAGGATATTCACAGTGAACACAAGTGTATGGAAAGTCGCTAGTCCTCTGGCGGAACGGAAATTCTTTGCTCATGGTTCCTTGGTCTCTCTTTTAGCTTTTTTTGTTGAGATGATGATTTTTCGAAATCGAGAGTGCAGTCGAAGGGATCGAACCGATTTTTTCGTTGCATCCTCGGAACATCATTGCAAATCTATTCGCGATGAATAAAACAATTTAGCCCGCCAGCCGTTCCTCACAATTTGACATCAAATCCAAAACCACAAAACATCACCGTTGCTATCATTCACCAAGCAAACAAAAACAACAACGTTTCAGACCGTCCAACTTCCCAGCGGAAATTATGAATATGGAAGAAATCAATAAAGCTATCCTTGATACATACGCTATGTGGAAAACTGAGAGTGGATCCGATTTAGTCGTAAGTCAACGAGACAACTGATCCATCGGGTTGAGACAACGGTTTTCTGATTTTGTGTCTTCCTGTTCTCTTCAAAACGAATGATACCCCAAGCGCAGCCAACTTCCATTGGTTCCAACCAGTTTATTAAAAGTAATTATGATGCATCGATCCTTCAAAGTTCCCAAAGGGCCCCGACTATTCGGTCTCCTTTGTTGCAAATGATCACAAATTCGGAAGAAAGATGTTCTCTATTCGGTAGGAAACTCATGTCACCGATTGAAGTTCAATCATCTTCTTCACAGCAGCAAGTGGAGAATCGTCAATCAAGCCCACACATGACACCAACAGTGATGGAAAACAATTGCATAATCATTAATTGTCAAAGCGTCACTTCGTCCAACTTTATGGTTCTTCCATGGAGCCCTGTTTCAGCGAGCAAGAAGTCTTACAATGGAAGTCATCTTATCGCCACACCAAATTCGCAGAGAAAAAGCACACCGGAAGTGGCGTATCCTCAGATCGCAGCAAATCACGTGTCACAAAACGTGCTTTCTGCTACGGTCGAGACCGATCCAAAGCGATGGACCGTGGAAGAAGACAACGTTCTTGCAATGGCGGTCGAAAGTCACAATGGTAGAGTTACCAACTGGAACCTGCTCGCTTTCACATTTTTCGCTGGTTCTCGCACTGGCAGTATGTGCAAAGCCCGGTGGAGAAAGGTAGGAATTCTTCTGAAACCTTGACCATTAATACAATGCTCCATCTCTCACTCGCTCTTCTGTACATTAGACTACAGTCGGTAGCAAAATTAGGGGCAACTGGATGCCAGAAGAAGATGCAAAAATCTCACAGCTGAAATCAGAAGGTTTCAGTTGGCGGTACATCGCCACCCAGTGCCCAGGGCGGTCCTATGAACAAGTTATCTCTCGCTACCGCGATAACCTTGATCCTTCAGTATTGAAGACCCCGTGGACAGCACCGGAAGACAGCATTTTGATCCAAGAACAAAGTCGTGTTGGGAATAAATGGAAACAAATGGCTCAACTACTGCCAGGCCGATCCACAAATCAAGTCAAGAACAGGTGGTACCACATACAACAATCAGAACGCCGAAAACAACGTAAGTCATCCTCCGTGAAGAAAACCCGTAGAAAAGTCGAAGTCCAATCTCGACCTAGCGGTCATCTTTCCTATTCCATGTTGACAAATCCGTGGACCGAGTCGGAAGACAACATCTTGATCCAAGAGCATAGTCGTGTTGGAAAGAAGTGGAAGCAAATCTCTCAATTGCTACCAAGACGAACCCCAGATCAAGTCAGGAACAGATGGACGCAGATACTCCATCGATTGGCACGCGAAAAGCAAACCAAGCTATCTTCGGCGAAAAAAACCAGTGATAAGGCGGAAGTCCAATGCCCGGACAACGATCAGCTTGATCCCTCCATTGTCAAAACCCCACGGTGTTGGACAGAGGCGGAAGACAGCATCTTGATTCAAGAACATAGTCGTATTGGAAACCAATGGACTCAAATCTCAAAGCTTCTACCAGGACGATCCCCAGAGCAAGTCAGGAACAGATCGATCCAGATACAACGTCGACGAGCACGCACGACTCCTTGGACAGCGTCGGAGGATGGAATCTTGATCCAAGAACAAAGTCTTGTTGGAAACCAGTGGACTCAAATCTCAAAGCTACTACCGGGACGATCCAAAGATCAAGTCAAGAACAGATGGCAGCAGATACAACGTCTGTCAGGACTCGAGAAGCAAACCAAGTTGGAAATAAGTCGGCAAAAATATCATATCTACCATGCCGATCCTCAGCACAAGTCAGGAACAGATGGGACAACTTGATCAAAAATCGAATAAATAAATAAAGCCATCCTCGGCGAAGAAAACAAGAACATGAAAAAGTCATCATGTCCTGCCATCCACTCGTCCCTAGATCCATGTTCTGACCCAAATAATATTACAGCTCAGATGCTGCTTCGTCTCCCATATCATCGTCGGAACCATTTTCATCATCACTCTCTTCTTCCTGCCCTGTGGCCTCTAGATCGTCTTCAGAATCATCACCGTCATCGTCTATAGCGCTTAGTTTCCCCACTTTAGCGTTGGCCAGATTGTCAGCCACTTGATCCCAATCCACTAATCTATTCAGAAAACCCCTGATGTAGAGATCCCGACGATTCTGATAATCCAGATAATATGCGTGCTCCCAGACATCCATACCCAAGATAGGAAGCCATGTCTGACTCATGGCAAATGGGTTATCAGAGCCGAGCGTATTCATGATAAACAGCTTTCGTCCAGCTGTGTCATAAACCAACCAGGTCCAGCCTGATCCAAAAACTGCACTCCCTGAGTGAGCAAACTGAATTTTGAAATTCTCAAAGCTTCCAAAATCTTTCTCTAGCGCTTCTTCCAGTGCACCAGGTGGATTTTCGAAGTCTTCTGTCATGCATTCCCAGAAAAATGCAAGGTTCCAACATTGAGCAGCATTTTGGTGGATGTACGGGTAGGAATCACGTGAAGTCTCAACCATTATATCAACCAATTGAACGTTGCCATCAAAATCTGGATTTTCCTTGGTCAAGAAATTTATATTTCGTATGCACTCTGCCTGAACTTTTCCGTGAATGATTTCAACAGTCTGCTGTGAGATGTATGGTTCCAACGCATCATTGGGAAATGGGAGAGGTGAAATCTGAAATATATCTTTGTTATTGACGGAACCCTTTTGCACCCTTGCCCTTGGTCGACGTCGCACTTTCTTGGAAGTCGTTTGTAGAGCTAGCAGGCTGCATAATATAGTGAAAAGCGCACCAATTGCTTTCATGGCGATTGGATGGAAAGCCACAAAACTATGCGGATGAAACGAGACCTGTAGAATGACAATCGAATCGACCAATTCGACTTTTGAAAACAGTGAAGATCTTTCGGTTGCAAAATGTACTAGGATTGAGAGTCTATGGGCTCATGCCTTTCAAAGCGTTACATGACATGACATGATTATTGCCCTATGACCATATTACATCTTCTTCAGAGCATGCTCTGATTGGTGCTCACTTTCCCATCAAGAGAACACTGCAACAAGTCAACGCTCCGTCCACTTTTGCTATTTCTGAACAGTCGACAAACTCAATCTTGTGCCCACGTAATTCCGCCGTGTGTGTTAGTATGTCCCTCGATCGGGAACACCCTCCATCTTGGGCCAAGATGCGACCATTTGCACTAACTAAGTTACAAGCCAATGGATTCGGCACTCGAACAACGTCATATCCCAAAACGTTAAGATTCATGAGTTCTAGCAATTGGTCTGCCTCTGGACCTTCTGGAGCAACAAGGGTGAAGAAATCCATGTGTGATATCATAGATTTTAGATGCAACGCGGGGAAGTCTGGGATTTTGTCCAATGGAACTGGGATCGTTTCCACCATCTTGAACACTTGTTTCAAGAACTGGTATGCTTCTATATTTGTGCGTTCAGACATACCGACAAACAGATGTCGAGAGGTGTGCAATATATCTCCTCCATCGCACATCGGAACACCCATATAGTCCTCGGTCAAATCTTTGTCTCTCATGTCCAACACCTCCATTCCATATCGTTGAAGAGCTTCTTTGATTGTGTCAACTTCGCCCCTGCGGGACGGATGCCCTGGATTGGTAATGACGGCTGTCTTGCCAACTGCTACGACAGTATCTTCCACAAAAACTGAATCAGGATACTCATCAATCGCGGGTAAACAATAGGTAGGAACCATGTCGCGTAGCTTTTCCAAATACTGCGCATGTTGTTCTTGAGCAACAGCGACATTGATTGGGCTATCATCAGTAGAATACTTTGTCAAAGCGTCAGCAAATGAAGACGGCAGGTCACGGGCAATAGCGGCAGAATATGACCGAGACAGCAATGTGGCGTTGGTGATTTTCATGGCAGAGCTTCTTTGGATTGACGATCGACCATCAACAATAACGGAGCAAGATATTGCCATCCGATCGTGGCGTCCTACAGAAGATTGGGGGACCCTTCCAAATATTGTTTTGGCTCTGAGAGAAAAAGTCATGGGGGAGCAAGGGTTGTTTGCAAGTAGCGGAAGATTGAATGATGGTTTTGCGCCTCCATGTTTTTAAAAAGACAGATGACGTCAATAAATAGAGTATTTTAATGTTTTTATAGCCATCGGATACGACCATACCAACATGACAGCACCGCTTCCCGTCCGCTCAGCGAAGTTAAGCGTGTTCGGGCCTGGTTAGTACTACGGTGGGGGACCACGTTGGAATCCCAGGTGTTGTATTCTTTTGTCTTTTTTCCGATCTCTCACTTCATCACAGCTGTAGCCGTAGTGTACCCACGTGTACCGGTATACCCTCTGGTTGATGATTCGTTCCTTTATCTCTCTTTTCACCACTCTCTAAACATACGATACAGTACACTTGACGTACCAGATACCACTGATCGATTGATGATGAGATTCGTTCCTCCCCTCTCACTTTTACGATTACCGCAACTCATGCGGTACTCAAAGACATCCGAAGAATTGTCCGGTCGATTTATTTATTGATAATGATACAAGGAGACGAAGCGCTCATGCGGCACTCAACTGTCCATCTCACCACATTTCAAATTTTCCGATCACCCAAAATACCGGAACGGCCGGGAAATAGAAATTTAGCATACAATTCTTTAAAAGAGTAAATATTGATTTTCCCGGCCGTCCCCGGTATAGTAACAACTTTCAACTAGTACGATATTATCCCCTCTGAAGCGGTCATCATTCATCATTGTTACAGACTGTTGTCGCACCAGGTACGGGTAATGTACCTACTATTGAAAGCAACAACCATAAACAGCAAGAGATGAGCAGTATCGATTGTTTGATCAGTGACCCCCTCAGACCTCCTTCTTATCGTATTGACATGACTGGGCAGTTACACATTCCAAGGAATTGGAAAAAGAAACAAGCCCGGCGTTGTCGATTGGAAGCCCAACTCAACAGAGACCAAGAAGAGCGAAAGCGATTTCGTCATCGACCAGAACAACTTTCGCCACTACAGCATGGACGGCGGCATGGACGCCAAGTCACGCGACTATGAGAAGAGTAGTGATATCTAAACCCCTTGATATTAAGGAATATCAGAGAATCGTTCATGCATGGTACTCGTGACATTCTGCTTTCGATACATGCTCTCAGTGCGTGATGACCGAAGCTATCTGTTTTTTAAATGGAGGTCCGATGTCTATACATGCATATGATGCTTGAACCATAATGATTGTTGGATTCATTCTGAAGCTCAAGGAGAGGAGATGGTCTATCGCTCACATTGAGTTGAGACACGACACTACAGATGCAGTATTTTTCACCGAGCGAAAGGGATATTTTTCGAGTGGATGAGAAGTCAAAACGAAAGTAAGTCGATGAAACAACTTCTTCACAAGTATTTGAGGATGGGTCGAAAAAGTCAGAACTTTTCAAGTATTCCAATTGAAATGGAACTTTCGGAAAGTCAAACGAATGTAATAATTATCAACCAAGTGGCACAGCATACCGGTAGTAGTAGTTTAGATTTCGATGGCACTACTTCCGCTTGGTACACTGGTAGATTTTGAATTGAAGGTAGGAAAGGAAGGGATAGGATAGGAAGCAAACAGCATGGAATTCGACCAATACGACTACTCCAAAATTTTGGAAATCGACACTTGGCAATTTTGCGGTTCGACGCTTGACCCTATACGAGAACTCTAGGATGAATGAATGCTGTGTCATCCCGGCTCTTGAACAGTGACAAACAATGAGTAATTCGTGGTTAAGCGAAAAATCCAGAGTAAAAAATGCGCTTTTATGTCGTCGAAACAGAAACCAGATCAGGTTGATGTCGTTTCTTCAAATCTCTCTTGTTTTTCTTCTTGGATTCATCCTTCCTTCGGCCTTGGCAATTACTGGGAAAACGCCAGAAGCTTCATCAACAGCACTCAAGATGCATCAACTCTACCTCAATCAACCGCCTCATGACTCTTCGCTCTATGAAACCCTACAAGTTTCTCCCAATGCAACAACTGCCCAAATTGCTCAATCGTATCGGCGACTATCAAGGAAATATCACCCCGATAAGCAAGTGAAATCATCTTCCACAAATGAAGATGCTGCTCAGGGATTGAAGCAGGTGCGACAGGCCTATGAAATCCTCAAAGACGACTCTACAAGGTTGCCATATCATCGATATGGATTCACTGATCCAAAAGTAGCCCTACTCTTGCTCATTGGACCCGCTTCGCAACAATCACAGCTGGAGTTGCAGGACCACCAATCATCAATGCATTCCTTGTTAGAACTGACAGGTTTGGACTTTCCGTCTTCCTCATTGCCCATGGCCAGTTCTTCTCCAGGCTCTGCAATTGAACAAAGAAAAAAGCTGCATGAATGGAGAGTCCGAACAATGGCTTCACGGTTGGTCGAGCAATTGCGACCATGGGTTGAAGAGACGGTAGAACCTGGAATTCTCGCGCATGTAATCTCTCAGGCTTGCGACGAATGGAAGGTCTTGCCATTGGGTGCGCAGATAGTGCGATGTGTTGGCAGAGCCTACCGTCACGCCGGTCAAGACTACTTGCAACAACAAAAGAAAGGAAAGCTCTCAGGAGGACAATTGGAACCATACCTTTTTGGCTCATTAGGGAGCAAAGGTAGCCGTTCACAGGAAAAGATATTGCCAGTATCAAAAGTACCAGTCGGTCTACGACAACAGTGGCGGAAGGCAAAAGGTTTCTGGTCGGCAGCATGGGCCACTGGGCGTGCTTCTGTAACGGAACAAGTATGGACTGTACAGGAAAAGCAAAGGCGGAAGAAGCGAAATACCAAAAGCAACGTCCATTCACTTGAATACACTTCTCTGGGAGATGGGGCTAACTTTTTGGACCCTGACTTCCTCGTTGAAAGCGAAAACGATGCGGACTTGGCAGATGAACAAGACATGAAGGAGGCCCAACGACTGAAAGCGCAACAAACGCTATTACAGTCTCTACAAGTAGAGGCACTATGGAAAGTTACAAAGATAGATCTGGACCGAGCCGTACAAGAAGCATGCAACTTGATCCTAGAAGGACATCATAGCTTCTTTCCATCCTACCAGGCTCCGTTGTCATCACATCCCTTTGGATATGACGATCGACCAAGTCCCGATGGATGGATATCACCTTCATCTGGAAAGGCTATTAATGCAGAAGAAGCGAAAATACGAGCTGCCCATGCTATGCGCTATATTGGGAACATTATGGTTCAGCGAAGCAAGGAAGGGACATCCTGGAAGGCGTAGGTGCAAGCAATTCAATAATCAAAATGGAATAATGTGATAATAGTCAACAAGCAAGTATTCATTGTTGAATCCTTTTGACTATCACTTTTGGTCTCCTTTATTGTTGGTTTGTTTGTTGTCCTCCCCACATTTGATCGTCGTTTTGCTGGTGCTGGGCAGCCTTGAACTCTTTCCGTATTGGCTCGAAACGTTGCACTCCCGTTTCACTTTTTGTGTTTTGGTGAATAAAGCAAGTCGATATACCGATATGATGGGAATGACGTAGAATTGTGATGGTCGCTTTCCAAGATTTGAGATTGCAAAAATTTAGTCGTCTGAGAATGTATCATCGAATCAATCGTCCAGAAAAGCAATAATGCCACCTTGAATTACTATTATCTACGTTATAAGAAACCGAGGAAGACCCCCCGGCTTCCCGAGGATCGGTGCATTGGTATCTGGGAAGTTGCCATCTGCAGTTACCGGCTCCAAATCTCCGTCTTCGAGGACTTTGACAGGATACGATACGAGGTACGACGACATTTCGCATACTTCTTCCTGAGCGTACCTGTCCCAGTTGTCCTTGGCAATGGTATTGATGCGCCTGACGCAATCTAAACTAGATGGGTAGCGAAAAATGTCCTCCATAGTACCCGTCAAATGAGCGAAGCATTGCATCCGAAAGCCATGCATATCACCTTTGGCAACCGATTCCTTCGTCGCTAGATGAGCAGGTTGCCAAATTCCCATGAGCAGCTCAGAGTCTCGGTGACCATCAAGGGACCGTTGATTGACGTTGGCCGAGCCGATCAGGGCGATGGCATCGTCCACAATAACCAACTTCGAATGAGTGTACACCAAGTGCCGGCGCGTTTGGTTGAGCAATCCAGTTGGTATAGTTTTTGTATCCGCGACTTCTCGGTTGGCCAGGCAGTAAAAGTTCAAGTAGTCACTCGGCTGTACGCTCTTAAATTCGTTGATTTCCTGTTGAGTTCCCTCTGATGCCAGCGCTTGTCTTCGTCGTCTAATCGATTTAACGATTCGTCTATACATTGTTCTCATGGTGAATGATTGATATGCCAGGATATTTTGCATAGAGATTGAATCGGGGTTGCCTTCAGGCCACATAGGGACAACTATGTAGGCCGCAAATCGTTCACCAGCTTCAATCTTTTCACAGATCTTGAAAGTGATTTCAGAGGCAACCAGATTGCAGCACTTCCCTGTTTTCCGTTCAGGCCACAAGAAAGAGCTGCTCAGAAAGTATTGGCTTTCCATGTATATTGAATGTTGCGCATTGCGGATGTGGTGAACGAGTGCTTTGTGACAGCTTTTATCGACCAGGAGATCCCGTTTGGCATCCAAAGGCCTGGAAACCTCCACGTTATTATCGGCAGTGCTTGCGTGGAATCGTTGTTCCCGTTGTTTCCCCGTCCTCCAGAAGTTCTCCGCCATTGTTTTTCTCTTGCCCGTCTTAATCTCTCTCTCGGCATCAAACTCCACTCCTTTCACATCTTCAAATGCTGCCGTCGTGAATTTTGGTTCTACCATTTTCGCTGTCCGCTCATTAATTGATCGGAATAGTTGGGTGTTCCAGCTACTCCCTTCGTCGTCATCTGACTCGTTCTTGGAATTCTGAGCACTGATCCCCTTGTCTTCCAAATTTACCAAATCGGAATCTTCGCCACCCTGCCCGACCCAACGTTCCTCAAAGTTCTGCAGTAGATCGAGAGTCCCCAAACCTTCAACTCGTGAATGGATATCATGCCAGGGCTGGCGTGGCCCAGTATCGGGAGTTACTGCAGCACAAGCATTGTAGAAGTCATCTTTGTGTTCTGAGTCCAAGGTTCGGAACAATGAATAACTTCCATCCTCATACCGACCATACGTAAGATCGATGCCACCTTCCAAAAGCACAAAAGCATTCATGAATATACGTGAGAAATCAGTTCTTGAAGCTTGGGACGGAAGCTCTAGATGCGGCATGCCGTACTTACCAACATACGCGACAAGTTCGCTTTTCGGCGTATCACATATGATACATTTCTGATGGTGAGTGTAGTACATTGCGTTTCGAAATTTCTTCTGCACATTGCCGTCACCCATCCCCATGGGAATGAGGCGAAGGTTGACCTTGGATCCATGAAAAAAATCTCTTAGTTGTTCGTCCATGGTTCCAACCACCCCTACTTTCTTCAGTGAATTCGAGGTATTATCATCCCAGACTAGCATGTTGACTATCACACCCTCGTCAGCTTTCTGATTGAGCAATTCTCCAATATTCGGACTGTACATGATATTAGTCTTCTTATTTTGTGGATTCAACCCCTCGAGTTCTTCTTTCCCTCGCAAGAGTGACTTTGTGTGATCCACGGACCAACCAACAATGTAAACCATATGCCGAGCGTGACAGATGGAATCATATACATCTCTGAAGAATCGCCGAGGCTCCCATTCTTTTCGTTCTTGCTTGGCACTGGTGCTGCCATATTTGACGGTTGGCGTATTTCCATTATCGTCTGCGTTGATGTAAAGCCGGATTCGATTGCTTTCTCGTAGCGGAAAGTAAACCCCCGGCACCACCATGCCGACGGGTTTTTCCGGGGGTAAATGCACCAGGTCCTTTGGGATGAAGTCAACAAAGTACTCCAAAGTCCCATGCAGAGGATTGCCGTCTAAATGGACCTTCTTGCGAACACCAGTTCTGAGAAGCTGCTTTGAAGTGCGGTCATACAAGGGATGTTTCGCGCTGTAGTATCTCCTGGCACTCGAAGGATTCATTTTAACGTTGGTGTCATCTGGTTCAGCACTAGTAGAACCCTCCTCGGCAGTAGCAGATCCCTCGGCAGTAGCAGATCCCTCCTCGGCAGGTTTGTCGGCAAACTGAATCAATTCGTGGACCGATAAATTTGTCTTTCCCAGCAACTCCGCACCGACAAAGTCTGAATCTTTGACCCGAAACTCGATCGTTTCCACGGGATGACAAACAGGAACAAAGAAATCTTGATTCCATTCTGGATTTAGGCTGTCATCAATGTTTCTGGTCTTGAGGAGGCGGTGATGCCCTGCATAGACAGTCACATAGGGATCTGACACATTGTGGGTAATGCACTTGCCAAAACGATGGAGACTCCTCAAACAGTCAGTATTCCGTAAATTCTTGGCTCTGCAAATCTGAATGTGAAGATAACCATGTAGGAGAATGGCCTCTCCTTCACGTTGGTAGGTATCCTTAAACTTATCACGAACCATGTCGATTTCGTTTTGCGTCCGAATGCGACCGGATCCACCAAACTTACTGTTCATGAACTTGATGGCCGAACGTCGCCTATTGTTCATCCGATTTGGTATATTCGCGATACCGCCAGCATGCTGCGTCTCATTTCGTCTAGGCGCGCCTGAAGCTGTTGAGCTATTGCTGTTGCTGCTGCTGCTGCTGCTCTCGGATACATCCGAATCATCGTCATAGATCACATTGGATTTGTCTTCATTGATGATAGAGAGGTGCGTCTTCTGTCTGGGAGATGCAGCAGCACCATTTCCTGTTGGTGCCCTGTCCATTATATACGATTGGTGTGGATACAAGTTCTGGGGTGAACCAGCTAGCTAGTCTTTTGCTCGTTGTCTGGATGGAACAACGGCTGCGATCGATATAATGTACACTGCACTGTTATCCACTTGTTTTGGAATTGTTGTTCCACTTTGGTTAAAATGAATTTTGTGATGAGAGACCGGAACTGGAACCATGATACAATTCAAGACTGAAGGTGATTCTGATCTCAAACTTCGGATCGGATCATAGCTGAAGTCGTGGTGTCGAAAAACACACATTTGATTCATTCAACCTGGTATGCTTGTAAAGATCCAAACGCCGCGATAGTTCGTGTGACGCGTAGAATGCCTTTCCCCGACTGACTTTTATCTCGTATTTCGTAAATTGAAAATACTTTTAATAATTTAAAAAAAAGTACGCACAACTTTATGTAAAATGAATGATACCCAGGCATTTACATGGTTTTGGGTTGAAAAAGGGACATCCTAGCAAACATAGGACCTAGTGTAAGTGCAAGCAATTCGGGGGGAATAGAATATGGTAATAGCATACAAAGTTTTAGCAATTGTCGACTCATTTTGACTCTCTTGTTGGTATCGTTTGTTGTTGATTTGTTTGCTGCTGTCCACCTTCCATTTGTTCGTCGTTTTGCTTCTGCTGAGCAGCTTTAAACTCTTTTCTTATTGGCTCGAAACGATGTCCTGTCAAGTCCTGAAGCAAGTCGCTCCGGCTCCATATTATTAGAGACGACACTACCAGCGGCATTACTCCAAGAAATAAGAATGGTCTCAGGAAGCCATGTTTCCCTTCGTCTTGATTTGTTCTTGTCCCCGCTTCGACTGTGGTTTCGGCTTCTAGTATCCGTTTGGAGGAATTCTTCATCTTTACCCGCTTCAATTTTCGCTTTTGAGCAGAAGTTGCAAGTGAACGATTCAAATTTGAAGGCTTGGTGAAATAGGCAAGTCGATAAAGGCACATGATGGGAAATGGCCATGAACGATAGATGACTGTCAAATTTTACAGTCGTCTGAATCATCCACAACTCTCGACGAAATGTGACGACGCGTTTTACGCTAAATATCTAATTTGGCGAAGAAATGATGTCCCCAATGTGTCGTCACCATATATAATTTGTTTTTTCCCCTTAAGAATGGTTCAATCCTCGGCGGCCTTCATCGCTAACATCTCGCTTGTCAGTTTATTGGACACAAAATCTGCCCTCAACAGAACTCATCAACATGAAGCTATCGAGGTCAACGCGGCTCAGCCGCCCAAGCTTCAAGGTAGGAGATGGAAAGTCTCACAATGAAAGGAGAGATTCATCCCGTGCTAGAGTTGAAAATGATGATGATTCCCGCGATGCGACATTGCGTTATCATGACACCCGTGACATCACAGATTCACGAAGAGAATCCGACGAGAGCCGAGATTGTGACGTATCTTCCTCGGGTGGCTCTCTAGATGATCAGATTCCTTTCCTAAGCGAATCAGACCTTCCAGAGGAAGCATCGTCGCCGAAGAAGCGCATGGGTTGGGGAAAGAAAAAGTTCAAAGGTTTCCCCATCATTGCCACTATCAAGAAGAAAATAAGACGAAAAAAGAGCAAGCAAAATGAACGAAATATGAATCATCTGGAGATCGTTCCAGACGAGCATGTAGCGAGTCGAGCCAAAGACCCCGAACCTACCCAGTGGCAAAAATTCATGGACTCCGTTGCATTTCCTGAAAATCAACTCGGAAAGTTGTACAGCAACTTTGTGGACTATGTGTCCAATCACGAGAAGACTACTCCGGAAACCGAGATCATGAATTATGATGATTTCGTGTCGGTTGTCGAAGAGAGGCAGCAATCGAAGAGAGAGCCATTGATTACTGACAAGCAATGGGAAAATTTCATGGACACCATTGCCTTTCCTGAAAAGTCTATTCCTGCTCTATTCGGTGCTACCACTACAAACGCCAAGTCCAACACTGAAGACAATACCAAAGCTATCAGAGCACTAGAGCCTATTGAAAAATATTCTACTGGTGCTGCTGCTGCCACCGCTGCTGCTGATGATGACGACGATGATGAGTATGAAGAAGACGAACAAACAAAGGATTCCAAACATCCGGTGAATGTCACCATGTTCAAAAAGACCAAGTTTGAAACGCTGGGGTTGTGTCCTCAACATGTGTATGGACGAACTGGAATCTACATTGTCGATATCGTCGAAGGTAGCAAGAGTGCCAACACCAAACTCCGAAGTGGTATGAAAATTTTGACCATTAACGGGAAGCCGTGTCCCGATACGGTCGAAAGAACCATTAACATGTTGTCCAACCTCGAAGGTTATGTGAGTATCAAGGCTGTCCCAGAAGCCCCCTATTCCGCTGTTTCTTCCAGTATAGAAGACATTGCCTTTGCGATGAGATATCTCTTTACAGGAGGAGGAATTGCGGAAGAAGACAACAAGGTTTCTGGTGACAATTCCACCACCACACCCTATGTACTAGGAGACGACAGCACAATTGGCACGAACACTTACCGAGAAGCTCGTGCTGTGGCTAGAGCGAAAGAGCAAGAAGAGGATGATGATGTGGATGACGAAACCATGTCCATGTCCATGTCCGAAAACGTCTCTATTCCCTCCAAAAAGAGCAATACTGCTGTTGCTCGTGTTGCTGCTGCTGCTCCTCCTCTCAAGAGAATGACAAATGAAATCGACTATGTCGAGCTCGCTCGTCAACAGCAGAAGCACTACGAATTGGTCTTTGACATCAAGAAGCGTCGTGGAGAATGGGTCGGTTTGTCGCTCATGCGCAATGCCGATTGGCCTGGAGTCTACATTGAACACATCGACCCTCGCAGTAAATTTGCTAGTACCCAATTGGCCCATGGCATGAAGTTGGTTGAAATCAATGGACAGGCCTGTCCGGATGATTTGAGACAAGCCATTTACAAGATTTTCGACACGAACGGAAGGCTCGAGTTGACTGTGGAAGACAGCGATGGTTTGTACTGCCATGAGGATGGTAGCGTCGTTGACACCTTGAGTCATGACGACTTTCGCGAGAACTATGGTGGATTCCTGGTTCAAAAGCTTCGCCTAGATTGATGAAAACAGGACGATGATGAATGAAATTTGCTTGCTCAATTGAATGTTGCATACGTATTTGTTTGGGTTAGGGTTAGCTTGGTACATTTTGCTATAATATATAAGTTCTATATTTCTGTGAATATTGTGAAAATGTACAAGTTCTATATTTCTATGTGAACATTGTGAGCAATACTAGAGTGTTTGTCCTAGTAACCCTGACTTCAGTTCGTCCGTCACTGGCTTGTCTCCAAACCACATGCTCAAGAATGCCCGTTGAAAGTCTTTGCCAACGATTTCTCCAGTCCATGTGCCTTGGTCAAAAATCATCATTGTAATCGTATCATCATCCTCTAGTATTTGAACAGTCACTGTTCCATTTGCCTTCATAGGTTGGGTGGCAATCATGTCCAAAAAGTCAGCCTTGTCCTGTTCAAAGCCCTCATATCGATACGAAACACTTTCGTCCAACTGTTTCTCCCATGCCTTTTTGCATTGACCAGCCGTGAATCCTCGCAAAAAGGTAAAGTCCATTTGCAACGGTGAAGCATCATGAGATTCTAATGACTCGAGGATCTCGAGTCCATTGGACAACTGCCGGGGAGAATACAAGGTGGCCACATAGACACGAATGGAAATCCCTCGAAAAAAGGCAAAGCATCTCAAGGCTGATCCATGCCGATCCAAATGGGTTCCATTGACTTCACAACCGACTGGGACTTGGATTCCTTCTATTTCCAAGGTATCTTCGGCATAATTCATACTTGCAATGGTAGAACAAGTGCTGCTCTCCGTCGTACTTGCAGTACTCATACTACTGGTACTACTTTTCAATAGTCGTGGAACCACAGCGTCATGTTCCTCTTGTGCCGCTCCATTTTTATTATTATCTTCGAGCATGTAATTCTCCCTTCCCAACATTCCAAAGCCCGTGAGGATGGCCATTAACGGATTGCCCGTTATCACAGCAAGCCAATCATCTGGCAATAAAATTCCAATGGCAAGCAAGGTCGGTACAACGGCAAAAAATATTTTGGTATCCCGCTCTTGCGATAATGATGACGACGACGATGCCGATGACATTGCTGGCAGTATGGACTGAAACGCATTATTATTGTTGCTGCTGCCGGAGGACGATGGATTTGGTTTCACGTTGGTCTTGGATGCAAAATGACGTGGCCGTTGAGAATTTGCCGTGGTAGAATTATTGAAGGAACTTGACGACAGCTTTCGCCATGACGGGAAACGACGACTATTCTTCTTGTTGTTGACTACAGCATGTTCCATTGCAGTGGTCATCAATGATGCCGACCGTTGACAGTAATGATTCATTTTTCCTGCCGATTTCCGACCTTCGTTTAGGATTGTTTTACTCGTCTTCCCCAAGAATCAAAAGTTTTTTAAAAGTAAACAGGAACGAAATTCCTTTGCGTTCTCATGAGTCATGTGTATCTCTGACTGACTCACTCACTCACAGTGACCAGTTAGTCTCACTATCAAGTCTCAAGTAAGTCGAATGAGTCGATAAAGTCGAGTCGATTAGTGAGTGACCGACGTGCGACTTGCGGGATTGCGAAAACCTTCCTGGTCAAAACATGTCCAAACCCATCTTCAAACCATGTTGTGTGTTTGTTGGATGGAACGCAAGCCACGGAAAATGGCCCATCAGCTTGACTACCGAGGTGACTGATGCTCCTATGGACATAATATGACTATAGGAACGAACCATAATGCCCCCCATTCATATCATCATCAACAACAACAATACTCATGACACGGAACAACCATCTTCTGCTGTGCCACAAGGAGAAACCTCCGCCAATCCGTCTCCACCACGGTTCCGTCCTCTCAATAACAATGACAATGAAGAAACCACCGAAGCAGAACGCAAAAACATTCAAGATTCTCGAACCAACTTTGCCATTCTCCATTTTGCCTTGACGGTCCCAAAGTACAGTGTCTCGCTGTTCTTGTTCTTGGCGGCTAGATGTATTCCATTGCAGACACCCCAGGAGGCCATTCATACGCCTTTGGCCAGCCTAAAGACGTTGATCAAAATGGAGACTCAGTCCTACACTTCTTGTACCAAGGAAGCCTTTGATCACGTCCTTTTCGTGCAACTGGAAGAATTGGCACACACCGAATACACCCGGGCCTTGGATGCCCAAGACAAGAATCGAAAGAGGATTCAAATTGCGACAAAGAAGGCTCAGGACTGTTCCATGGCCACCAATATGGCCAAGAAAAGTTTGCAGACCTGGCAGGCAGTCAATCGAGTGGAAGATTTCCCCCACCAAACTTGCCAGACGGCAGCGGACCAAGCCATTCTCGATTCCTTCTTGGGAAATAACAATAACACGTCAAAGTCCCTCTTGGTGGTGGAGGACGAAATCACCTCCCAACTCGGGGCATACACGTTGAAATCCACGCATTCCATGCAACTGATCGGACGTTACGCACAGGATCGCATGGAATACGATTATGACTATTTTGTCACGAACCGGATTCAACCTACCCTTCAACTCTTGCAAGGCGCTGCCACTCTGACAACCACTTTCACATCCTTTCCATCAGTATTGAATCACGAGGAGCTAACACAACGCCTTGAAGATTCCTTGAAGGATTTGGAAGCTACTCTCGATGCGGCCAAGACTCAGATGGACAATTTATCCGCGAGACTACAAGATTACACCCAGAGCATTGAAGCATTCTATCAACATTATCAAGATATCTACAGTCGACTCCGAAAGGGTGCCGAATTTGTAATTGAATTCCTTCCGACTGGTTCGAAGATACCAAATATGTTTGAAATGAACAGTCTTCCCAGAGCCAACTCGCTGTTGCCACAATTCTATCATTATCCAATAGATAATGATTTTGCCCTCCAGACCCAACAAGTGTTGGAGCAAACCAAAACAAAATTTATTCTGCTGTTGGAAGAGGTCTACACCGAAGTAGAACAAGAAGCAAAGCATCACTTGAGAGGGCACAGCATGGACTTGATGGACAAAATTTCTGTTTCGTTGCAAATGGAAGGCTACGATCCTCCCAAATTTCAGGGGTCACTTGACGGAATCACCACCACCGTGGAGAAAGAGTTGCAATATGTGCAATCCCTAGGCAAGCAAATGCACCAGAGTACGACTGAAGTACTGGGACCATTGAAAGACTTGTACCAACAACACCTTTCCACCAGCAACTTTCCATCCAACTTGACAATAAGTGGCAGTTGGAATCAGTCGTCCGCCATTGCCGCATCCGACATCTTGCCAACCACGACCTTTGATTACCTAAAGCCGGTATTTCCAGATATCTCGATTCCAGAATTTTTGCTTTCGATCTTTTCTTGGATTCTATCCAATGCTTGGATCGTCGAGACTGTTGTCCAAGCAATACGGTTGTGGATCTTGGAGGCCAAATATACCAAAGGAGCAATCCCCGATCTACCAGTACTGGATTACGAAGAGGAGTTTCTGTCACGGACCTTTGAAAACAATGGAGAATCTCGGTCGTTGGCACTCTTGTTCAAGACTCTTTTGTCTGCCTTTGCCTCGCCTTTGTACTGGTTGGGCTTGGTCCTTGTCCCACTGACTTTGGGAATCTTGGTCATTTGGCGTCCTCATGTACAGACGAGTTGTGTGGATTCCAGAAATGGTACCTACCTTGCCAATAATTTCTTTGCACCACTGCTCATTAATGGAGCCAACGCTCCTGGACATGCTCTGTATCTGCAGGGAGAATCGGAATGTCATCAATCCAAACAATCCATTTGCAATGAGATGTCGGTAGAATTCGACGCCGCCCTTCATTCGGACACGGCAACTGTGAATGCGTTGAAAGTACACCGAAATGAGTCTCTTCAAACGATTCATGCCTTGGAAACTTGTATCGATTTGAGCTTGAATGCTGAAGCAATGGATCTGGCATGTTGTGGATTGAAGGGATACGGAACACAGAACTGCAATGATACAGATCTGGTTTGTCCCATTGACGAGCTCGCTCCTCACGGAGAAGCTGCATCTTTTCGACCAGTGATGGAGTATATTGAGGATGGATCTTGTGCGACTGACCGATTTCCTTTGAACTTGGACGATGCTCGCTTCAACTGCGCAGCTCTTACCAACGCATGTTTCGATATTCCATGTACTGGTGTGAACGAGGACTATCTTTTGGCCAAGACCATTGGAGTAGACTGCCAAATTGAGCTGTATGTTTTGGATTGCTGCTCTTTTATCATTGTGGTTCTGTATCAGGTCATTGCAGTGAGTTTGATTTGCACAATGCTGTTTCAAGGGATTCGGCAGCTCTTTTGGCGCAAGCTATGTCCAGATGGAGTTCGCTTTCACACTCAGCTCTGTGAGAATGGAAAAATTGCATTTGGCGACAGCAAAATGGATCGGTTTGAGCGAATGTCAGTGACAATCCAACGCTATGAGCGCAGTGGTAAATTCAAGTTGATACTTGGATGCTTGGCACTGATTTGGTGGGGTATCTCATTGGTCGTATTTCGTCATTATGAGGTTTTCTGATGAATGAAGTGCACGACGCTTATATTGCTCCCAACAGCCATCAACATAGATGTTACAACCAAATGAATAGTAATAATATAATTTGAGTGTACCATCCTTACCTATCTATTTTATGCTGCTACCATCTGAGTACCAAGTACTGTTAGGTAGAGTACAGACAGCAGCCAGCATCTGTAGTCGAAGGAATCAATCAATCAAAGCTTTCAAGTTTTCATCACCAACCGCGATGCAGTACGACAAATTGGCGCGTGATCACTTTTGTCAAAACGAAACAAACGTCACTCACTCTTCGCATCGGTCTCCCCTACTTGGTACGTGTGATACCAGTATCACTACTCCCAACCTGCAATCTAAGGTTCTGGTTTTGCCTGAAATCCTTTCCCATTCCGAAAGCCGAAGGCCCAAAGAATGGCTGCCAATGCGAACCTCCATGTAAATCACTATCAATGCGAACAGACACCTTTGCCGCACCGCACTATTCAAGCAACAACTTCCGTTCTGTTCACTTTCATATCACCGAAGCATGATAAGTGTTTCACCAGTACTGGTAGTCGGAGTCTCCAGCAGGATGCGCAATCCGAAATTGGTGATTGGACGAGAACTCCTCACATTTTGAAAATTGCAAAGCAAGAAACGCACATAAATTATACCTTTCCCCAATGTAAGTTGGTAAACAAGGAATCAACTTACTTGACTCTTTTATTTCACTTTCAACTGACACAATCCCTTTCGGAATGCAGCAACTACTGATATCATCATTTTCTTTCATCTGTTCTTACAAGAATGAACTCACTGAAGCCCAATAAAGTTGAGCCGTTGCATCCTGATGATGTCCCAGAAGCATCCGATACCTCCAACACTGACGACTTGGAGCTCCTTGAGAAGGCTCCACACCAATCTTTCTCTACGACGGACATGACTGGCACTGTTGAATCTCACAACTATGAAGACTCGGAGCTTCTTGAGAAAGCTCCTCCAGTCCAAGAAGACAACGATATGGGCCCAGAAGACAACGAAGAAAGTGGCAAGAGTTGGTTTCGAATCATCATTTTTCTTGCTGCTTTCATATTTGGAATTGTCCTCTGCTTCATCGAAGTCGGTGGAGACGATAAGATCAGCAAGACTATGGCTGTCGCTATTTGGATATCTACTCTTTGGCTGACTGAGTTGATCCCTCTTGTCGTCACTGCATTCATGCCACTATTCCTTTTCCCTATGTTTGGCATTGTAAGCTCTGCAACTGTTGCCGGAGCCTACATGAACAACACTATCTTCTTGTTTTTGGCTGGGATGCTTATGGCTTTGACACTTGAGCGTTGGGACTTACACCGTCGCTTTGCTTTCAAGATCTTATCTTGGTGTGGTGCAAAGCCTGGTGCTCTACTGTTCGGCATGATGTTTGCGACCTTCATCCTTTCGATGTTTGTTTCAAATACTGCTACAGCATTAATGATGGTACCAAATGCGATTCCTATCATTGACTGCCTAGAGCGTCAAGCTTCAGTCGAAAACAAGGAAGAATCCAAGCGATTTGGTGTTGCAGTCATGTTAGGCATCGCATACGCTGCCAATGTTGGTGGAATTGCAAGTTTGATTGGCACACCACCAAATCTTGTATTCCAAGCACAGCTTGAAATCATTTATCCAGAGGCTCCCGAAGTTACCTTTGCTGATTGGTTCAGCTTTGGATTTCCTCTCGGTCTTCTCATTTTCGTCATTGAATGGATCTATCTACGATTCTTGTACCTACGCAACTACAGTGGCGCCGTCGTCGACAAAGATATCTTTCTCAACAAGTACAAAGAACTAGGGGCATGGACGTTCGAACAAGTGTATGTCTCTATTCTCTTTACAGCCTTGGCTCTGCTTTGGATCTTTCGCGGAGATATGAATTTCTCTTCTTTCACTCTCAAAGGATGGACTAGCATCTTTGCCGAAGGCAAGATGATCTCCGATGCAACGATAGGTATGCTGGTTGCAGTCATCCTGTTTGTCACACCAGCAAAGCCCTGCAATCTTCCTGGTGCTCCCGCAGATGCCACGAGCAAACGCACCATCACGGTATTGGACTGGGAGACGGCCAAGAAACTCCCTTTCGACATCATCTTTCTTTTCGGTGGAGGCTTTGCCCTAGCAAAAGGCTTCGTGGCGTCGGGATTATCCACTTGGTTGGGTCAGAGGCTCGTTGTTGATGCAGTCTCGCTTCCTGTCCAAGTCTTCTTGGTTACATTTGTAATTGAGTGGGTAACCTGCTTAACTTCGAATACCGCCACTTCGAACATCATGATTCCAATTGCTGCAGAAATGGCCAATGCAGCCCAGGTGTCTCCGTACACGATAATGATCCCTGTCACCTTGGCTTGCAGTTGTGCCTTTTGCTTGCCAGTGGCAACTCCTCCAAACATGGTGGCGTTCTCTTCTGGATACCTTCCGATACGTGAAATGATGAAGGCTGGCGTCTTCATGAATGTTATTTGCTCGATACTAATAGTGGGATGGACCTTTTCTCTCATCCCTTCTGCCCTAGACTTGGAGCCTGATGAGTTCCCTGAATGGGCTGAGACAGCATCCTTTGCTGGCTCAGCATAAACCGCACGGTCTAGCTGCTATTGTATCCATTAATGTAATCTCACAATATTATAAACAACTTCTGTTTGTACACTCTAGCTAGTGTCATTGACTTTTGCTGATTTGTGTGGCAAACGAAGAGAAGATATAAAGAATAGCACTTATCAATAGGTTTTTTCGATTGATTGATTCGATCCCGTCGACTACTTCGTCTCTACCGGTAAGATAGCCCTGCCGTCCTCCGATCAGCTCTTATAGGAGGGAGGTTGGAAGTTGTTAGCTGCACGTCACGCTGGCCGATCGCAATGAATGAGGGCGGCGTGTAAGGAGCTGGAGTTTTTCGTTCACTTGCAGACAAAGGCTGGGTACCAAGAGAAAAATTGAATTACCACGACACAAGTGGGTGAATTCAATCTCAGTCGATAAATTGGGCATCCTTTGCGCATCGACAACAACTTTTGACGGTCGAAGGCCGTTCGGCCTTTGTCCGTCTGTAACACGATGTAGTCAAAGTGATCGAACAAAAATATCACGTGATTTTAAAAATATTGTTGCAAAACATTCAGTGAAAGTTGCATTACATTTCAAAATCAATCACTTGCTTTATGGAACCTGTTCCCTCTACCGATGACGAGCACCAAGAGCAGCACGACAATCATAACAAATTGAATCTCTGGCAAGGTGTCGCCTTGCTCACGGCAGACTGCCTTGGTGTTGGCGTTCTTGCCTTGCCATATGACGCTTACAAATTAGGATGGTCGTTTGGACTTCCTTTTCTCATCATCAACTTTCCAATCAATTACTTTAGTGGAAATTACCTGTCTGTAATCGCATTGGATCTGGAGAGAGATTCAGATGCACAAGAAGATGGCGAAAATGCGACAGAGCTGGATGAAACAGCCGACAATGCGGAATTAGAAATGCAAGAAAACCATTCCCATAAACAAACGTCCAGAAAGACGTACGCAGAAGTTCCAAAATCACCTTCAGCTGAGGAATCCATGGTAGATGAAGACATCTTTAACGATGAAGATATTGTTGAAGATACTTTGGAAGAAGAAGACGAGCCTCCAGTCCAGCCACCGACATCTTCAACCTATGATTTGATTTCAATCAGCGACCAAGTGTTTCACGGGCCACACGCAGCCAGACTTGTAGCTCTTCTTTACTACACGAACTTATTTTTGGTATTGGGTGACTATTTGCTTGTGATGAGCAGAGCGGTGTCTGCGATGCTGGCGGATAAGATCTGCTTGCCCGTTGCCGGCATAATAGCATCTCTCCTCATGTTTGCAATATGTCAACTCAAGACAATGGCTAATCTGGGGAGGAAGGTTTCTGTTGTTTCGCTACTTGCTATGGTCATTGTACTCGCCCAGTGTCTATTCCATCACCGAATGGGTTCCGCAATTCCTATCGATTTTGCAGAAAGAGAAAATCCAAGCATGTGGCAGAAACTAGGTGCATTGGCCAGCATTGCGTTTGCAGTTGGCTCACAGAAGCTCTTCTTGAATATTCGCCATGAGCTGAAGGATAGAAAACAAGCATCAACGACCTTGGGATGGTCACTCACTTCGTATGGAGCTACATATTTGCTTGTCATTCTGTTTGCTGGGCCACGTAAGTCACACCAATTGCCATTGAACGTATTTTACAGATAGTCGATTGTGTCTCACATGACTATATCTCGAAACGATTAGACCCGCCATCGTTTCTCTTTGACGCCATTCCTGAAGGAATAAGCAGACGGATAGCTGGGCTTCTGCTGTGGGGTCACGTTGCTGTGAGTTATGCCATCAATTGTCAGGCTCTTTGCTCTTCGATTGATAGGGCCCTGGTGTTGCGGTTTCCCGTCACATCGGATGACTCTTCGAAACGTTGGCTTGGCCTCACATTGTCAGTATGTGTATCATCATACTTGGTGGCCAACGCAATTCCGTTCTTCAAAGATTTGGTCGCCCTCATTGGTGCACTGACAAGTATACCATTGACGTTGATGCTGCCAGCTTTGCTGCATCAAAAGGCGACAAACCTTCGATTATGGCTTCCAAGGGTAGGAGAATGTTTTCCGCTTGTGGGCTCATACCCGTTACTCGTTTATTCGTTGGTCTTTTTCATCGTTGGACTCCTTGGCGCGCTATCGTCAATTGATCAAGATTGGCTGAGTCATGGCAAACCGTTCTCTTGCCGGTAAGCTCATGTAAATTCATATAGAAAGTATATTCCCGGAGTTTGAGTTCTTGGGTATGTCTTTGGAAAGAGAGTACGATTCATTGGAGCTATCTCAATCTCAACTTGTAGTGGTCCAAACGTGAAATGTCTTTGTCTCTGTAGGAGTGGGGATGCTGCCGATAGCATCTTGCCTTCCGATTGCTATCCGTAACAGAGGCGAAGATAGAAACCAGATTCATGGTTGGTTGGGAATTCAGAATCTAATAGTCCCTCTTGCGAACGATGAGCTATGGACTTACATCCAACAATCCCAAAGAAACAAATAAAGCGACCAATAAAGATTTTTATTCTAAAGCCAGATCAACGCTACAGTATTCTTGGCCTCTTGGAAGAGTGCTCGTCAATTATATGATCGTAATCCTTGCGCTCTTCGGGAGCTTCACTTTCAACATCGATGTTTGAAACTGTTGATCCCGCCTCCTCTTTGATGGCGTTCACTATCTTTGCATGTAATTTGTTTTGTTGTTGTTGATCTACAACTGTGGCAAGCTTTAAACTCCCGGCAACTCTTCGGTGTTTTTCTACCACAGTGGTATTGAACGGACAAACCTTCATGTAGAAACCAAGAAACTTCAAGTGTTTCCCCTGTCGAACGGCCTCTTGGACCTTGGCCTCATCTTGATCATCAAACACTTCATCGTTTCCTTCTTTGTAGTCTTAGTTTGCAATGTCACCAACCTGATCTGCGACCGGGTTATTCTTGTTAGGTGCCGTAGCTTTGGTAGGCGGATAATACGTCCCGATTGTATCACATAATCCACCATCCGAAGCATCCACATGCATTTCACCTTCTGCTTCTAGAATCGATTCGTTTGTCTCTTCCCTCATCCCCCCCTCGACACCCGAAGTTTTCCGTTCCTCTTCCTTTTGTTTGCCTTTTGCAGCCATTCGAATCTTGTTGGCATTGCGCCACATTTCTTCATGTCCACCGTCTCCTGCCCAGGTGCGTCCCTCTGTAGGCTCTAGTAGCTTCGACTTTGAAATGAGAGCCTCGATTACGTTCATTTCCTGAGTTCTTTTTGGAGCAATTGGCGACTTTATATTGAAACCATGTTCATCCACGTCACTGACTTCGCCTTTTCTAACTTTGCTTTGTTTGCGATTTTGATTTTCGGGTCCTCTTCCTGTCATCCAAAACTGCAAGAAAAGTCGACAGGCTCGAGAGAGCGCAATATACGTGCTTTGGGCTGCAAACCCCTCAGAATCTTGAACCGTTTTCATTTCAGCTAGATACCGATTGATATGTTCCTTATTGCGTCCAATGAAATCATCGCATGGCCCTTCTTCAATCTAACGAAACGATTGCATCGAACCATATGCAGCAAATTTTCGTCCATTTTGTAGAGTGCCTCCATTTGCCGAAGTGAACATTCCTCATATTTGTCCTTTCCGAATGCAGCAAAAACAGGGAGCCAATCCACGTAAAGCGCCTCAATTGAAACGGCGTCACCAGTCCTCGTCGACTTTGAACCATGCTCGAACTCACGCCAAATGTCCAAAAAACGAATCGAGGTCACCACCACCTCGTCCTTGCTCTCTCGCAATTTCTGTACGAACTCTTCAAAGCTCTCGGCCATAGCAACTGGACCTGCACCATGCAGAGTATTTTTTGCATTGCACCACTTTTGCCACAACGCTCGTTCCAATTCACTACCAACAAGATTGAGAAACTCTTTTGAATTCTAATATTTTTCCTTCGGGTCGGCAGTAATCGTTCGACACTCTAGGGCGTATTGAAAACACTGTAGCCAATTCCCGTAGAAACCAACAAAAAGACAGTCCAACTGGTGTACACTGAAATTGAAGTCACCTGGTATGACAGTGAGTTTTTGGAACATAGCTTGTAGCACATCAGCTAATTCGGTTGCAGCGTTGTTCTTGTTTGTGTCTCCAACACTCTTCAATGCCTGTTTTGTCATTCTCTTTGCAAACGACAATAGCACGTCGACCGTCATTTCGTTACCAGCCACAACGAGATTTCGTTCTTCGAACTTTTCGCCTAATGAGTATTTCACCGTTCCATCACTTCGTCTGTCCACTTTTAGGAAGCCACTCATCTCGATGTTTTCTGAGAGTACGTTGCCGCTCCCTTCAATGCTGCTTTCCTTATGTATCAACGAGCGTAGAGGAAAGATTTTGGTGACATGGGCTTCGAATTTATTCCAACTTGCTACTGTTCGTTGTTGAAATGCTTTCGCTTTTTCACAGAGCTCTTGTTTGTCCCTTATCGCCCGAACAACATTATTTTCATCGTTTTCTTTCCCAGTTGGGGTCAGGTCGTCCACCGGTGTCAAATCCACCGCTTCTGGCTTACATGACACTAAATAGCGCTTTATGTCACGTAGCGCTCTTGCAATCTTCAAGACCTTCTGGTACCAAATCACGCGCTTGCCATGGCTTGATGGATCGTTGTCTTCGGCGAAGGGGCGTCCAGTCTTACTCTGAAAACGTTGCAGTAAAGTCGCGTGATCCAGCTGACCCCAAATCAACTCTTCGATCATGTCGTTCCGTTGAGCATCATTCAGTTGCTCAAGGCATTCGAACGGGAACATGCCAGGTGGAGCAGGGATCCGCTGATCAAGGTAAATCGATTTTCCTGGTTGTGCTTGCTGTGGAGTTGGAATAAATGATTTTGGGACATTAGGTGGTATGCATAACGAACAGTGCAATGTGTGTCGGTCACAGACTTCCCAAACCTGAGAGGCTTGATGGAAGTCTTTAAGTTATCCCAGCATGTGAGAATATTTTTGTGACGCTTCAAGACTTTCAAATCCTCATCAAACTTAGAAAATCGTTTCCTTTTGTCGATGCCCAAGCTGCGAGACGAAGTGGCTAGGCCTTGCCACTCTCCCAAGCTTTGCTCCAATACAAAACCACCTTCGGTATGGAATGCGTAGGCAAGTATCAGGCCAAAGGCAGAAAAAGCCATCTGACTCCTTTGCTTCTCATTGTACAACAATCTTTGTACTACTTCGAATTCAGTGTGGTTGTTTCTCAGTTCCTTCGAAATCTTCTTGTATGTGATTGGTAGGTTATCGAGCACAATTTTGTGGATTTCATTTACATCATTTTCAGTCAACAGTGGTTTGTTGAGCTCAATGAAACCACTTGAAACACCATCCAAACTCGAGGAAAATATCTCGTCAATCTGATCGCATACTTTGTTCCTTTTTTCATTTTCTTCTCTTTCCTTTTCCTCTGCCGCTTTTCGCAACTCAAGAGATTTCTTTGTGCTGCTGAATGTAGCAGCGATCGATGCCCACCTTTCCTTCTGGAAAATTTCCACAATCTTCAATACCACAATGCGATCCCCCCTTGATTCCTGGAGCAGATGATCCATTACTCCAATTCGTTTCTCCTTATCTTTTTGGTTTTTGTACACACCTTCGAGAAAATCAGAAACTTCTTTTACTTTGTTTCCTAGTTCGCTCCACAACTCGAAACGATTATAAGCCAAGAAGTCTTTCTTCACAGCAATGAAGTCGACAGGATTTTGTCCACCAAAAGTAAAAGACAACTTCGTGTCATCAGGTTGCTTGATGACGCTCCTATTAAGACTTGCGACTTTTGCTCCCCTTACAACAAGAACCTCTGACGCAAATTCCAATCTTCTCATTGTCGAACGAACGAGCACTTTCGTGTGTTACCTTCACAAGTCTCTGCCGCAGTTTAGTGGTGCTCCGAAATGGAACAACAATAGTAACATCCTTATCACTATCATGGTTTACAAGATCTACAAGGCCCATGCGATTAAGGCCAACAAGTGGGTCTTTTTCAGCAACGTTGTTTGCATCCACACCCATCAGTTTTAGGGAGTCGTTCTTGGTCTCCAAACGAGCTCTACTGATTGGTCCAACGGCAAATTTTTCATCGTTTGTACATTTCTATTCGTGATATGGAGGTGGTTCGATGCCATAAGCCTCGGACAGCGAGACTTTTGACATTATGCATGCTGTGATGACTCCAACGTAGACCGCAGGCACACTGTTCGATTTCTTTGACTACATTGTGTTACAGACGGACAAAGGCCGAACGGCCTGTAGTGATTCTAATAAATAAATTCTAATAAAATAATAGAAGTAAAATTAAGACGCTGTCTTGCCGTCGACAGAAAAAACAAAAATTCAACACCAATAATAAAAACAAATCACTTCGTTTCACTGATTGAGGGATCATGACAGAACCCAATGCAGCCGCGTCCGCTACGCCCGCAATGCTTGCCATGCGTGGAGGTGTAGAGTACAGATGTGGTGATTGTGGAGCAATCAACGTTGTCAAAGCCTCCGATCCCGTCCGTTGCCGTCAATGCGGATTTCGCATTTTGTACAAGTTGCGCACAAAGCGATGTAGGTGCCCTCGAGCTTCCGCACATCATGTTCTTACCCATATCGATAATTAAACTCACGTCGTCCTAACTATGCTGTTTACAGTGATCCAATTTGAAGCACGATAAATGATCCATTGATGGCTGTCCAGTTTCCGAAAACGAGTTAACATCACGAATGGATCGGCTGTTGCGTGATAATAATAATTGGGGTATGTCGTTGGGAACTGCCCACAAAGAAGTGCACAACCTGATAGATTGGCACTTTTGGCTACATGTGGAGTGTTTGGGACTACTACAATAGCTTTGCAAATGAATCTAATCTTTTATATCAAAGCATCTCTGTCGAGAAAATATGTTATGTTTTGTAGGTTCTTTTCAAACCTAGTCCTATCTGTCCTTTTTTATCTAGTGCAAAACTAGCAATCGGTTCTCAGTTGATCGTGTAGTATATATAACTAGTTCTGCACTCTTGTAGCCCAGTTGCTGCTGGCAGAAAGCAGCACGCGATAGATCAAACAGTTGCTTTATCCGTATTCCAAGCAGAGATTTCTCTTCTCTCGTGAAGTGCCTCTCGAACTCCTGTGAGGGAATGAAATCCTTTTCTAGGTCTTCCATTGCTTTCTCAAGGTTTTTCTTGGCAAGTGATGCGACTGAGAAGAGATCTGGCAAAGTGCTTGCCTCTGAATCGGATAGACTGGTGGCGTGTTGTTGTGGAATGTTTCGGGAATCTTTGGTGCCAGCTGTCGTGTCGCCCTTCTCTGCTTTTCTCCTCTTTGCTGATTTATTCTTCTTCTCCTGAAGACTTGCCCATTGACTTACAGCAGTAGCGACGACGAAATCTTCCTCTGACAAACCGGTTGATTCCCAAAACTCCCTGCCCGAAAAGCTATCAAACGTGCAAAGGTAGTGGCAACAGGTAGCAATGGCAGTTGGTGGAGGGGGGCACTGCCCAGAGTTCTGCACTGACCTCGATAGTGCATGTAGAGTCAAGTCACAGGCTGGACCACAGAGGTGTTTGGACATGCAGAGTGTTTTCTTCCCCACTTGTCCATCGTCACAGTTGTCGAAGTAGTGATCCAGCTGCAATGATCCAATATCGACGATGACGCGTTCTATGACGGGAGCTTTTTCTTCTCTTGTTTTCTCCTCTCGTGCTTGTTCTATAACCTTCTTCTCGGATCTTGCCAACAAATGACGATCTCGGCAGTGATTCTGTGCAAAGTTTTGGCGGTCAATCATGATATGATCCAATGTCGCATTCGTGGAACGCTGCAATCTGTCGGATAATCTCGCGGTTCCTGCTCCGAGTTCAATAGCTCGAGTAGTTTCGCTATTCAAAGCATTTATGCGTCGCAAGTGGCCAATGATGGAAACTTCTTGGAGGACATGCTTGCCACCTTCTTCCCCTTGGTTGTCGACATTGGCTTCTCCAATAATGTAGTCTTGCGATGTTAAGATTTCTTGAAAAGGAACCTTTGGTAGAAACTTTGAAATCACATCAAGCTTGGCAATTAGTCTCTGAACTTGTTCACCCGTAATGTTCTGAACCTTCGACCTGGAGTTTTTCCCTAATCCATCTTGCCTTGAAGGTGCATGGCTCATTTTTCTGTGTTGATGTCTTCGTATTTTCAGTTGTTGGCTTTGTGTGGCACAGGCAGACGACAATGAGGCACGACTATTCCAGTACCTGATTTGAATTTGAAAACTTCGCGTGTTCTAATTTTGAATCTCGTCTTGAGTCGTCGTCGATGTGTTATGGTGGTAATCGAAGTTTTATAGTACTGCTTGTGTACAGTATAGCAAAATCTTGAATATACATGTGTCTGTTACCACTGTGAACACTTATTATCCCGCGGGAACAGTTCGATGTTTGAACATTCAAACGCAGCTTTTGAGGATAAACCTCAAATGAAGCATCGGAATTGTGCATCACTTTCCAGCCTAATGTACACTGAATCATCGACATGACTGTTGCTACCCACAGATCTGCACACAACACCAAGAGACTGACTCTTCCAATTTCGGATGCGTCCTCTTCTATCATGAAGAACCCAGCTGCAAAGACGCCTCCGATACACGAAGAAACTGAATGTAGCAACAGCACCTGGGAAACTATTGACATTTTCCCTACCACCATCGAGCAGAATCAATTACTTGAGGGTCAACGGGCCAAGAAGCGATGCATCGAAAAGGAAAGCTTCGAAAAAGAAACGACCACCTGGAACATCAGCAGCTGTGACACTATTGACACCTTCCCTTCCACCATCGAGCAGCAAGAATTACTTGATGGAAAATGTTGCAAGAAGCAGTAGACCACCAAGAAGCGATGCGTCGAAAAGGAAAGTTTCGAAAAAGGAAGGTTCACCTGTAACAGAAAGAGCTGCGAATTCAGTGACATTTTCCCTACCACCATCGAGCAGAATCAATTACTTGAAAGTTGATGCTGCAAGCAGTAAACCAAGAAGCGATGCGTCGAAAAAGAAAAGCAAGTAAGAGCACATGGTGCCGCCTTCCGCCCAATATTCAGTGGACTACAAAACTAGTACCGGTAGCAGATATCAGAAGTGAGGCCGTTGGAGACAACAAGGTGCACAAGCTTACGTGCAGATCTAATATTCCTTGGGTAACTAATGTACATATGAAAATCTATACAGCTTTAATGTTTTGCAGCAAGAACGTTTGGTGGTTTTGCTCTAGCTCGCAGGATCGTCGCCATTCACAATTGCCTCGGCGAAGTCAAGATGATCCAGTATGTTTGACGATTTCTCGTCCCAAGTCACTTGGCATTTGCCAGGTCTTCTGGAGCTTCGCACTGTGGTACTTCTAATAGAACCGAGCTCGCCACCATCAAAACTGAACTCATCATCGGAGTATATCTTATACCAGTCTTGTTTGCGGAAGTGTTCACGAATCTCCATTGAAGACTTGCTCTTGAGCTCGGTCGCTCCAGGGGCGCCCTTGTACGCAACAGCAATCAAGTTTCCACAAGCAGCTTCCATTTTTTTCTCGTACTTTTTCATGACCTTTGATAGTGTTTCCACGTCGTTGACTATTTGAGATGTTAGCGTGACTGTGCTGACATCAGATTTCCCAGAGTGCACCGAGCCGACTTCATTGCGTCGATGTCTTCTTCGTCTCGTGGCCTTTTGTAACATCGAGCGACAGAGCTCTTCGCCTTCTAACTTCCACTTCATACGGTTGTTCTTCGCCTGTCGTAAGAGTTGTTGGCAGACGATGTTCAGTACACCACATTCACTCAGGTTGGTGGCCAAAGGAATCACCCAATTGTCGAAGAACCAGAGTTCACCCTTGTACCAACCATCTGAAGGATCCTTATCTGATCGGCCTTCCGCGAACGCGTCGTACATTTCAAAGAAAAGGCATTCATTCCAAAGGCGATAGAGATTCCACTCTTGCATAGTGTGAGCAACGTCAGACGTTTGCATAATGTGTTCCATAACAATCGTAGCTCGGCAATTCGCCTCTTCGTCTTGGCATGTGAAATCTGACGGACCTTCCGGGAAACTCTTCTCCCAGCGCTTTTTCCTCAGAGCTCGAAGATCACTGTCGAAAATGTCAGTAGCCATGACACAGTTGACCAGAAGATTACGAAAGCGCCCTTGCTCATTATTTGACTCAAAGAGACACTTGTGCAAATTTCGGAAGCTATCAGTCATCAATATTTCCCAAGCAATAACGATAGAGTTTTGCTCAGCGATGCTCTTGTTGCAGAACTTCTCTGCAAGTTCAGGTTTTTCTTCGGCAAGTTGCCCATTAGGCACACCCGTATGACCCACATCGTGAACCAAAGCCGAGAGGACGATTGAAAATCTAGCAAGTGGATCGCATGCAAAGCCGTTTTCGCTGGCACTGGAAAGAAGAAGATTTGCCAAATGAGCTACATGACTCGCATGGAGGAAATTGTGAAATCCATTTTTCTGGTATCCAGAAGCTATCATGGCAACCAAGTTGCGAAGCTCTGACAGAACCACAGGTGATAAATCGGGTCTCGAGATACCCTCCTTCGCTTTCTGAACTCCTTCGATTTTCTTTTGCATCTCGATCACCATCTTGATTTCATCAAACGGGGTACTCAGAGTTCCAGCCATCGAAGATTTCTGGTCGAAATTGTCTTCCGCCGCTGTGTGGCTCATGACAACATCAAACAAGAGTCTCTCGAGCAATTGGACATTAGCAGTGACGAGACTAGAAATTTTGTTTTCCGAGTCCACCTTTGCAGCAGGAAGAAGGCTCGCTGCAAGCCATTCTTTACCACTCTTCCTCCAAGTTGCCATGTTGCGAGCTGCACTGTCTGCAAGATATGATGCTTGCGGTAAGATTCTTTCCAACTCAGAGACCAGTGGAACGACAGCATCATCAAAGAATAAAGTCTGCTCGTGGTACCAACCAACTCGAGGATCATCGGCCCGTCCATCGTCATAAGCCTGCATGACTTCTTGGAATTCGCGATGATTCCAACTCAAGAAGAGATCAAACCGTTGGCTATAGTGTCCGATTTCTGCCATTGCAAGAATTGCTGCCAAACTAGCCCCACGAGAGCTTCGTGAATCGGTACTTGGTTCATTTACTGCCCTTATGGCCTTGATGATTTCGCGAACCGACTGTGCAGATTCGATATTCGACGATAGAACCAACTTGCGAAGGGTGCTTCGGAAGGTGGGATAGCCAAATGAAATCTCTTCGTAGAGATCCGGAAATTCTTCTTCGAGAAGTTCGAAAGCGGAAGAAAAGGAATACCTCTCTTGGTAACAGCCTCTGTTCTTGTGTTTTTGGAAAATGATGTGGTTGCTGGCCTTCAATTGTTCATTTTTCAAGCCACTGTGATTTACGTTGTGAATCACTGCAGCGAAGAGCAGAATAAAGCGATCCCAAGGGTCTTTCCCCAGCGCAAACGGATTTGTCTCATCTTCCGACCGATCGTTCCATAAGAAGTCTGCCCTGAGGAAGACTTCTGCAGAGTGAGCAAAATTATGAAATGCATTGGTACCACTGTGAAGCTCAGCGATAGATTCAACATAGCCGCGGAGTTGTACAGACATGATCTCCATTCTATTTCCTTCCTTATGAACACAAGCAGATAATGCAGAAAGCAGAGTCTCGTACACCTTGGAGATTAACTCCTGCTGGGACAAGGAAGTTTGCCAGCAGAGATCATCCCAATTTCTGTTCAAGCTGAAAAGCTGCTCTTGAGAAAACTCTATGATTGCACCAAACCCATCGTCAACATTATCCATGTCGATATCATCCTCAATGTCATCCTCGAGCAACTTATCATTACTGTCTACGCTTGAGTTCTCCATGAAGTCATCGAAAGATGATTCGCTGCTTCTGCAGCTTGATGCCTCGTCAAAACCGCTTGAAGACCCACCACCAGAGGATCCACCACTCAGAGAACCAGATTCTCCACCTAATCGAAACAGGCCTCCGCGTCGAAAGTAGCGTCGCATCTTCCATTTCTTTGAAGATAGCATTGCTGCAGTTTCCTCGTTGAGGCACTCTAAAGCCTCTGCGTTTGCTTCATGATTGTCTGTAGTCGCACCGTTGAGCCAATATGTATAGTGTTCTCCCTTCCCCTTCATATCCACTAGGCCCCTTGGCGTAAAGCTAAACTGTTGTGCATCCTCCTTGCCAAGGTGTTTCAGTCGACCGAAGAGGGCACTGGAACAGTGGATCTTTCCTGCAATAGCAGTGGATTCATGACGAGCTGTCGTGTTGACCATGTCTCCTGCAGAAGAATCACAAAACGGATGAGATGATTGTTTGATTCCAAAGGGACGTTGCAAACGCCACATTTACGTACCAAACAAGCAATAACGAGGCGTCATTGTTCCAACAACCCCAGATGTACAACTTCCAGTGTGGATACCAATGCGTAGTTGAATTGGTTCGCCGTCCACGGGAGACTTGATGTGCTGCACACAATGTGAAACGGCAAGCGCAAAATTTGCAACATTCTCGGCGTGGTACTCACTTGGCTCCGGAAGCCCTGAGCAACACCTGTGCGAGAAAAAAAGCGAGGGGCATGAGCAATTGATATGGATGGAATGGCAACAGCAAGAAGATCCGTAGTCGTCAACTTACATGTACGCATCTCCGACAGTTTCAACCTTGTACAGATTAAAATGCTTTACAAGGTGGTCCATCACTGAATAAAGCTGGTTCATCATATCGATGACATCCCAAGGGTCGACCAGATCACAAATCTGAGTAAAGCCAACGATATCGGAGAAGAACAATGTGACATTACTATGGAACTTTGGCTCCACCGATTTTCCCTTTCGGAGTTCCTCAGCGACCCCTTTGGGAATGATACTATAGAGTAGTGCGTTGGATAGACGTTGTTCGTACTTGAGCTTGCGGTTGAGTTTGTCCAACTTGTGTGCCTTGCCGGCTTCTTGAGTGACATATTCGCCCAAGAAGATGGCATCGCGTTGGCTAGTAGTCAGGGGCAAATCCGACAGCGTCAATCGCATCTTCTCGAGCTCGGCAACGTTGCCGACCTCGGGAAGGAGCGAGAACAGGATCTTGTCCTTTGAGAGCTGAATCATGGCAGCCTTGAATTTGATATCATTTTCTTCATTGGCATCTTTGTGTTGTAAATTATCAATTTGGGCAATGGCAACGCGCCTTCGGTTGCCCTTGGAAGCCGGTACCACGAAGAAGTGTTGGTCCGATACTTTCTTCAGTGTCTTCCAGTTCCAGCTTCCGTTCATATTGGGACGTGTGACTTCGAGAACATCTCCAATGTGAGTACCGACGATCTCTTCGGCACGCCTTTCCAATACTCTTGGTAATATGTCGCCTGTTTGTAGCACTTGGAAGTCTCTGTTGACGAGGACATGAAATGGAAAGACCTCCCTCATTTTCTTCATAGTGATGCCCCCAACTTGTCCCTCGTCACGAGTGGTGAGAGACAAAGAGGATTCCGGTTTGATATTCGCAGAATCATCCATGACACTATCCTCATCTTGAGAATTTTGCAGATTCGCTCTGAAGGGACACCTGTTAGTGAAGGATGTCCTACCAATCACATTCGATTCCATACCCTTTTTTCGAGAAAAGGGGCACCCATTGGGCGTGACAACGCTGTCCAAGCTGACATGGTTTTCTTCGCTTTCGACTATAGGCCTTGGCGATAACTTGAATTGTTTGGCAGCATCGACAGCCGTGATGCGCCAAGTAGTAGACGAAGCCCCATCTTCGTCCTGGAGAGCTTGCTGATCCATTCTTATCTCGACGTCAAAGAATCTGTCGGCAATTTCGGAAACAATTCCAACAACCCAAGGAACCAAGAGGTTCCCTCGCTTGCTTGTATAGTGCAACAAGATGGACCCTTCCACCCAGTCGCAATCTTCGCACCAAAAGACTGGAGGACAGTAGTTGTCTCCAGGAAAGCTTCTTTGAATGTGATCGTGCATAGCATTCAGATTAGACAACCACTGACGTAGAGTGGAACCTTGACACTTCAAAAGGGCACCATAGCCATTATCAAAATGATACTGAATGTTGTATCGGCCATATGACTCGAGTATATCAGTTGATGTAATATTCAACTCTTGGGAAGCAGCTTCCACAAGATCCTTCCATGTCTCGTATCGGTAGTAAGTTCTTGTGACAAATGCGTTGTCAGCAACCTCGCATCCTGCTCGAGCCTTAATGGCATGCCATGTGTCAATATCATGGTTGTGTATCACCCAGGCTTCGAAAATTTCATAGACTAGTCCGTGCATGATTTCCGAATTTTTTTATAATGAGCTGTGAGAAGATACCGTCCCCGAAATCGGGACAGAAGCTTAGAAGCTTGATGGGGGGTTCGGAGGCTTTTACGTGTGACAGTGAAGACGACATCATAAATGTGATCACAGTGTTCGGATCTGTGATATCAAAGTGGCCCATGTTGGACTGTAATCTCTATGTATACGAGCGCCAAATTGTCCGATTAGAAAGCTCGTGTGAAATAGCTTGGTCCAAATCCGAATCGTACTGTATTAGATCTGCCCCTTTCGCTAAGGTGATCACAAGATAAAATATTGAAAACAACACTTCCCCTCCCCTTGAAGCTTCCTGATGCGACACTTCGCAAAGCTCTTTGCATCAGCCTTCGTCAACCATCAGCCTTCGTTGGACGCGGAGAACGGAACTATTTGAGCTCTGTTGGTCGACCAAACGGACTAGAAACCAAATCGGTGTTGCGACATTTCTCAGCGAAGCTGCCATCAGTACATGCATGTACTGTACATCCTTTGGAGCAATGGTACGACCGAGACTAGTACAAGAAGGTGTACCGATCTATGGGCCTGGGTCAGAAGCGGAATATTCACAAAACAGTCAGAATCATAATGACCATGCAATGGAAAGCAGACCGAACCCACCACCTGCGTCGGCGCCATCTAGGCTCGTTGGACCACACAAAATGTCGTCATTGCAACGAGCTGCAGGTGCCTCAGCGTCACATCGAAATGCAAAGTATAGGTCATCAGCATTATCGAAAAAAAAGAAAACGAGTTACACCATTGGAGGTTCATCCACCCTTGAAGCCAAAACAACTACTTCAAGCTCTTACTCGAATGATCCCCCTTTGAAATCTCAGGATGGGATGGAATCACGCACGCAACAACAGCATTCCCACAACTATACTGTGGGTAACCCCCAGCATGAACAAGATGCCCCGTCTCACAATGGGGCGTATCAGAAAACAGTTGAAAATGACCACATGATGGAAGACGATCCCATGTCTCCTTACAATCAGAACAACAACAACCATGGTTACAACCACGGAAATTCATCGCATCAATACCATCGCCAACCTATTCCTCATGCTAGTCTAGGCCCGCTGTCCCCCACTCCTGAACCTCCAACCTCCTTTATTATTGGTGGCAGCAGTCCCATTCCACCATCGCACCAATATCAACAACAACCAATTCCGCATCCAAGTCAGCCCATCTCCGCACCTCCAACGTACTATGGAGACAGCAGTCCATTGCCACCATTGCACCACTATCAGCAACAGCCTATTCCGTATTCAAGCCCCGGTCCGATTCCACCCGCTCCTGCAACTCAAACGTCTTATGCTATTGGTGGCAGCAGCCCCGCTTCACAGTCTCGACCACAAAGCGTGGAAAAAATGGAAGGCGTGCAAGATCATGGCAGCAAAACGCCACTTGTCGTTCTGGACGGAGCCAATGTTGCTCATTATTATGCGGATGCTTTGGCGGCCATGAACACAACCTTTAGCGACAAGAGTCGTCGCAGAGGCAAACCAGAACCAGATACTCGTGGCATTCAAGTGGCCACAGATTATTTTCTATCGGTAGGCGTTCGTGTTTTAGTGGTTTTGCCGCAATACTGGATGCGCAAGAAACCAAGGCCAGGTGATACTAGTAGCCAGAATGCAATGATGGACACCAATCAAATGGATATTTTGAAAGATTTGAATGACAAGGGTTTAATTGTGGCATCGCCTCCAGCCGATGATGACGATGCTTATGCTTTGACGATTGCCAAACGAGAAGAAATGAGGGCTGTTCGACAACGGAACGGTGAAGGGCCAGGATTTGTTTTGAGTAATGACATGTTCCGTGATGCACAAGCGCGTGATCCTACTGGAGTCATGAAAGAGTGGTTGAAGGAAGGAAGAAATGAGACCATTGGACCAGGAAGAATTTCATACGCTTTTTGTGACATGGGTACAATGGATGATCATGGAGACCGAATCTTGGATTTTGTGCCGAATCCTAGGCATCCCTTGGTGATTTACGTGGAGGGGCTGCATCATCAGACCATTTTGAATAGATAAAACAAAAGTCACAAATCTATCCCCATCATTCGATCATTTCTATCCATTACGCTATTTTCGATTCAGTCCTATCAGCGCAAGTCGAAAACCAATGCCGATACTTTTCATACATTTTGATCGAAGTCTCAAATGCGTCTCCCTGAACTGTGGTTGGATATTTGTTGGTGGACGTTGTCCAGTGGTATGCGTGGCTGGCGAATAGCTCGTCGACTGCTGTCTGATTCAGTGGTCGACCAGCTGTTTTGTCCTCTATTGCCCGGCCAAGAAGATCGGCTGCTCTCCTAATGTAGTAGTCCTTGATGAGTCCATTCCAGTGTTTCGCCGCATAGTCGATGGGGCCACCTGGTATAGACTTGCTATCCTTGGGTGTTGGGTTCCATGTTGTGATTTGGGATCTTGCATTGAATTCGTAGAAATTGGCGCAATTGGAAAGACCTAAAATTTCGGTGTAACAATCGTCAGTTTCATTTGCCCCCCATTTTCGAGCTGATTCGAGCCATGGCCCCAGCAAGAATCCTTGATCAGTTCCGACCAAATCATCGACATCTTGAAGAAGCTTCATATAGAAGCTTCCTGATTTGATAATCTCGTTGGGACCAACTTGTGATGTGGCATCGGTAAAGTTCTTCGCTGCTGGTGTGGAGAGTTGCGCAAGTACCTCTCGTCCCAGATTGACGAGGTCGTAGCGGAAAGGTTCGTTGTTGTTCTTTAAAATAGTGTAGATGTCGATTGCCTCCAAGGATGCTTTTTGTATGGCTTGAATCATATGCTCCCAAGCAAGAAAGGTGTCACAAAGAAGGCCTTTCGGTGTATAGCGATCATCTTCGAAAAGATTGTTTCTCCCGGGATTCAAGTGTGCAATGCCAGTAAAGTCTTGTGTACTAAAGTCATTGGAATAGAGACTGCGCATCAGTAACTTCCAAGTTTGCGAAAGATGATATTTGATGATGAATACATTGTCGTCATCACCTGTCACACCGGCCAAGCCATATCGTTTCATGTTTCGTTGAGCCAGATAATCGCCCAAATCTTCCACTGGCCCATCTCGAAAAGTAGACTCGAACAAGAATTCGTAGAAAGCTGGGTTTTGATTGATGCCTTCAGGAGTTCCACCAATGCCGGCTATTGATGTTGAGGACAAGAACTCATGTGGAAAATGATTCAATCGTCGAATATCACCCTTGATACCATCAGTGCCCCCAAAATTATGAAGGGCCGTCCAAACGAATGGAGCTTCAAAGAAGGATGCATTGTTGAACTTTGTCCACTCTCCCAGGCCCGAGTACGACATGTCCAGAATCACAAACCGATCCTTGGGAACTGCATCAACAAAACCTTTGACAGCTTCCGCCTGATCTGGACTGTTCCATCCAATAAAGGCGAATCCCTGAAACGACCAAATGGCCTTTGGATCGGTTCGATTCAACGATTCAAAGGCTTTTGTCCCTCGGCGAAACCAGTCTTCATTGTGAGACAATTTCGTGCTTTCGTCGTAGTCATGGTAGCCATGGTCATGGTAGTATTCAATGTTGTTGTGAGGATCCTTCTTCATCCATGGAGCAGTGCCACCATTGAAATAACCATCGAGTTGGTACCAGTGATCCGTTCCAAAGGCATCCAAGAGTATTTGCATGTAATTATCGGCAATCTGACCAAATATTGGATCTAATGCATCCATCCAACCCGTGGCTCCCTCTTGCGTAATGTTCTGATCATCAAAGATATCTCTCATTTGGATGGGGACGTTTCCTTGAAATCCCGGTAGTTGACCAATGATCCCAAGATCTCTCAGTCGCGGTAGAATGAAATCACGTTGCATAAAGAATTGATCGGCCATCCATGATTTTGGCAGTGGTCCAGCAATATTGCTTCCGTATTCATTTTGTCCACGAGACCAAGTCAGAAAAGCCGGACCATTGAACCAAGACCGAATATCTTTGTCGTTTAACCCCAACGCCAAAAAGGTTTCATAGAAGATTTGTTCTTGTCCCGTCAAGGCTACAATGTTATTGACACCCGTAAGGCTCAGCCAATCAATATATTGCTCCCAATCTTGTTTGTCATACCAGACCAGACTGTAACTATGCGTACAAACATTCATGAAATAACTCCAAGGGACCGCCCTTGTCTTGCGAACTTTTTTGGAACCAATGGACGGCCATTGGTCTGGAATGACAATCCGAGATCCTCCACCAGAGGGCCACCCCAAGGTCATGTTGCAATAGTGTCTCAGATACCATCCAACACCAGCACCTAGTTCAGATGCTGTCGAGCCTGTCACTAAAATATTTCCGTTGCCTTCATCTTGCAACTCAAAGTACTTGGGTTCCATTCTGAACGACGACTCGTCTGCTGCTGAAGAAGCAGAGGAGGAACCAACCAAATGAAGCTGAAAGGGATGCTCATTTTGCTTCAACACGCGAGTGATCAGCCTGTACACCGCATCCGTTGTTCCTAGAAGCTGTGATGCATATGCTGTCCGCTGGCACTGCAGGGTCAGCAGCCAAGCTAGCAGGAGTGTTGCTACCCTCATCGTGGATCTACGCTTTGTGACAGTTTGACGAAGAAATCTTTCTTGGATTTTGCTGTGACTTTTAGAGCTAAACAATGCTCCTATAGACATTTGGGAGAAATGGAGAAAGAGAATAGAACACGAGCGGATATGGAACAGAAATGTTTGGTCATTGCTCGAGACGCCTCAATAAATGTTTCCGTTAATTGTTGAATCTTGACACCGCTCTTCTTTTTTCAGAATAGTCATTTTGCTGACAGAAAATAAATGTTTTTTCACCAAAGATAATTTCAAGCTAGCCGAAAATAGCTCTTCTTATTGACCGTGAGTTCGGTTTCCAATGAAGAATTTTCTTCCATATGGTACTCAATCACACAACGCAGTGCTGGCTCGTTGGCGAATTTCGAATTTTCAATCTTCCATCTGTAGTGATCGAGTTCATTGTCCGTCATCGCTCCTAATCGTAGTACTTTTAACCTACCTTTTGCAAGGGCATACCACTGTGGCTGCAGACCTGTCCCGAGTTTGTCACGATTGAGCATGTTCCGCTCTTCATCTTTTCAACAACAACGCGCATCCATCGTTTCACAGTTCAGTCACAAAGACTAACGTACAGTAGGTACCACACGCTATAATACTTTTCACCACAATACGGAAGGGAGAGCATCATTAGCATGCCTCTCATGACCAACCCCAATCGGCGGCAACGGAGTCGTATGCCACGGCTCCGTCGTCGGTCGTTGCCTCGGCTGAGGATGGGCAACCAGCATCCACAGCCACAACAACCTCAACATCACGACTGTGAGGATCACGAAGAAACGGTTGCCAAGGACCTTCACCTTGATAATCCAGCAAAGAGTCCGACAAAGAATCGAGTGAAACGTCGATCATACTCATTGCCAAGAAGGTTAATACGTGCAAAGCAGCAGGACGCTGAAGATGTCGATATTCGGCAAGAGAGTAACGAGACTATCAACACCTGGCTGGAATCATCTTCTGATTCTGTGGAAGTTATGATAGCACGGGAGCCCAAAGTTTCCTTTGGTGATAATCTTGTCGAAAAGACGTTTGAATCTCTGTATGACAGCCAAGAGGAGTTTGAATACGATCCAACTCAACTTTGGTATCAGGTAAGGAAGGAACAATTTATTTTAGGTTTTTTGAGTACCGGTCGGACGCTACCATGTATTCTAACTTTTTTTGCTTTTTTTTCCATTGCTTCACTCAATCAATATAATAGGAACCGGATTACACTCGTTTCAAAAAGGATCGCATCTTGACTTCCTTTGATTACCAAGCCTCTGTCCAAGGCAAGACCAATTTCAATTACGAGGACCATTCCATTCGAGGATTGGAAACGATGATTCATCCACGGTATTCCAAACGCGTCAACTTGGAAAAAATGGACCTTTGGAAGGCTCTTCAAAAGGAAGAAGCCCACCAAAAGCAAACGGACAAATTTCCCAATTTGGAACGATTCAAGGTGGTAAGTCACCGTCATACCAAGGATGCCCAAAATCGGGCCCACTCACTTGGAGCGGAAGATGCCAAGGATGTTCAACAAGGCAAAGGTGGTAATGGTACTAGTGGCAAGTCTTGGATTTCTCGGAAACTGGCGTTTGGAGCACCAGTGGAACGAGGAGTCCAGCGTCACCGATCCATGGATTCCGAACTGTAAAACAAAAAGACATGCCATCACAGGCCATAGACAAATCACCATCCACGGCAATTCGGGGCTATTTTGCCAGCAATTCGTATTACTCTTGGCGTGATTGGCTCACATCAAGAAGTAGAAGAAGAAGATTGCCAGGATGGTGAAGGGAGCAATCAAGACTGGAAGGGACCAACAAAACAAAATCATATCATTTGGAACAATCGTGTGTTGCAAAACGAAAAAGGGGGGTATGTAGGACGGAGAGAAAGCGACGCAATGGTTCCCTGATCCACTACATGCTACAATGTTGGCTACCGTGCGGTGGATATATATTATGCACATGCGAGCATACTACACGTACCAGTCGAAATGAATAGGGTGTGAATGCACACCACAAAATCTGACTCCTTACGAGAGACAGAAATACAACAGATATATTTTAGAATACCCCACATTATTGAATAATTGAATTGAATTGAAAAAATGAAGTGGTAGTGTAATGCTTTTGACTGTTATGTCGTGATGTCATTCTTCATTGTAGAGTAATCGTAGTTGCTGATGTTTTATAGTACACTTCACTGGTCAACACAGCCCAGTACTGTAGCATGTCCAGCACAAAGGGAAACTTTTAATCCTAGTCATCTTCACTAGATTCTTCTTCACTACTGCTGCTATCACTCAAATTCATATTGGCATCCGTAGCTGGTTGTGCTTGATTCATAGCCACTCTTCTAGCATGTTGTTGTTGCTGCTGCTTTTGTTGTTGTTGCTTCCTTTCGTTATATTCCTTATTGGCTTGTTCGGTTCTCGATTGAGCGGCTTCTTCGGCTTGTTTCTTGGCAGCTGCCTCTTGTTTTTCTTCTTCTTCCAATTGTCGTTTTCGTTTCTTGTCACTCTCGGATTGTTTGGCTCTCTCCAATTGCAAGGCCGCCATGGTACCACCCCGCAATTGATGGGGCAATGGATTCGGTGTGCTGAACCCCACCAGAGGCGCCGCAGGATTCCATCCGGCGGGAGCCGAGGTCCGGGACGCAAAGTTGCGGCCTACTGCTAGTACTTTATGAACTTCGTCCATGGTCCGGGGAATGGGTCTCACAATGGTGGCGCGGTGAATGGATGATTTGTGGTACACATTGGAGGCCATCCAGGGTTCCACCTTTTCAATGGTGGCCGTCAAGGACCGCTCGGCTTGTATCAGCGCCTTGGTACGTTCCAATAATGACATGGAATCGGAAGTGGATGATGTTGCTATGCTTGCCGCTGTTGTCGTGGCCATGTTGGAAGAGTTGGAAAACAATTCTGTACAGTAGCAACGATGCAATACAATAATACCAACCAGCTTTGTTGTTTTGTTGTTTGCAATCTTCCAAGTCTGTCCATGCCCCCGTTGTGAAGAAGTCGAAGGGGTCGATCCAAGACTGACATTTTGAAAACCGACCCAAGACCCCGCAAGACAGTTCCGAGTGAGTGATGCCTGCAGGTTCATTGTACCGGTAGATACGGTCCCATATCATCATTGTCCATTCGTTGCTGTGTCGAACTCGCGTTGCTCGCAAAAGCAATTTGTTCAGATTCATCAACTGTTGTAATTGCACTAATCTTTCGCCGCGCGTGATAGACAAGTGGTTGAACAATTGCATTCATTCATCATCATCATCATCATCATCATCATCATTCTACAAACGAAGCAAAAACTATCAGAATATCCACCACCACCACGACCACAGCCACCACAACAACAATGGAAGAAACTGAGATAACCATCAAGCAGCAGCATCAGCATCAGCAGCGTAATCTGTATCGTGATATAGAAGACAATGGCGAAGCGGATGAAGCAACTGCTCCCCTCAAGTCCAAGCCGCTGTCTCCTTCCACACACGTCTACGTCTATCGTGGCAAGACCTTTGAACACGTTCCCAAATGTGCCACACACGTGTGTTTGCATCCCAGCATTCGAGAAATTCCCAAACTCTTTTTTGTGCATTATGCAAGCTTGACCGTGGTTCAATTGAATCTCGGATTGCTGTCCATTGGAGACATGGCCTTTTGGAATTGTTCTAGTTTGCAACAAATAGTGATTCCCTCCACGGTCATTTCGATTGGCCGCAAGGCACTGGCGGAGTGTGTGCATTTGCAACATGTGGATTTGCCTCTTGGCTTGTTGACCCTGGGTGATTCGGCGCTTGCCAATTGCACCAGTTTGCAATCCATTAGTTTGCCCTCGTCGCTCGTGGAAATGCGCAAACGGGCCTTTGAAAACTGCATCCAGTTGAATTTGGTGGAATTGAGGAATGGACTAGAAATCATTGGTGAAATGGCCTTTCAAAACTGCGCCTCCTTGATGCACGTTCATTTGCCAATTACTTTGAAAGCCATTGGACAGTGCGCTTTTGCCAAATGCACCCAGTTGTTGTCGGTGGAAATGCCAAGAAAGATTGACACGATTGGTTACTCCTCCTTTGCCCAATGTGATAGTCTACGGAATATCATCATCCCCAAGACATCGAATAGCTTTGGAAATCACATGTTTGGAAGTCACACCATTATGGAAAAACAATTTCCCCACCGATCGAATCTTTGGAATACATTGAAGCGACGATTTGAGGGATTGCCGCTACACCAAGTATGTTACTCCCACTCGTACCATCCGACTTTGCACACGATTCGCAAACTCCACAGAGCCCTGGCCAAAGGAACGGACCCTACGGCAAGAGATGCCTTTGGATTGACTCCCTTTCACCTCTTGGCACTTTCGACCAAGTTGGACCTTCATGTCTGGATGGCCCTCATGCAATCCTCCAACAACAATGCCCAATTGGTCCATGCCAAGGACTGCTGGAATTGCTCTCCACTTTACTACCTTTGTGTCAACAGTGTCATTAATTCCACAGAAGTCCTGCGGTATGTGGTCCGATCGAGCATTGAACATCGACTGGGATCGGTCGGCTGTTTGGAACATTGGAAACTCCAATTGATTCGCATGGTCCAAGAGGTCCACGATCATTTGCCAGTGGAGGAAAAGGTTTGCAAAATGAATCAAATCTACTGTCAATTGACGGTATTCTTGTGGCGTGAAAAGGTCTCCCTCTTGGAACTGGCCTTGTGGAAAAGGACCATTGAGGATAATTCTACTACCAAGGAGGTGTCCTCGATGAGTCATTATCATCCTTTTGAACCATCATCGTCATCATCATCATCGTCGTCGTCATCATCATCCAACAGCAACGGCAACAAGGAAGAAGAAGAGGAACGAAGCGAATACCGCATTACGTGTGGCATTGAAGTAGTTTCGTCCAATGTGCTGCCATTTCTTGGTGACATGGAGCTGGAAAAGGTCAGTTGGTGAATATGGTGCTGATGGTGCTGATGGTGCTGATGATCCTTATAATGATTCGATGAACGACGAAGGCAACAGCAGATTATACCAAGACAGCTAGCTTCTACTGGTACTACACAACAAGACTCGAATTTTCAGTTTACCAAACAAGTCTTGTCCAAACGATTCAATCGAACTTGAGCTTCCTTCATATTGACGGCAATGGTTCGCACAGATCCAGTCAATTGGACCAACCCCGCCTTGGCACCAGGTGGTTTCTTGACATCACGAGCCCGCGTCATGCTGACCTTGATGGTGTTTCCAGTGCATTTGGATTGTCGTGCGGCTAGAGCAGCAGCATCCTTGACGACTTCTTCGTCCACATTTTGATCCGTAATCCGAATGACCACGTGAGATCCTGGACAACCGGAACTGTAACAAAAAAGAAATGGTGGTGGTGGTGAGATTGAGATTGCAAAGAATATCATTCATAACAAAACAACGCGCTTAAAATAAAAATAGAACAATAGACGCATAGACATAAAACTCATTTCAGCCAAATACTTACGCATGCATCCACCAATTGGCACCCTCCCGGTGTTCTGGTGAACACGACAGTTCGTCATTGTCCTCTGCTTGCTTCCCAACCTTTAGAATTGAACAAAGAAAAGAGAAAAAGTAGCGTGAGTATATGATACTTTGAGGAAAGTCCAATGAGAGGCACACATGATCTCCCATGGTGCCGGACAATCGTCAGCTCGATCCTCTCTTCTTGTTCGTCTCACCCGAATTTCAGTTTTATTGTCGGTGTAATATCGTCGGTAGGGCAGTCGAAAGGAATTCATAACCCTGGGCCCCTTTTCCTTTTTGGGCGGCCTAGCTTTTGGAGCAGGACCTTCGTCCCGAACATCCAAGTCAATGGCCAACTGAGCAATATGTTCTGGCAGTACCACCTTCTTTCCCTTGATATCTTGGATGGAAACTTCCAATTGATTGAGTTGGGTCAGTCGTTCCCGCAAATTGTCCAGATCTTGTTCCATTTCTCCCACATTGGGACATTTGTCCAATTCTTCCAAGCTGACGTTTGGATCACCAGTCAATCGCTCGACTTCGGCGTTGGCCTTTTCGAGACGTGTATTGGCCTTGCCAATCTTTTTGTGACATCGTACCGTGAGTCGCGAAACTTCCTTTTTGAGGCCACCCAAATTCCAGGTGCTTTCTACCGTTTTGGAATCGGAATCGGAATCGCCATCATCATCAGAAGACATGAAAATTCCAGTAAAGGACCTTTGGTTGGTGTAAATGGATTGTTGTTTCATTGCCTGTTGGAGTCGTCGTCCTGGAAATGCCGGACGACCACGACGACAAATTGGGTTCCTGGCAATAGTGGAGAATGCCGAAGCAGATCTGACGACAATCGCCAGCGATCCCAACATTGTAATGAATTGGATGGATTTCCTCCAGTAAACCATCAGAGAAAGGGGAAATATATTTGGATTTCAATCAACAAGGGATTGTTTTTCTGTTTATTTCTTTGTCGTAGCATCGTTGCATCATCGTTTTCGTTGTGATGGCAAAAACACGTACGATGGAGCCTGGACTGTCGATGGACAGACGTTTCGACTCAGTGGACTTCATGCATTGCCAGATTTGAAAATGAAGAATGATGAATGACAACCTTGAGAACTCGACATATATATAATACCTCTCTTAAAAACCCACCCAAGACTATCGTGTGTCTCGTGGATAATTCTTTGGGAGAAGGTGACAAGTCAAGCAGAACTCAGAAACAATGTTTGAAGATCCTTTGGGAGAGATTGCCGTGGCTGACAGCCAATTTTTGGGCTTTTGTTGTCATTGTGCGACGGTCGCGGAGGTTCGAGAGTACCAACAAAGGCTCAAGAAAGAATATCCAAATGCGGCTCACATTCCAGTCGTCTACAAGACGGTCGATGGGAGCGAAGGTTGGGACGAGGACGGAGAACCGCCCAAATCCGTTGGTCCTCCCATCATGTCCGTCATCCAAGAGCAATGGAGTGATAGCTACGTCGTGGTAGCAGTGGTGCGGGTTTGGAACGAGCAGCTCTTGGGAGTGACATGTGGCCGATTGCCGCAATGTTATCAATCCATTGCCCGTTTAGCCCTGCATCGGTATGGGACGGAACGTATGAATCCATTGCATCGCGATATTCGACAAGTGGATCAATCCGTCTACGGGTTGGCTGCCGGAGATTGTGAATTGATTTTGGACATTGTTCCAGATCCTTACAATACTTTGCTACAACAAGTCCAACTGGAACTCAACTTTGATGGCTTTAAAGGTGCCGAAGGAGAGGTGCTGCCTCGACTGCAGAATTTGCAAGCCGATCTGTCGCAAAATGTCGTTCCCGTCTATCGGTATCCTGGAAATTATCAAGGCGATGAGTGGGAAACCTTTCAGTGGTCCCCGGTATCTCTCATGATTAAGAAAGCAGTAGAAGATCAGTTGCTCTTGCCCCAAAAGATGAATCATTGCGTCACCAATTTTTATCGAGATGGCAAGGATTTCATTGCGCATCACTCGGACAAAGATTTGGATTTGAATCGGCAAGGCGTCATCGTGAGCGTTTCCTTGGGGGACGAACGAATCATGGAATTGAGGCGCCGGGCCGAACCCAAAGATGTGACGCGGATAGTCTTGCCTCCGCGATCCATGTTGGTGCTTGGCCCAAAGACCAACAAGGAATTCAGTCATTCCATATTGCAAAAGCCAGACGCTACCCAACCCAGAATCAGTCTGACCATGCGAGAAGTCCGAACGTATTTGGATCTGAGTTCTGGCCTCTTGTATGGACAAGGGGCCAGTCGAAAGTCTTTTGCGCAGCTGCGATTACGAAATCTATTGGATAGTGCCATCCTCGTATTAGGGATGGGTGGAGCAGCTTCCAAAATACTTTCCAAAACACAAGACAACTCCATGTCGAAAACCGAAGGTGCTTTGTGGTTTGGAGGATTGCTCGCGGGATCATGGGGAATCAAGAAACTAGTCCACAGGTGGTACAAACAACAAGAGGAAAATGAAGCGAGGGAGTTCTTTTCCAAGTCTTCCATGAGTGGAACCAAGTACTGATGCTACGAGTGCTCTTTTTTATATATAAAAAATGTTGGGTAGTGTATTTTATCGTTATTCAATGTTAATGCAATATCGTTAGCACTGGTTTTATGGAAAGTGTCCAGCCAGACTAGTTCGTGCGTCGACGAGATTTCTTTGCAGTAGGAGCACTGGGTGCAGGACGTTTGGTCCGTGTAGTACGTGTCGATGCAACTTCGTCACCCCCTTTGGGAAACAAGACTCTGGATCTCGCCATTCTGGCTTGACCAGGACCCAATTCGGCAATGTGTTCTACCGCCAAGTTTTCCCCAGCTCGAGCCTTTTCCAAGGCCGCATCTTCGGGAGAGACAAAGGCTGGGGCTGGACCAGAGGACGCTGTAGTTGTTGCTCTTCTTTCTCGTTTCGGTGTGCTGGCCTTTGGAGAAACCGCTTCGAGTATTGTCTTGTCTTCCTTTTTCACTGTCTCGTGCAAAAGGTCCATTAGTTCTGCTTTTTTCGCTTTGGGTGGTATTTGGACACCCAATCGAGTCAATTCGTCCTTGATTTCCTTCACCTTCATATTCGCAGAGCAAGTTGTCGTCAATCTTGTTCTAGAGGGGCCTTGGTACCGTGCTCTTCGGGCTTGACTTGGACCCAACTCGGCAATGTGTTCCACAGCTAGATTCTCACCGGCCTGTGCCTTTTCCAATGCCGCGTCTTCGGAAGAAATAAAGGTTAAATCTTGAGAAGAAGGATCCACTTCTGGTGACGTCTTTGAAGATGTTTCAGCGTCCTCGGACTCTGGTAGGTGTTTGAGGAGGAGTTCAGCCAGCTGAGCCTTTTTCTTGGCATCGGACGGGATGCTCACTCCCAACCGTGTCAGCTCCTGCTTGATTTCTTTCACAGTAAGCCGTGATGGGCCCGTCTCTTTCAATCGGAAAGCTGTACTTTCACGGGCACAATGCGAATTGAAGGGGACGTGATCTGTGGTGACAGGCTTTGAAGTGGGCGGTGGAGTTTCGGTCGATGTTCTGGGCGTTAGCGGTTGACATCGTGGGCATGCGTAGCAGGTACGGTTATTGATGGGCCAAGACTGAATGGAGGTGCCACAGCGAGGGCACTTTGCTGTATTATAAATGTACCTTCGCAAGCGAGGTTTGCCAAGAGCCTTGGCTTCTTCCGGGTCCACTGTCAAGATGGATCCTGTCTCATATCCTCGCTCCAACAGTAGTACCGTCTGCTCCCATACACGGTTAAATTCTTCCCTTTCCAAAGAGAGACCTGGTCTATTGGGGTGTACACCAGCCTTGAAGAGAATCTCAGCTCTGTAAATATTCCCAGGACCAGTGAAGAAACTCTGGTCCATGATCAATGCTCCGATCCCCTTTTTGGATTTCTGAATGCGTGCCCACAGGGTAGCGGGGTTGGCATCCTTGCGGAGTGGATCCTCTCCCAATTTAGCTAGTTTTGTGCGATACAACTCTAGTCCACCATGCTGGACCGTCATGGCACTGAGATCGGCAACAGTTCCGTCATACTCCAAACGCAGCCTATTGGTAGGCGTAGGTTCGGGAGGCGTTTCACCGGCCAAATAGACTGCCCAAGCACCAGCCATTCCAAAATGGACGTGCACAACCACCACACTATCATCATCATCTTGTTCTTCATCAGTGGCGCAAGCTGCTTTCCTGGCAATGTCAGAAATTCTTTTCTGATTGATATCGTCTCCAAAGAAACAAAACAGATTCTTGCCGTGGGCTTCAATCCGAGAAAAGGTTTTGCCATTGATGGCATTGGCACCATCAGTAAACCGACCATTGGGACTCCATGCTGTAAATTTCTTTCCGACAAGTCGCTGCCGATGTAGAGTAGCGACGCGATGAACACTGTGACCTTCCACCATTCTGACTTGTTGTCGAACCACACCAAAAGCAGAAACAGAGTGTTGGGATTGGGAAGTGAGAAAGAGGGCTGCAGTGGCGGTTGTCTTGCAAGCGGTCCAGAAGAAAGGTCGTCGCTTGCTCTTGGTCCAGGAGAAAAGTACTGGCATGCACCAATTGGAGTGTATCCTCACGATATGGGCATGGTGAGTGGTGAGACAGGTTTTGTTTTGAGATTTTTTCTGACTCACTTTTCCCACCAAAAACGCATCCACAATTTCAGCATCAACAAAGAGTGAGTACTATCTTAGTGAAGTTTATTTTTAGTGAATTACCCATTCTGATTGGCTCAAATCACTAAAGATAGATTGATCTTTAGCGATTCGACTAACTTTCATTGGCTGAAAACCAACCAAAAATCGAGTTCAACCAGATTTCGATGTCCTTCTGGTGGGGATCGGGGATCCTAATCTTTCTAAAAAGTTGATGGCGTTATGGATGGCGCGATATCGCCGCCGCAAGGATTAGATAGTGTGAACAATGGGATACATTATCATGTACGGGTATAGTTGTCCCCAAATGCCTATTCATTCATCCGAGAGAGATTTGGAAGATTTTGCAGTCACTCATCAGAGAGGAATAACATAATGTTGATCAATCATTGTTCTTGTTCTGATTTACTTATGAGATGCAGTTTTGTATCAACAAAAGTGCTTTTGCTGTTATAAACAGGAGTAAAATATTTATCTATTGCAGCAGAAAAGTCTCCTGTAGCAAATGCTCGTGGCCACTCCCGGAGCAAACCTTTGCAGCACCGCCGTTTGCTTCCAAAACAAATGATGTTACATCTTGCAGGAGTGAAAAGGGGAGAGCGCCGCCTCCTGCCTTGTGAATGGCACAAATCAATGGTTCCTTCTGGTTTTGGTTTGATCTATCCAATACGACATGCACCTGCGAGACCGCACAGGCTTCTTCTTGTTGCGTTGCATCGAGAATCAAAATGGGTGTGGCGCTACCACTGCCAGCATTGGGTTTCAATAAAGAGACGGTCGAGATAATGGGTGCGTGCTCACTTCCTGGAATTGGAACCGCATTTTGTAAATCGGCATCAATCTGCAAGATGGGCCGACCGCCATCTGGAGCTGCTTCGGGAGTCAGTTGGGGCAAGACCGTGTTCCTTAAAGCCGCTTGGATTCCCAAACTGCAGGCATCCAATAGAGATCCACCATTCGACGCAAGAACCATGACGTCCAAGTGCAACTTCCATACGAAATGATGCGGAACTACACATAGTTGTTTGGGATCCACCAAGTGGGGTAATAGCAAACTGGCAATAGTAGGCGCCATCGAATCGTCCTTTTTGGAATTGGTCATTCCTTGAGGATTGTGCATGTAATCGACATGAATATCCAAGGCCCCACAATCAGGGTGGCTCATAGCGGGTGTCATCAGTTCGGCCTTGACAGATACCAAGACGTGCGTTTCTCCCGTGGCCAAGAACACTCGGGCGGATCCATTGGACAGAACAAGCGGTGGATGATGTTGTTCCGATGAGTCGTCATCGTTGCTCTCGATGGAAGGATTGCTTCCGCTTATTGTCATGTAAGATCGAATTTCATTTCGCGTTCTTCCGTCTTGCCGACAGTTCTCTCTGCAGCCATCGACAATAAAGTCCTTTTCTGAATTGGAAATCATCGTGCAGTGTTCTTGAGTGCCTTCGTTGAATGTATGTTGAATGTACAGGTATGTTGAGTGTAGATGTTGGTTTTGGTGGTTGTAACTGGCCGGATTATGGTCAGACGGATGGTCATATTAGTCAAACATCGAAACCCAAATAAAACCATTTCAAAATTCAACTTTTGCAACCCTGATGCATTTCACATTGGCACTCGGTACCTCATACTATAGTAACAACGGAATATGAATGCCACAAAAGCAGCGTTGAGCGTATATACCGCTACAACTGCAGCGGCTATTATGTACACTACCCGTCAAACGGGAGAAAATAGGCTTCGAACCCTATCCCGATCAAATCGACTTGATTCATTCACTTTACCTTGTTCAGTGTGCTAGATGGGTCTCCATTGGAGATTCGCGTTGGGATACCTGCTGGAGAACCTCTTATGGTAACCGTGAACGGGATAAACGATTTCTTTGGAAGCAATGTAAATATTGCAGCTCTTATCGAATCCAAGGCAAATGCCCGAGAATGCTTGATCTGTGAACAGTGTTTTTGATTCTGACCCTGATCCGCTGAACAAGTTAGATAGACTATTGGCAGAAGGTTATAGCAACACAAGAGATGCGAAGTTGGAGCTTTAGGGAGTGGTTGGGTATGTCAAAGTCCGCGTCTTTGTTTTGAATTGTTGGCTAGAATTCAAACGATGATAGAGAAGGATAGAAAGATACATATTTCATTCTTTAGGTTATTATTTGCTTTGTTTTCTTCTATAGAATACCAAAGACCTTCTTCATCTTGACTACCAGTCTCCAGTCTTCGTTTTCTAGTGCATCCTTGAAGTTTGCCTTCAATGCATCAATCGATGCACGACTCAGTTGTGAGAATAAGTTATGCGTGGCATCAAACTGTCGGCCATAGGTAATGTTGGGGTTGCCCTCGTTGTGAATCTTGATGGCAATCGATTCTCCCTTCCTTGCTGTGTTTTTTTCGCGTCCATTGCTCTCAATCGAAATGACCTTACCAATTAGGAGCCCGCCAAGTGCAGGAATACACAAAGGCGTACCCACTTTCAGAATTCCTTCCACAACTTCCACACCCACAATGATTGGATCCTTTTGGTTAAAAACGTGTTGTGGAAGAATCTTGACGATACTTGGGAAGACAGCAATGGCAGCTGCATCTTCTCGTCGTTTGGCAGTCAATTCGTCCATGAATCTTGTGAATTGATCAAACAAGTGATAAATGATATCGGCCGTCATGATTCGGACTCCCATTTCTTGGGCATGCTCTCGTGCTTCCCGCTCAATGCTCACATCGAATGCCAAAATGGTAGCGTATTCTGGATGTCCCTTTTCGTTCATGATGGAAATCTTTGTGACATCACGCTTGTGAACAGTACCGATACCAATGGCACTGACTGGAATCGGAGGGTTGGTCTCTTCTCGAAGAAATTGCAACAGAGCTTCCAAGGCTCCAAGGGTAGATGCTTGCACCAAGACACCAGACTTATCTGTACTGAGCTTGGCCTCCAATTTGGTCAAATCAGCCATGACTTCGGACTTGATATCCTCTTCCTCGTCCTCGGGCCCAACAATCTACGACGAAAGAAGAAAAAGGCCATGTAAGATGCCACATTCAAACAACAAGCGCCATCATTTCTTTTTAAAAAGTACGTACCATGACAGGTGTACCCGCCATGACCTTCTCGAGGTTGTTACCAATGACCTTGACACCCAAGGCTCCCTTGACTTCCTTATGATGAATGTATTCAGACTTGACACGCATCTCCCGACTTGGCGGAGGAGTGAGCAAACCACGAATTTCAGTAACGATGGGTCCATTCAATGTACAAAAGACAGCCCTGTCACCCTCGCGCAAGTGTCCATTGACCACCAACACATCAACCGTCATACCCAAACCATCAATGGCCTTGACCTCCAAGACAGTACATTGCAAGTTGGCGCACCACATGAGTTGCTTCCAGATCTTTCGTTGGGCCATTTGACACAACAACATCAAGACATCTTGAACACCCTCTCCAGTAACAGCCGAAGTAGGGATGAGTGGAACGAAATCAGAGTTCATCCAGTCATCTTCGCCCATTTCCCAGTAAATGTTGGAGTTGACTCCTTGTTCTTGAAGTTGAACCTTGGCATCAGTGGCACGACTTCGGAACTCGGAAACGGTTCCCTCATCTTGCTCCTTCAATGCATCCCGAATGGGGGTATCCTTGCAAGTCTTCCAAGCATAACAACGATCCACCTTGTTGAGTGCAATCACAAAGGGAACCCCACGCTTGCGAAGCATTGTCAAGGACTCAATAGTCTGTTGTTCCAAACCGTGCATCAGATCAACAACCAAAATGGCGACATCGCACAAAGAGGAACCTCGAGAACGAAGGTTGGTAAAGGACTCGTGACCAGGTGTATCAATGACAAGCATACCAGGAACCTTGAAATCAAACTTTTCGGTTACATTGAGTTTGGCTGTTTGTGCCTCTAATGTCTTCTTTTCAAAGAAAGTGGCACCAATTTGTTGTGTGATACCTCCGGCTTCTCCTTCTTGGACGTTGGTCTTTCTAATCTTATCCAGCAATTTGGTCTTTCCAGTATCGACGTGACCCATAATGACCACAATCGGACAACGCAAATCGTCGGGGGACCGTGCTTCCAAGTTGACCTTTTCTTGCAATTCCCGTTTCCGCCTTCCTTCGTTACGCTTTTGTTCGGCCATCATTTTCTTCTCGTCGGCAGCCTTCTGTTCGAGCATCATCTTTTTGCGTTTTTCTTCCTCGATACGCTCCTGTTCGGCACGCTTCTTGCCCAGTTCCTTCAATCTTTCTTGTTCCTTCCTCTTTTCAAGTTCAATCAAATCAACATCCTCATCCTCCAAGACAACCTTTTCCAAACGGGCTTCCAGATCGGCAAACTTGTCGTCACCACCATCACTGTCAGCATCCCATTCATCACCGGACGAATCCATCTTTTCCCAATCATCGTCGTCGTCGTCATCATCTTCAGCAGGCTTTTCTTCTTCCTTTTCGGCTTCTGGCTCTGGATTGGGTGCCTTTTCTTCCACCTTGGGTTCTTCAGGCTCTGGTTGTTGACTTTCTTCTTCGTCTTGTTCTTTGCCCTTTTTACGATCGTCATAGACACTTCGCTTTTTGGGTGCCTCTCCCACAGGCAACATTCCAGCGTCTCTCATGGCTTGTAGCCTTTGTTCGGCCAACCGTGCCTTGGCCTTTTGAGCCTTAGTCATATAAGTACCCTCTCTCTTTTGTCGTTCAATCTTTTCCTTTTGTTTTTGTCGCTTGCGTTCTCGCTCTTCTTCCTTTTTGCGCTCCTCCTCGGCCTCTTGGCGTTCCAATTCTTCAATCCGCAAGCGTTCGGCCTCTTCGGCAGCCTTGATGCGCTCTTCTTCCTCTCGTTGCTGGCGCAAGCGTTCTTGGACCATTTTACCACGAGCTGAAAGCTAAGGAACGGCAAGCGAAAAAATAGCAGTGACAATGATGTAACAATGGGGATTGCAAATTGAAACCATGGGAGCAGAAAAAGAAGGTGAGTCTCTAAAACATTCTTGCTATAGTAACAGCAGCAATTAAAGATAACACCGTACCTTTTCTTCTTGTGGAGCAGCAGCAGCAGCAGCACCGCCTCCTTTCTTCTTCTTTTTCTTCTTCTTGTTCTTTCCACCACCACCTCCTCCTTCATCTCCTCCAGCAAGTCCTTGGGCTGCCAAAAATGCAGCTGCAGCATCACTGGCAGCTGCAGTTGTAGCATCTTCTTCCTTTGGTTCATCCTTTGGCTCATCCTTTGGTTCTTCAGCAGCTGCTGGTGCAGGTGCAGGAGCGGGAGCATTCTTGGAGGCTTCAGCTTCCAAAAGGGCTTCCCAATCGTCTTCTTCAGCTGGCTTTTGCTGCTGCTTCTTGCCGCCCTTTTTCTTTCCCATTTTTACTTTATCCGCGTTGGTATTCTTATTATTGTTGCGATCAAGTCTTCTTGTATTGATGGACGCACGTTTCCCGTCTCAACCATGGACCTTGAGTTTATTTATGTCACGCCCGTTCAAAATTCATTGTCGCCACCCAATCCATCAGCCGCGCTTTTGTGCGGGTTACGCGTGTTCGGACGTGCGAATCTTGGATTCCTTCGACTGAAAGAAAGTTGACTGACGAACAGCAAATTTTATTGGTCCAGCAGCCTTCGCCATCACATCCATCGAAAATCCATCACTTGACAAGCTCTTCCTCATTAGCAACCTACAGTAATTTTCTAGTTGCCCACCTATAAGCACTAACACAATGAAAATTCATTGCGCCGCAATCTTGGCCCTTGCTAGCATCACAGATGCCTTTTCCACTCATTCTACAACTACACAACAACAAATTTCATCGACGAAACTCTTTTCAACTGACGAAGCCGAACCGGAAGAACCAGCTTCGGGCAGCTCTCGATTCAAGGAATTGATGGAAGCTGCCAAGAGAGATGGTGGAGGTGCCGAACCATCTGGCACAGTCATTCAAAATCCATTCTTGGCGACACCAGCTGCTCCAGCCCCCGCTGCCCCAGCTGCTGGCGGAATCAACCTCGAAAATATGTCCATTGAAGATCAAGCTGCGTTGTTGCGTCAACTCATGGCCAATCCCGACGGAGGTGGAGACCCCAATACGCCTCCTACGGGCATGAAGGAAAAGCGCACGGATGTCGCTGGACGACCCACGGGCCGCAATCGCGATGCGGATGGGATTTCGAATACTTCTGACTTGTACTTTGCTCAATTGAAGCGGGATTCTACGGTTCGTACTTTGGCAAGACAACGAGGAGAAGATGAAGTGGCCCAGGCGGTCATGGAGGATGGCGGAATCAAGGAATTGGGCAATATGTTGGTGGAGAATCCATATTTGACAGGGTAAGTTTGATGGGATGTTGACTTGCTTGTTGACTTGGTACATGAGTTGTAGGAAGTTCCTGGTATCTCATACAGTATTCTATCACCATTGACAGACAAAAGAATGAAGAACAAACATTTTTTGATGCTATTCCCGAGGAGAGTCTTGGACCTCACATATATGCTTCAGACGCGCCAGCTAAACCAGTCAACACATCTGGAATCAAATACAAGGAAATCCTAAAGCAGAAGCGTTCCAAGGGTGTTGCCACAGAACCAGCAGCCACAGCAGTGGCAACACCTCCAGCACCAGAACCTGTGGCACAAGTGGCCGCAACCCAACCAGCGCCAGTTGTTGCCCAGCCACCCCAACCGGAACCAGTCGAGCTCCCACCTCCCGCGCAGCCCACTGTCACTTCGTACGCGGACGAAGAACGGCAAAAGCTCCGCACCTTTATGGGTCTACTCCTGAAACACCGTGGTGGACCAGGATTTGGTAAGGGTCGCCTAAAGGGAGCAGAAATTGATCGCTTTGAAACCATGTTGGGTGAAATCATGACCATGCTTCGAAAGGAAAGTATGGAAGCAGCTCCCGCTGAAGTCCCCATGATGGCTGCGCCGGTTGCTGCCACACCAGCACCAGTGGCGCCAGCAGTTCCACAACCAGCTGTCGCCAGTGCTACCACTGACTTGACTCAAGTGGACGGAGCCGTTGCTTGCATTGAAGGAGCCACCATGATGTACAAGAACAGCCCAGCTCAATTGAGAGAAAGTCTATTGGGTGCTCTTCGTGCTGCTCTCCTCGGAGCTGTCAATACTTGTGGCCGAGCTGCTGGTGTTCCGGAAGTCACTGCCGAAGAAATTGGAGGATCCGCTGCGGCTGGTATCAGTCAAATTGATGGTGTCATTGCTTGCATCGATGGTGCTGTCACCATGTACAAGAATAGTCCTGATGCTGTCAAACCAGACATGTTGGTTGCTCTCCGTGCTGCGCTCGTCTCAGCCATTGGTATGTGCAACAGTGTCATGGCCTCCACCGGAACTAGCGTCCCACCGCCAGCTTCAGTAAGTCCCGTTCCTACAATCGAGACACCTCCACCACAACCACAGACCGTCGTCTCATCTGCTCCTTCGATTCCAAGTCCTGAAGTACAAGCTACGCCAGTATCAGCTATTGAATCGGACGCAAACTCAAAGAAATTGCAAAAGATCTATGACCAAGTCAAGGCAGCATCAGGAAACGGCAGTCTTGGACTTCGCAGCGATTTGACATCTTCGGAAGCATCCGATTTGGCGGATAGTTTGGTCGAAATGAGAAGTGTGTTGATGAAAGAGTTAAATGAAGGAATTCCAGCAGTAGGTGAAGGAGGGGCTCAACCAGTGGTAACCAAGGCGGCACCCGCAGCCAAGTCATCGGCAGCTACTAGGTATAAGGAAATGTTGGCAAAGGCAAAAGCAGAAAAGGAAGCCAATGCAGCCGTCTAAATTAATTTAAAAAAATTGTATCATAACAATAAGAATATATGGTATCTCTATATCATTCAAAAGAATCTACTTCCCTTTGGCTTTTCTGCTATCATTGCAAATGTACAGTACAAGTATTAATACCTGGTACCTAATACTCTTCGGTTGCCTGGTAGTATGCATATGGAACATCCAAAGTACGGTTCAATTTACAGTAGCTACCAGTAGGCTCCCCTACATTTCACAAGCAATAGTATCGGTATCATATTCGAAGATATCGAAAATTTTCCAGAAACTTTTTTCATTCGATCTAAAAATGCTCGTAATCATTCTCCTCTCGAAAGATCCTTCTATCCATTCTTCCAAGAGTCGAAAATGTCGTTTGATTAGTTTGACTAGCCGTAAATGGCACGAATTTGGATAATGGAAGACTTTCGGGCGTGCTCCATTATCCATTTTACTATGTATTGTTATTGTCATAAAAATGAGTCATCTTTATACCGAGCAGAAGAAGACAATGGTCCCTTATGGAGACCTTCCAAGCATGGTTCCAAGTCGAGAAGGAAAAGAAACGACTGGCTCACGAACGGCTGAAAAAGATAGTAATGGCGATGCAGCAACAGGAAAGAACAAGCCCAAGCTCGCCCTCGCCGCTGCTTCGGAAGACAAGGCTGCTAGTAGTAAAGCCAATAACGTTCATAGCTTCGACATCACTCCGGGAGCAACTGCCATCCGAGGTTCGAAGTCTGCTAATACCGCTAGGGATACTGAGAGCCTTGCTACCGTTGAAGTATCTGGTTCCAACGAGGGTGCCAATCATTCGAGTACCAGCCCGGATCCAATGCTGGTACCAGATCAGGACGAGTCGTTCTTGGCTGCTGAAGCAATAGACCATGACGAGGAAGTCGCTGCGGCCTACGAAAGAGGCACGAAAGATGCTCGGAATGAAGCAGATCAATTGCGGCAGCAAGTCGAAGAATTGCAAAAGCAAAGAGCAGTCGCCGAAGTCGCGATCCCTGTGGAGACCACCGAAACAGAAGACGACGAAGAAGAGGAACGAAATAAGAAGTGTTCTCCTTTCACAATCTTTTTGTTGACAATGCTGGGAATAGCCGGTATTGCTGCAGCTGTAATACTCGGAACTCGATCTAAAGCTGCTAAAGATCAAATGGCAACGGCGATACCAAGTCTTTCACCAACTTTGTCACCAACAGTGTCGCCAACTCTGTCACTTGCACCAACCAGTACACCCAAATTCTTTTTCCAGCAACTTGGAGAGCAGCTTAATGGATCGCCCGGTGATGACTTTGGCTCTTCTATTTCCCTATCCAGCGATGGGCGTGTTATGGCTGTGGGTGCCGTCGAAATAGGTTCCACGGGATATGTCAATCTATACCAACTTGATGGAGTAACGTGGACTCTCCTCAGGACATTTAAAGGAACCAATTCAGGAGACATGTTTGGACATTCTGTTTCCGTTTCAGGAGATGGGAATAGTCTAGCCGTTGGTATACCAGGGCCTGGCAGTGACACTCGAAACGCTAGGGAAGGGCGAGTGAAGGTATTTGATGTTGGAAGCAATGACACTTGGGAGGCGATCGGAAATGAACTATTTGGTACAAAGCGCGACGGAGGAGGATATTTTGGGTTTTCTGTTTCCTTGTCGGAAGACGGAAAGATGCTGGCAGTTGGTGAGCCCGGGAACGGTGGCATGAATCGAGCTTATGAGCCAGATGGTGGCCGAGTCACCGTTTATGAACTGATCAATGGTTTGTGGGAAGACATTGGAAGTCCCATTGTAGACGAGTGCTGCCTGCGGCTGGGGTGGGCAGTCGAACTCAGCGCAGGGAGCCACTTGCGAATTGCTATAAGTGGACGATATGAATATGAATATTTAACACAAGGACAAGTGCTTGAGCTTGTTGACGGAGACTGGAAGCCAATTGGTCAGAGTTTCCCGAATTATGAGCTCGGAGAAACAGCTTTATCGCAAGATGGGAATGTTGTTGCATTCTCAGGCATAAACCGGTCATCGGAGTACGACAGCCAGAATACAGATCAATCATACCCTGGTGTTGTATCAGTCCATCGATATAATCCTAGTACCAACTGGACGGAAATGGGACGTATTGAAGTTGGGAATATTACGAGGGCACCTACAGTGTCCCTGTCCCCCGATGGGGAAGTCTTGGCTATCGGCAATCCTGTTTATGATTCAGTAGGACGTGTATTGTTGTTCTACTATGACAATTCTACAAGCACATGGGCGCCTTTTACTGAAGGAGATTTCGTTGGAAGACAACATGATGGCCGATTTGGTTCTAGCATTGCGCTTGTCGGTAGCAAAGACAACTTCACTGTTGCCGTTGGATCGTTTGCGTCAAACGTTCATGGATCTGCTGGAAGTGTGGCTGTATACAATCGCCGTTTTGGTGTCGTACCGACTGTCACAATGGGGCCGACTCCTGCGCCTACTGCAGCTACTGTTTCATTTAACGAGATTTATAAATGGCATGGTGATGATAATTATGAGGACTTTATCGTTGGAAATGCTGTGAGTCTGTCGAAAGATGGGCGAGTGCTGGCCCAGAGCTACTTTGATGGACCACAAACTGTTGTGAAAGTTTACGAAGATCAAAGCTGGGACGACCAACCGCACTGGAAATCAATTGGAACTCTAACGAGCCCCGACACAGAAGCAAAGTTTGCTTTATCTGCGGACGGACGTGTTGTCGCTCTTTGTAATAACATTCCATCCGAGGAAAGCAATGCCACAGTTAGCGTCTTTCAGTACACCGGAAGAGGAAGGTGGGATCAATATGGTGCTGATATCAATAGCGCCAGAGCAGGTGATTTTCAGGAGGTTAACTATTTATCGTTGTCTCAAAATGGAAGTACAATTGCTATAGGCGCGATATTGCCGGATGACTGGTACGAAGCACCTGTTGTTTACCGAATGGAAAATGGCCAGTGGGAGCAGCTTGGAGAGCAGGAACCATGGACCTCTGTAACGTCGCTATCCCTGTCATGCGATGGCAATATAGTTGCGATTGGGGATAGCCTGCCGGAGCTTTTTGGTGACGATACAGGAGCAGCAGCAATATTTAAGTACGTGGATGACAAGTGGCAACAGTTGGGTCAACGTTTTTCTGGTAGTGGACGAAAAATATATTTTGGGCGTTCAGTATCTCTATCTTGCGATGGAACTGTAGTAGCAATTGGAAGCTCAAGCAATGATATTGACAATGGAAGGAATGTGGGTCACGTTCGTGTCTATCGGTACAGTGTCATGGCCAATTGGACGCAGATTGGAAAGCCTCTTATTGCGGATGAAAGCGGGGATGGTTTTGGCAATTCTTTTTCGCTATCTGCAGACGGAAGAAAACTTGCTATCGGAGCCGCTGCTGGTAGCTACGTGAAAGTATATGAATATGACGATGAGAATGCCTATTGGCATCAAGTGGGAGCCACGTTGGAAGATGAATTAACTGGTAGTGGTTTTGGTAAGAGCGTTGCATTAGCAGACACGGGCGAAGGAACCAAGCTGGCTGTGGGGGCACCGTTCTATGTGAAATCGGCGTCCGCACTCACGGGTAGAACCCGCTTGTTCCAGGAACAACAGGTGGAAGGAACAAACTCCCCAACTGAAACCCCTCTGCTCGCAGAGAGCGTCGACTTTCCGCTCCAAAATTGCGAGGGAGATTGTGACACTGACTTCGATTGTGATCGTGGGTTGCTTTGCATGCAGCGAGACGGTGGTGAATCAGTACCTGGATGCTCCGGTGGAGAAGAAGACGACAGTCTAACTGACTATTGCATCAAGTGCCAAGATGTTCCTGGGTGGTTAGATGACGTAGATATTGAATGGGGCAAAAACTGTAAATGGTATCAGGACAATGATGCTCCTGGTTGTCCAAACTGGGGATTAGGACGTGTTGGACTTTTTGGGTTGACGGCAAAGGAGGCATGTTGTCACTGCAAGAGCAGGGACTGTGGAGATGTTCCGGATTGGTCCTACCTTGATTCCTGCACGAGCCGAGACTGCGGAGATGCTCCAGTTGTCTGGGAAGATTCATCCTCCCGTCACCTAAGATGCGATTGGTACGAAATGTTCGATGAAATTGGTTGTCCCAATACTGGTGACGATTGGGGAATCGCATATGATAATAGTGATGGTGGTGGATCCACCGGCATGTCGGCAAACGATGCCTGTTGTCATTGTCGAACCTACTAATCCATGCAACTCAAAGGTATTGCAAAAGATCTATGACAAGTCAAGGCAGCATCGGGAAACGGTAGTCTGGTTCTTCGCAACGATTCGACATCTGCCGAAGAATCCGATTTGGCGCATTCAGTAGTTTGGATGAAAAGAGAAATGTTTTGGTGAAAGAGTTAAACGAGGACCTCCAGCAGCAGAGGAAGAAGTTGCTCAACCAGTGACAACCAAGTCATCCGCGGCTGTGTATGAGGAAATGTTGGCAAAGGCAAAAGCAGAAAAGAAGCCAATGCAGCTGCCTAATTTTATATTTAAATTGTATTGTATAATCTGATTATATCTCTAGAACTATCATTCCGAATCATCTACTTGCCTTTAGCTTTGCGAGTATTTCGTTTGTTGGCTTTAAGTCGCTGCATTCGACTTGTAATGTCCTTTTCGATTCTCCTGGTGGTATCGTACTCACTGCTTCGGGCAGCGCCTGCTAGAGCTTGTGCACGACGTTGCTCGGCACTTTCCGCAGCCTCGTCAATGGCCGCCTCTTGTAGTGCCGATCGCGTGTCTAGATTTCGGAAACCTCCAAACACCATTCGACCTGGAATTACCGATATGCTACAAGCGTCCGACTTGGCCTTTCGAATGTTGCTTGTAAATTGCATTTCTACTAGAACAGGAGGTGTTTCCAACTTTGCAAGTTCGCTGTACATGGATGCCCATTCTTGAGGGTTTGCTTCTACAGGACCTTCGTTCGTATCATCTTGTGACTCCTGTAATGTCGAGGATGTTATTGGACTCTTTGAAGTCTGTCCATATGCGTTGAACGAAATCTTTTTGCCCGAAGAGTCGGCAATGAGATGGATCTTTGGCATTGGAATTCGTGATCTGACATCCCATGAGTCACATGAGATTTGCACTGTCACGACGTCGAGGACTCGCAGAGTGTATGGAGACTTTGCTTTTGGGGCAGTTACCTTCAAGTGTCTATCGGGCGATTCGACTAACATGCAGTCACTTGAAGGAATCATTCGTGCATACGGAGATGCTTCAAAAGCAAGGGTAGGATCCTCTCCAGTAGATGGATCCAAGCCTAGTAACCTTGGATCGACTTGAACTCGACCATTAGTATCGCTCAAATAAACTGGACCCCTCATATCAAATAGTGGAACATACACCCATAAGCCATTTGCCCTGAACACAAAATTATGTGGATAGGGATTGCAATTAGACACCACTGGTAAATTTATCGTTGAAGAAATGCTCTCTTTCCTTACCGCAGGTCTACTACAACAGCTTTGGTCACCTCCACATGCTTTCTGAAATAGATGGATAGGAACAAATGCTGACATTCCATCGACGAGAGCTATATTTTTTGTCAAGTCCTGAGGGCTAGTTTTGCAAACATGATCAAGTCATAGCAGTCACAACAGTCGTACCTTTGCCATCCTATTCTGACGATTCAAGATATCGCATATCTTTGCAACAAGTCGTGGGCTGTAAACACGCTCAACACTGAATTCATTTTCAAGCTCCGGCGGTTCTTGCGATTCAGTCACCACCACATTGTCATTGGGCTCCGTTTCGTCTGGTGTTTCAATCGTCTCGTCCCTCGTGCGGATACCTTCTCCAGCAAGAATAGAAATTGTTTTCGAGTCTGGAACAAGTGCATTGTCCACCTCTGTTCGACTTTTTACAGTGGACGCATCGCTATGATTTCCCGGAGGAGCAGCAGCGCTCAATAGTTGCTTATGCACAACAACATCTGCATATCTTCGGATCGGAGATGTGAAGTGGGTATACTTTTGAAGGCCCAATCCATAATGAGACAACTGGTCTTTGCCCACTTGCCCAGTGCACACATACTGTGCTTCGGACATGGCTCTGGACAAGAGAAGTTGAAGCGGTTAGAAAGAGGCAAGTGCAAATATAAGTTTCTTTACAATGAGCTGCGTACCTTGTCGCTAGCGATTGAAACAACGACTGCATCGTTGAATTCAATTTTGTCGCAGTCTCAGCTGCCTTCAAGGAATTTGCCAAAGCCATGTTGTCTTTGCCGTCAAACGCTATTTTGCCAGCGTCGAGTACAGCTTTCAGATCTTCGAAGCGGGAATCTTCAACTGATCGATGGTTACGAAGTAGCGCACTGTCGGGTGACTTGTCGTAAATTGTTTTCGCGACCCATGTATTGGATAGAATCATTAACTCTGCGATTGTGTTATGGATTTCCATTTGCTTCTTTGCAGTTACCTGGATCGGATTGCTATCTTTGTCGAGGGTGAATTTCAGCTCATTGCCTTGGTCTCCACTGGACAAATCGACGGCACCACCAACATCTTCACGGTCTTTCCGCAACTTCCGCGCCAGTCGAGTTAGAATTGTCAAGTCTTTCTTCAAATTCTTGACGTTGGCAGGATCCACCGGTGCCCCTGCAGTTAACGGCGGTGGGATTCTGTTGCCCTCGTCAGGAGGTTGATCGTGGATAATGTTGTGAGCCTGCCCGTACGTCATTGCTGTAACCAAAGAGAGTCAGTGAGACATACTGTATTGTGCAATATTGTCCCTTCTGCTGCTGCTACACACCTTGACAGTTGTGAATCACCGTCCTTCCGTACCAGAAGGACTTTACTTCCTTGAAGTCCCGTGAAAATATCCAGACTGAAAGCGTGGAAAGAGTCACGGTTGAGTCAAATAGGCGCGTAAAGTTGTACAGAGTCGATAGCAGGGTTACTTACTTGTTGATACAGCCAATCTGTCGGTCGATCCATGCAGGGAGCAGAGGTCTGAATAGTAATGATGAAGGGTGAGGATAGTGACTTCCGCAAAGCTAATTTCATGTTGTCGTTGTCGACGTACCCGAGCTCAATAGCGAAGGCAACATGTCAAAACGCCTATCGACTAGATAAAATGTCGTTGCTCTGACTTGCGCTTCAAGATCAAGAGGCGAGTTGTGTGGAACGAAATGCGTTACATCGGCAATATGGACACCAATTTCAATGTCTCCATTTGGTAACTCTAAAAAGAATCGATAGAAGCAAAAGAGGGTGAGATCAAACATCTTTCTTCTTTCAAAAGCGTAAAAAGCAAACGAAAGAATGCGACGAACCTCTTGCATGCATAGTATCGTCAATATCCTGGCACCCTGGAGGATCTACGCTAAATATTCTGTACGATTCTCGTAGATCTCGGCGTTTCTCGATTTCTTCGGGAGGGATCTTCCAATCTGAACCTTCTGATGGTAAGCAAGCTAGTGCCCCAGCACTAAATGGTTCAAGGTGCAATTCGTGTTCGTGGAGCAAGCATGATATTTCAGTTTCTAGATCACCAATTGGGCCAACGATTTCATGGCAATGACCAGCTGGATAGTTTGAGTCAATATCCCAGGAATCCACCTGGATGAGCAGCCTTTGACCTACAAATCGATTCCATCCGTTGGTTTTGATACGAATCTTTGGTATCCGAATATCCATTGGGGTCACTATGCATGCTGAGTCATCATTCATTGGACTATCGACCATGGTTGCAACAAATCTTCGTCGAGATGACTCGGATATCGCCACCACTCGGGCCGAGGGGACTGGCGGTGCCGAATCCACGTCAAACGAAGTAGTATCAGTTTCATCGTCATCATCTCGGTGATGAACCAAACGGCGTTTGCCCACGGGACTTCCCCATTCCGTTTTTGGAAGTACCTCGATAACAACAACATCATGATGGAACGACCGATTAAAGTATCCAAGTTTCTGATCAATAAAATATTTTCCGCCGTCTGAGGTGGCCACAGTACCCTCTTTTGGATTGTGTTTTGAGACTTCTAATCGTCCCTTGAACAGAGTCTTTGTTTTCAGTCCCTCCCTAACTTGATCTTCTGACAGAAATTCTCTACTATTGCTTTCAACGCTTTTGGATCGCGCCATGTTTCGTACCTTGTACTCTTCTTCGCAGCTCCGCTTCAAATTCATCAATACCTCTTCGTTAAGATGAGGGTGCAATGCCAAAAGTTCAGTGATAAAGTTATCCATTTGCAAAAGCTGAAAGCCATCCTCTGAAGGATATTTTGCTTTCAGATCTTGCGTGGATACAATTATTATTTTCTTGTTGTTTCCAATCTTTTGTCGCAATAACCCAGCAGTTCTCATCAACGCATGTTGACTTCTGTCCACAATGCTAATGGATTTGTAATCCATCATATCAAACTCGTCGTGACCATCTTCTTCTCGTATCGATAGGTCACAAAATGGGAACACTCTCCCCGAAAACAGAGTCGCAAGCTTTGCTATTTTGGAGCGCTCTTGTGGAGCTGGTTTCTCCGGTTGCCAAGTACAGTCACTGTCATTTTCGACATTACATTCGATCACTGGCGAAATGGATCGGTAATCCATCAGGTCCACAGCCGATTCGAGCAGCAGCAGATTGCATTGGCTTTCTTTCACCAAATGCGACAAGAAGGGTAAATATTTTCTCCAAATGATGCCATCTGGTACAACCCAACAACTACCGGAAGATTCTTTCCCCACAAACACTGGAAGATCCGTTGTGGGTCTCCAATAGCGCTCGCGATTTCGCAATTTTTCTTTCACAAAGTCACGGTAGATCCAAAGGCGATCCTCCTCGAGAACTTTAGAAGTTCTTTCCAGTGAGGGTGTCATTGTTGGTTTACTGTTCAGAGTGAGTGAGTCTGAAGCTGGATGATGATGATGCTGATGGGGTTTGGTTATGTCGAATGCATGGTTATTGGAGTCAGTCGTCCAATGGAGAAAAGAGTGGCGGAGTTAAGAGGGAGGAACGGAGAACTTGAGGTTCGGAGAATTTGGAACAAAATCGGAAATTCTGGTGACGTTAATGACATCACTTCAACTTGTTGGTAGTTTTCTACGTTGAATCCACATGGCTAAGAATTAGATATTTGTAGGAACAAATTCTGGCCACCTCGCATTTTTTTCTGGACCTTGCATTTTTCTTTCTCATCTTTCTGGAGAGACATTTCCTACCGGTACAATCATTGCTTACAGCAATTGCCCATCTATCAACAATCGATCATGTCATCATCCAAAGTAACAAGAAACATCTCGAGAATCAGCAAGCTGACGGCAAAGCCCCGCTTCCGAAGTACAATCTCAAGTCAAGTGGCCCCTTCAGAGGATGAAAACTACACGAAAGGTTTCTATCCCGTCTACGTGCACCACGTATCCAAGGTAGCATTGGAGCGCCTTCAGAAGGATCACTCTTCCTGGATAGAGTCGAAGGGTCTTGATAGCGGGCTTCATATTAATCCAAATGGGACTTTCACGTTGAGCTTTCCCGCAAAAGAAGGCTTTGATTCTGGCAGAATTTGGTGCGTTGACAGAACAGTTTTGTCGGCAACTGCTATTCATGACGTGCACACACAAACAAATTCTAATTCATCGATTTCCAATTGTTTCTTATATACACAGGACTAGCTATGATTCGTCCAAAAAGCAACATTGGCTCTCTGTCTATAGGCACAAACTGGCGGTTCGTTTCTTGTTGAAGGACAATGGTCAACTTACTGGACAAACTGATTCGAACAGGATGTCCTCGCAAATTCATGCAGCCGTGGATCAGATGTTACATTCGATCGATCGGGCGGAAGCAAACAGATCGTCTTGAGAGGCACACGTGTACCCAGCCTTGCCTGATTCCTACCTACACATATTTGTACGATTATTACATTATATGGATTAGCTCTAAATCTCCGTCGTCAACGAATTCAACCACGTCGTGTTTTCCACCCATTGAATTGGCAACGGACAACGACGGAAGACCTACTTATTAAAAAAGAAAAAAGTGACAATCTGAAACAAGTATTATTATGCTATTGTTGTATGTGCTCATGGGAAGAATTCTGTCGTTTTCAATGGATGCGCCGAGGCCCAAAAAGAATAGCTACAAAGAAAAGGGCAATCTCTAGAAACTGGAAGCGTTGTATGTGCTAATAATATTAATATGAAAATGCTAATTGTAACAGGGTTGCTGTGGGAAGTTAAATTTCGTCATGCAGGAGGGTAGGGAATGGGACATCGTCAGTCTTTGACAGAGTTTCCGATGCGTCCTCGCGGTTAGTACTCGTGGTAGCCGTATGCACAGTTTCCAACTCTGTTTCAACCGTCAAGTTCTCTTCCTGTTCCTCCTCATTATCTTCATTGTCCTCATTGTTTTCATTCGTCACTTCGTCATCAGGTCGTTCCAATGTAGAGGAACTTTCACTCTGTTCTTCAATCTCTTCTTCTACCGTTTCCTCATCCTCTAGCACTTCTTCTTCAATCGTCTCTTCCATTGACACCACCTCCTCAGTTTCTTCTGCGTAAACGTCGTCTTCATCAAGCGTAGCCGCTATCGATGATGATGATGGCTTATCGAATGATTTGACAGCAGCAGGTGGGTCAGCCCTTCCATTCGCACTTTTAGTTGGAGCAATGGCATAGTCATCTTCATCTGCTTCTTCGTCGTCATCACCCGGCGGATCCACCTTTTTGAGCTCTTCAATGACTGGGTCATTAAATTCTTCACTCAATGATGCTTCGCGTAGCTGTCTCTTGATGCTATCCAGAACAGATTCACCGACTAATTGATCTGCTGATATGACACCAATGCTTGGAGCGCTATCGGCTGTGCTGCGATCTTGTGAGTCATCAAGAGAATCCAAATCATTCACAGAAGCCGCCGAGGATCGGAAATCATCCGTGAGCACGGATCCAGTGTCGCCTTCTGGTAGGAAAATGGGCTCATTCAAACCTTGAGCAATCGACACTACCAAGCCTCGGACTTCAAGCTCTGATAGCTTCATACCCTTCATTTGGGCGACACCAAATCGAATGTCCTCCTTGAGCTGCACAAAGCAGTCCGCAGTCGATGCAAAAATGTCGCTGTCATCATCTTTGGCGCGCGTTCCAATCATTTTTTGACCCGAAGTACCTCCAACGGTCGAGGTTCCTCTTGATTTGCCCATTACGGTGCTGGCCCCCATACCAGCTACGTACGATACATCCTCCCTGAAGCTTTGCATGCAATCCGCGGTCTCATCGACGCAACCGGATTCGTCGGTTTGTTTGGCAGCAATAGCTTTGTTCTGGGCTCCATCAGCAGCAGCTTTGCTCTGGGCTCCATCAGCAGCAGCGATGGAAGTGGGCTCGTCATCTCCATCAGGTAGACAGGCTTCCTGAATCTTGGAGATTCCGAGTCCTGCAACAAAGGTCACATCTTCCTGAAAGCTTGTCATACAGTCTTGTGTTTCTAGAAGACAGACCTTGGCTGGATCGGTTTCTTTCTGGGCTGTATTGACCGACTTTTCGTTTGAATCAGCCTTGACTTCGGTCTTGGATTCTGCCTTGGTTTCTGTCTTTGCTTCAGGAGGTGTATCAACGGAAAATGTATCCGTTTTTTGGTTCTCGCCAGTGAAAGTGCTTTGTGCAAAATCAGCTACCTCCTTGACGTCGTTAGCCAACAACTCGGTCAACTCCTTTGTTGCAATAAGGCAAGCCTTGGTGTCGAATTCGTCAATTGACTCAGCGGCAAGCTTGCCCCTAGTCTGCTGAATCAAATGGTTTTCCACACCGTAATCTCGAGTTCTGGGAGCTTTCTCGGTATCGAAGGGCGTAATGTCACTATCCATGCTCGGTTCAGTGTGGTTGGTGTACTCCGTACAAGAAGTGTATGCGCTATAAGCGCTAGTGTATGCGCTATCGAAAGAAGGCTGAACTTCCTTTTTCGCTTGTTGTGGTGGCTGAGGAAGAGAAACATCGATGATCTCTTTCTTATTCAGATCAGTATGCGCTCCCGTGTCCTTTTGTCCAAAGCCTGGTCGTGATTCATTCACGGCACGCAAACGTTCGGAAATCGACATTGCACGATTCTCAGTTGGTGCTGCTCGCTTTGTTTCTTTCCTTGACTCTTGTCCGACAGAACGGCTGTTGTGTGCGTTTCTCGAAGCCGAAGCAACGGCAAGGCGTTGTGAAGCTGAGTTCGTGGTAGCCGAAGCTTTTCCTTGAGTCGAAGCTTGTCCATCATTGGCCTTGGCCATAGGGCTCCGTGGGTTCTCGGGGCCCTTGGGCGACTCCCGAGTAATCTTGGAATCGGGAGTATTCTTAGAAGCAGCAGCAACAGGAAGGCGTTGAGCTTCTGAATGATGAGACATGACTCGAGGCTTGCGGCCCTGTTCAGGCATCACTTTGGGAATGTGAGGCTTCTGCTGTTGCTTTACAGCCGAATGTACTGGAAGCTGATATCTCTTGGGAGGATTGATCATCGGACGATTCATCTTGGGTGGACTGATCATAGGACGATTCATCTTGAGTGCACTGGTCCTGGGTGCGGTGATCATTGGTGCGGTTCTTTTGGACTGCATGTTATCAATATCGCGTTCATCCATATCAGTGAGATCAATCACAGAACCTTGTTTCGCCGGGGGCACTCCTCGGCGGGGTGGCGAAACAGGAACTTGTCTACTTTCCACTCTGGGCTGAGGTGGACGCATACGATTAACTGGTGGAATATCAAACTTTCTGTTGTTGATGTTAGCGCTGGCAATTGTCACTCTTGTTGGACTCATGGTGTTTGCACTCCTAGCAGTTGGTGGGGCGACCGGTAGTCGGCCAACACTTGAAGCGGGTCGTTGTTGTGCTGTTCCATATCCTCTATTCGAAGCTCCTCCTCCAGGGTTTCCCCATTGGGAATAATTCTGGGTCTGCACCACTCTCATCGATTACTTTGTCGTTGGTTGATGATAGTGAGCGGGTGATTGATGGTATTGTCGGTTGGAATTCGTTGATTTCCAAGATGTGGCGATAAAGAGTTAGTTGGAATGAAACGTCTAACGCTCTAAGTACCAAATGCTAGCACGCGTTGAATGAATCCAACGATAAGTAATTTAGCCGTTGGAATATTCAATTACAGTACTGCAGGAACCTGCTCGCGAGAATTTCGAAATTAAAGAATTCGGCGCGGAATTTGACAAAAGGTACATGTGAAGTCCAAAATACTCCGATCAACTCGACGCCAATCATTTTGGGAATTTTGGCATCCTTGTTGAAAATCCTTGTATCTTCAACTTGGCATTCATTGTCTTCTATCAAAATCTTGACATGTACCAATTGTCATGAATGGTTCCATCAACGGCAGAGATCAGTTTGAGATTCGCTATCTCCCATGTCCCAATGATGCGTTGGAACCCCAAATCTCCAAGTAGACTGTTGAAATAACACTTCAGGCAGGGTGCATACGCAATGTCAATTATTTCATCAAAGAAAAGCAGATTTTGAAAGCTTCGATCATCTCGAAATTCAGTTTGCCCACTCAGGGGGTGCAGTATTTTGATTAGGCTAGACCTTGTTGGTTTATGACACAACTGGACGAAAGCTGTTTATCATGAATACGCTCGGTTCTGATAACCCATGCCATAAGTCAGACATAGCTACCTATCTTGGGTATGGATATCTGGGAGCACGCATCTATCCTGGATCATTAGAATCGTCGGAATTTCTACATCAGGCGTTTTCTGAATGGATTACTGGATTGGGATCAAGTGGCTGACAATCTGGCCCACGCGAAACTGGCGAATCTATACTGTACGCCCTGGACGATGATGGCCAGGATTTCGGAGATGATCTAGTGGTCACAGAGAAGGAAGAAGAGAATAGTGATGAAAACGATTCCGACGAGGACGAAGCAGCATCTGAGCTGTAATTTTATTGGTCGAGAATTTGTATCTATCGACGAGTGGAGGGAATCGAGTCTTCGTGGATGGCATGACATCATGACATCGTTTTCCCATTGGTGTTGTGTCATCTATTCTTGATTTGGGTTCTTGATCGACCTGGTAGTGAGATTTTGGCCCTCTTATTTCCAACACGACTTTCTTCTGGGATCAAGATGCTATCCTCGGCCTCTGCTCATCACTGTTGAGTTTTCACAACTGACAGATCAAGGTGATAGCTCTTGCAAGATCAGACTTGCACACAATATTTCTTCCTAGGATGGCTCAGTTTGCTTCTCGAGTCCTGATCGACGTTGTATCTGCTTCCATCTGTTCTTGAGTTGGTCTGGGGATCGTCCTGGTAGAAGCTTTGAGATTTGTGTCCACTTTTTTCCAAGACGACTATGCTCTCGGATCAAGATTTTGTCTTCCGGCTCGGTCCACGGATTCGTCAATACTGAATAGACAAGATGACCGTTATGCACTTTTTTTCTGGTTTTCTTCACGGAGGATGGCTTGGTCTGCTTTCGGAGTCCGAATTGACGTTGTATTTGATACCATCTGTTCTTGACTTGATTTGTGGATCGGCCTGGTAGTAGTTGGGAGATTTGTTTCCAGTTATTTCCAACACGACTTTGTTCTTGGAACAAGATCCTGTGTTCCGCTGCTGTCCATGGGGCCGTCACTACTGAAGGATCAAGATGATCGTAGTATCGAGACATCACTTGTTCATAGCAACGGCCTGGGCACTGGGTGGCGATCGCCCTCCAAGTGAAACCTTCTGATCTTAGCTTTGATATTTTTGCATCTTCGTCTGGCATCCAGTTGCCCTTAATTTTGCTACCTATTGGAGTCTAATGTACAAAAGAGTGTGAGAGAGATGGGAGAATTGTACCGATGGTCAAGGTTTCAGACGAATTCCTACCTTTTTCCACCACCGGGCTTTACACATACTGCCAGTGCGAGAACCAGGGAAGAATGTGGAAGCGAGCAGGTTCCAGTTGGACACTCGGCCATTCTGACTTTCGACAGCCATTGCAAGAACGTTGTCTTCTTCCACGGTCCATCGTTTTGGATTGGTCTCGACCGTAGCAGAAAGCACATGTTGTGACACGTATTTTGCTGTGTTCTGCGATTTCTGCGTGGTGATATCATGACTTCCGGTACTAGACTTCTGGCTCACTGTAGTGGGGTTCGATGGAAGAATTGTTGGTGCATTGCTAAAGCTTGGTCGACGATTTTCCACTTGCTGGTGTGAAATGTATGATGGGACTTCAATCGGTGACATGGTTCTCCTTTCGAACAGAGAACTTCTTCCTTTCTCAAAATTCGAAATCGTTTGCAACGGAAGAAGCCGCCTGTTCGTCAGTAGTCGAATAGGGACCCTTTCGAAAGTTTGGCCTATCGATACATCATGATTCCTTTGAACAAACTGATGGGAATCAATGGAAGGAGGCTGCGTCTGAGGTATCATTAATTTTGAAGAGATTTAAATTCACAAAATCAGAAAACCGTTGTCCCAAATCGATAGATCGATCAGTTATCTCATGGACTTACGACTAAATCGGATTCATTCTCAGTTTTCCACGTAAGGTATACATCAAGGATAGCTTTATCGATTTCTTCCACATTCATAATGTAAGCTGGGAAGTTGGAGGGTCTGAAAGGTTGTTCTTGCTTGTTTGAAGAAGAATGATTGCAACGGTGAAGTTTTGTGGTTTTGGATTTGGTGTCGAAATGGAGGAGCGACTGGCGGGCTAAATCGTTTTATTCATCGCGTATAGATTTGGAATGTTCCGAGGATGCAACGAAAAATCGGATCGATCCCTTCGACTGCTATAACGTACAATTGATTACAAAGAATTTGGAAAATTGAAAATAAGAAACAAGCACACTAGGGGTTGTCAATGAACCCAACCCAACTATTTTTGGTTTATTTTTATTGACCAATAGAAGGGCAGTATTTTTCCCGATATTTGACCACCCCCTTTGAAGCCACGAACCAACTATTTTTGGGAAAAAGCCGGTAGTTTAGGGAGACGTACGATATCTCGTAGATATATTTGCCTACTTATTTTTCGTCGAAAAATAGCATGACCCAACTATTCTTTGTTTAAGTTTGGGCTACGTTTACTCAAAATTGAACTGTTCCACACGATAAATCTAAAACATTGGACAAGAATTGTAAATCTTTTATCCCGCGAATCAATTATCTCCGGGTCATTGAAGACCCAACTATAATATAGTTGGGTCTCTTTTCGGCACAACTATTTTTTTCTTTCTGACCCAAACCAACTATTTTTTTTTTGGCTCGACCAATCACAGCTGCCCAAAAAAAAGAAAAAGAGTTGGGTTGGGTTCATTGACAACCCCTACTGCACTCAAAAATTTCTATTGCTTCTTCTATAATATGAGTAGTTTACAAAATACATTCGCATCGCATTTAGAACCATTCTCCACCCTCTTTACACCTAGAGTTGACTGCAATGTAGTTTTGGCTTGTCAAAGTGATTCGCAAATCTTCATCCAAATAAAGAATTCGAAATTGGCCAAAAGGTGGGTTCAATGGTCCCTTCAGGTCGATTGGATTCGAAGACAATAGTCCTGCGACCAGCCCATCTCGTTCAACGCGACTTGCAATGCCACCACCATTGGTGGACAGTTGATCATCCTGATTCGGATTTTCCAATTCGAGACCAGCAATTTTCAGGTCGACAACATCTGGTTTCTCAGGTGATGCAGACGCTAGTGTGACAACCTTTTGCAAAACTCTGGAATCTTCGGACCCCGAAAAAGGCAAGTTGCCAGCCCAACTTGGCCGTTTCCATTCAATCACATTCTTTACATATGGTGGATTGCACTCCTGTCCAATTCTCCCAAGCGTTGCCGTGCTGAAGGGGTTTCGACTAGTATCGAGACTCGTGATATCGGGTGCGTCTGTAAAGATCAGGTTCCATTTTCCAGAAACGGTTGGTCCTTCTGCTGCATCTGCTGCAGATTCGGTGATACTACTTTCATAGTATGCTGCTGCTGGAGCAGCTGTTGGATTGAGCTTCTCTAGGGAAAATGCAAGATCTCTCGCTTGCCTTCTATCCATAGAGGTCGCCTGAAATCCACGATTGGTCCGACCTGCTATTTGTCGTAGTTTGTCAATGAGCATGGATGCTTCTTTCGCGGTATCGGATGCTGTTGCCTCAGCATCCAGGGCAGATATTCTATTGTGTGTAGTCAAAAGCAAGGTTTTAGGGCCAAAACTATTTACACTGGCAGCCAGCAGCGATAATATTATCGCTAATAAGGAAGAGATGTTGCGATGACGTCTCGTCATCATGTTTCAAACTGTTGAAGTACTGTAGATTGGAGGATGATGCCTTATTGTTTGTGTTTGGCCGGCGGAGCACATCATAATCATTTGACTTCTTTGACCACCGAGAATCGACCGTCCTCCTTCCGTCCAGTCGAAAAATTCATCCACGTGTTCGTTTTCATCAGCTCGGCGAAACCTGCTGCTAGACACATCACAACTTGACTCTTGCTTGTCTCTCAGCTTCGTTAAGACGCACACACAAAACAAACACAGTTAGAATAAGAAAATCATGATTGGACGTATCGTACGCCTTGTTGGACTCTCGTCCTTGCTCGCAGTGGTAAGCTATCCTTAATGTCAAGTTTCCCTCTTTGATATTCAGAAGACTTTTTGCACCGTCGTTTCAATTTTTTCACCATCAACTCATTCGACATGATTATGTTTCAGCCCGCTGCAGCCCAATTCGGATTGGGAAAAAAGAAAGGGGGAAGTTTTCAAGAAATGAATGAACAAGCAAAGCAAATGGATAGTCCTACTCCAGGTGGTGCCGATGCCGGTGGTTTGGCCGGATTGGAAAGTTTGTTGGGTGATATCGACCCCAGCCAGTTGGAACAGTTGGCAGGAATTGGAGAATATTTCAATGAAGTGATGGAACTAATGGGTGATATGTCACCTGAAGAGCTTGAGAAACAAATGAAGGATGCGATGGAAATGCTTACTGGCGGGGATATGATGAAGGGAATGATGGGTATGCAAGATGAGATAATAAAGACAATGGAAGAGTCTGGTCAAGTTTCAGCTGAAGAGCTTGCAAAGTACAAAGCTGATCCTGAATATTTCGAACAAAAAATGAAGGAGTCATTCGGTCAGATGCAAGAGCTCTTTAATGATCCAGATACATTGAAAGCCGCCACAGAAGGAATCAAGGGTATGACTGATCTTTACAAGAATCCTGAAAAGTTGGGAGAAATGTTCCAAACACTCATGGGGGACTTTGACAATGACGAGAAAATTGAAGAAGTCAGACAACAACTTTTGGCAAACCCTGATCTCGGAATTCCAGGATTGAGCGAGGCTTTTGAGACACCTGAGATGAAGGAGATGCTCAGCGACCCACAAAAATGGAGAGAAGCCGTCAAGGAAGGAAAAGGAATGTTCGGTGCTGGTGCAGCCGGTGCTGGTGTTGGTGAACTATAAAATGTAGATATACCTTTGATAACGGCAGGTAATTAATTGAGTTACGAGTTGAACCTGTGAAGCTTCATTGCACTATGTCACAAAGTACAAGTAGTATAGCCATGCGTGATGGCATTTGAAGCAAATTTGGTGCCAGGGTGGTGTGATGCGATAGGCGATAACGTGGTCTTCAACGTACGACTTTTTACATGAAGAATATCAAAGTGTGCATGCAACATGGACATGCGACATTCGACATTCAACCGTCTCGCAGCTTTTGATGGCACATGTGAATCAAACAGTTTTCAGGAAGGTCCGCGCCATGACCGTGGTTTCGTATCCACTTCGGGGATCGGTGTCCATCCTCCCAATCGCGATCGAAGCTGCATTGCTAAAAAGAAGGCGACGATAATCAGAAGCAATCCAATGAGCAGTGCTCTTGGAAACATGGAAGGAGGAATAAATCCCAAGTCAGCGATGCTATCAGGGACGTCCCATTCGATTGTGTTGTAGCCCGCCGAGGCCAGACAATGTGGACCAGTCCATCCCTTTTTACATTCGCAGACCTTTCCACGTGTACAGGTTCCATGTTCGGCACCACCACAGATGTCACGAGCATTGTTGGTGACTCCCGGGCGGCAATTTCCTCGTCCTTGTTGAATTGATTTCAACGGCCGTTCCTGGAATGGCAGTAGCCGAAGGATATCAAGGTTAGCATTGTACCGTCTCATGTAGTTTTCACTCGATAGCCCTACACTTCAAACTTACATCTTTATCTTCCTTGTACAAATCAGCGTGCCCCTCAATGTACCTGCGAGTTGGACGTTCGGGCGTCGAACAGCCAACCTTTTGTTCCTCAAAATCGGGATTTTGATATACGCGTATTGAATTGATCTTATACTCAGGATCCCCTTCCAGCATCATTTTGCAAAAGCCAGGGGAGAATCCGCATTGCGCCGAGTAGTTGGACGAGTGACAATCAAACTCTTTACATTCGCAGCCAGCTGGGCATTGAATCGGGAATCCCCATTGCTTTGACACGGCTGTATTGAGGATAATGTAACTCGGTTCACTCGAAATCTCGGATCCTATTGCATGGCAATCGAAGAAGAAATGGAAAGTAAGCAAGAGAAATAAAAACGACAAATTTCGCCGTTCTCGTTGTATTGTGAAGCGTGTCTTACCTTCCCCAGCAGTCGCAACTCCAGTGCCGTTGATCGCAAGGACCAATTCCCCATCAAGGAACCAATGCAAGTAACCATCCTTTTCTGCGGTCGGCACATCCCACTCGAGTCGATAAGTGTGAGATCCATTGAAGTGACTTGCGTCCAACTGTCTATTGTAACTAATGGCATCGCTCCAATAATCAGACTTCTCCGGATGAGGATCGCCTCTGAAATGATTGTAGTTGCCATAAAATCCAACATTTAGTGACGTGTTCTTGCCTCCGACCAAACCAGTATACCATTGTCCGGGCCCAGGCCAATATCCTGGTCCTGGACGAAAGTTGCTAAGACCGGGTGCAACCTGGAAGGAAGCACTCATGAACGGCTGACCGACAGATGATCGTAGGAAGGGGCCATTGTTGGCCTTAATATCACCTGGCTGTACTTCAAAGATATCCATTTCGGGAGATCCACGGCCGACATGGGGCAACATTCCGTAATGGCCAACTTCACGACAAGCCGAAATGTGTTGAGCACTGAAACTCTTCGTTGTGCAGACTCCCGAGCTCCAGGGCCAAATATGTTCTGAAGATCCGACGTAGGTGTGCCGAGCAAGGTTGCCCAGTAACCAAAAGGCGGGCCACAGTCCACCAACGTTGTGCTTTCCAGGAAGTTCGACTTCTGCCTCAATGATTCCTCCTGTGAAACAGAATTTGTTCCAGGTTTGTAACATGGCGGACTTGAAGTGTTTCGTCACGTGGGTATTCTTTCTCTTTACATCGTCAAATCCCACAACATCGGTATCGGATGCTTCGGTCTTGATTACCAGGCTACCATCTTTGGTCCTGGCATTCGACGTTGAATAGTAGTGCAAAGCGTCATTCGTGTAATCATTCTTTTCTAGAGACGTCCATCGAGGATCCGTTCCATCTTCAAACGTTCGATCTGGAGTATTGAATTCTTCAGAAAATACTAGCTCGTACTTATGTGATGAGTACGTTGGAAAAGGTGTCGGTTTAATGGTCGGAGCAAATGTTGGAGCCGCCGTTGTTGGCGCCTTGGTCTCATTCTTTTCCTTCTTTGAATCTGAATCCTCCTTTGGGGCAGTCTTTCTGACAAAGTAGGGCGTCACCGTCAAGGGTTGCGTGGTTTTGGCCTCCTCTGGAGTGTCCGGGTCGATCCAATCTGAAGCCACCAAGTTGAAGGTACAAAATTGAATCAAGAGCGCAATCACCACCAGTCGTTCCATGGAAAATGACATTTTCAACTGAAATCTGTCTTGTTGCGTGCGTTATAGATATTGTATGAATATGTAACTGATACGGATTGTTTCGGAATGGATCAAGGCTAATTAGAGTTGACAGTGCTGCTGGAGGATAGTGAGAATGAATTTTGTTTTCCTCCTGGTTTGTGGTACTTGTTGGGGTAGATGACACAGATCAACGCAGACCTCGTCAACGACCAGAAGAAACGTAAGCGCAATAAATCCGGGTTTCTATAAGATTCACTCGTCTGCCCGAGAACCGGGATTCAAAAATTGATGGATTCGTTGATTCAAACGACCACATCACATCCATCGAACCACATCACACATCACACATCACATCCAACATCATCACGCAACACAGAAACCAAAAATATGCAGTCGTTGTCTAGTTCGAGACCTTCGACATTATTGTTATTGTGCCTCTTAGCAATACTGCAAATTTCCAGAAATACCTGTGACGCTAGGAGCGCTGGTTGGGGATTGTCGCTATCATGTATGGCCACTTCTCGGAAAGGACGGTCACGGCCAACCTCCAAAAGTAGTGGTGCAGGAGGGTTTGGAGAAACCCAACCAACTCCGCCAACACCTGCTGATGTCACAGCAACAACTGAGAATGAGACAAAGGACGATAAGAAAATCTACTCGCTGCCGGCACTCTACGATATGGCCTTTGGGTACCGAAACTTTGACGAAGAAATTGAATTTCTGGTCGAACAACATCAACTGCTTCACGAAGGAAAAGGGCCCGAACGTGTTTTGGAGTTGGCAGCTGGACCTGCGAGGCATTGCATTTACGCACTGCAATCGTCAATGGTGAAATCTGCCACCGCCTTGGACAATTCAATGGATATGTTGGAATACGGTACTGATATTGCTGCCCACGAATTGGACATTGATACCTTTGAGACATCCTTTTCCTATCTCCAAAAGGACATGTCAAATTTTGAAGTCGACTGCGAACCCTTTGATAGTGCTTGGATTATGCTGGGATCGTTGCAACACATGACTACCAACGACAAAGTCATCTCTTGTTTCGAATCAATCAACAAGTCTATGGTAAAAGGAGGAACTCTCATTATTGAACTCCCGCATCCCAGAGAGACTTTCTCTCTTGTCGAATGTACCCGAAACAGCTGGCAAGTACCTTTGGAAGACGAAAATGGCGAGCAAAGTGGAGAACTAGAGATCATTTGGGGAGATGACGATGACGAATTTGACCCCATCAAACAAATTCGTCATTTCACAGTGGCCATGGGGCTCAAGGGAACACCAGAGAACGAAGACGAATCATCATTAGTCCAGAATGTGAAAGAAGTCGTACCGATGCGTCACTTTACAGCTCAAGAAATCGATGCCTTTGCCAGGATAACTGGATTTGAAGTCACGTCTATGCACGGAGCTGTGGCCAGAGGTGTGGACGTCAATAATGAAATTGAAGCCTTTCGGCTTGTTTCAGTCCTCCAAAAGCTGTAATTTATAATACTGTAGAAA